TTGTTTAACCTTTAAAAGTGTAAGTTTAATTTCCCTTTTAAATGATAATCAAAGTTTATATAATCTTAATAAAATAATAAGTTTTTCTATGATACAAATTTATACTAAAAATTAGCAGCTTATTTTTGGTAAATTTTTATATTTTATTTCATATATTATAATTAATTTATTTGAATATAAACTAATTATTATAAATAATTTTATATTATTTTATTAACTTTATTATTTTAAAATTAACTTTTTTGTATATAGTTCAAATAAAAAACATCTTTAAACTACTTTTTACATAACATATATAAAATTTATTTCATATAATTTGTAGTAATAATAAGAATGACTATAATTAACTATTAAAATGTTTTAATTTTCACAAGCAATTCAATCGCACACTTCAAAGGAAAATATGTTGAATTGGAGGAAATCTAATAAACGATTCTGTTCCCTTTCTGACCAAATTCTTATGCCGCTTACGTCGCTTCCCACTTGTTTTCTTCTTTCTCTCTGCCTCTGCTTTTCCTTTTCAACCGCAAAAAGTTGTCCCTCCAAGTGTAGGGTGCCATGCATGTTTATCCCATCAACCGAAAATGACATTCTTGACGAGATTTGCATGTTTAAGTACTTGTTTGCGTTGACCAGAAAAAAGTACGTGTTTGCGGTAGCTTGAAGAATCCCAAGTTGAAAAAGTAGTGTGTTTTAATTTAAGAAATATGATATTGATATATGCATTTTCTTTTTTTTTTCATCTAAAAAATAATATACAAATGATGTATAATCTTTTGCTATTTACTTTTATAATGCATCATTTTTTTTCTTCTCAATAAAGCATAAACCTTTTGGTTATAAATTTAAAGTGTTCACTTGAATAGGAGAACTCATCTTAACTACATAGAAAATTCGCAAGTAGATTTGATCAGCAACGTTTCTAACAAACTCGAAATAGAAAAGTTCCAGCTTATATTAACAAGTGTGATTAACTAATGACCAGCCAAATACAACAAAAAACCAAGATATTAATTAGAGAAGTTAATTGTGAGAAATTATGAAATAACGAAATAGACGGTGAATAACGAGAAGTGCAAGAGGGGGGGTGGTTTTGGGATATTTGAAGAGTTTAATTAATGTACTAACAAATAAAAAAAAGCCTAAATTATAATCTAGGATTTAGTTTTAACTTCTTTCTTTGTTATCCTATTTTGGTTAATAGAATTGAAATGCTGCAACTCCAGGAACGAGAAGATTGAAGATGCACAAAATCATACATACATACGTAAAGGGGAACATATGGAGAGAAAGCAAAGAGAAACATAGAATCATTAATAAAGAAGATCATTAGTTTATAGAAAAATATTTCATGTGAAAGTTATTCTATCATGTGTATGAGCCCCACAACTATCCTAAACAAAGCATGCAATATTAAGGTGGAAATAAAGGAAGTTTGAATACGACGAAGCAGATGATTTATGCTCCTAAAATGACACATTATTATGTATGAAATAGCTCAGAGAAAGGGGTGATATAGTAAAAAAGGTGGTTCTTCTTAATTATTTTTTATATTATATTCCTTCTTCTCCCTTGTGTTGGATGATTCTTCTCTATATTCGAAATTTGTCATGATATTTTCTTTTTCCTTTTTCTTCATTCTCTTCCCTTCCTCTCTTAAAAGTAATGATTACGTAGTTAGGAATATCAATGTTGAGGAATTTGAGGAAACGTTGTGTTTGTAGATGTTAAAATGGCAGTTATGACCTTACAAATATCATTGTGTTGAACCTTTCGTTGATGATTTGATGCATGTGATTTTCATGAGAGCATTTTTCTTTTCACCCTTATTCTTATTCTGGGTTTTCCTCATCATCCAACTTTGCCTTTTGTTTATTTGAAAATTTGAGATTCTATCTTTCTTTATTTCATTTTTTTGTCTTTTGGTATCTAATACACAATATCTCCACAAAGCAATTCCAGATGGTGGGTGGTTACAACAATTCGAGGCAACACAATGACACAACTTCTACCAAAATTTTTGTTGGAGGGTTAGCTTGGGAGACTCAAAGGGACACAATGAGGAGGTATTTTGAGCAATTTGGAGAGATCTTAGAGGCTGTTGTTATCACAGATAAGAACACTGGGAGATCCAAAGGTTATGGTTTTGTAAGCCCATTTGCTTTTTTGTGATTCTTATGTCTTTGCATTGGCATATTTTCTCGTCGATTTTATTTGGCATGTGATCTCAAGCAATGAATCTTTGTTGTTGTGTTTTTGTTATCCAAGGTCACATTCAAGGATCCTGAGGCAGCATTGAAAGCATGCCAGAATCCCTCTCCAATAATTGATGGGAGGAGGGCAAATTGTAATATTGCATCTATTGGTGCAAACAAGAATCGCCCACAGGCTCCTCAACATGGTCTCAGTCCTTCCATTTTCCTTCATCTACCTTTGCTCTTTCTTTATCGTTTCTATTTTCACCTTAATTTTGTACAGTGTCCTCTTTTTTCTCATTTTTATTTTTAATTTCAACTTGCTTTTCTGGGTTCTATTTTTCTACAAGCAGTTTTAGTTTTTTTTTCATTCTAATTTATTTTTCTCATACTAAGCAAGAAGTTATTATATGCCATTTTTACTATTTGTTTATCAATCAAATGTTAAACAAATGTTTATCATATAGTAGGATGACATAAGATTTTATTTTGATAAGGATAAAAAATAGTTGAAATGCAACTTTACCCTGTGGGTGCAGGACGGTATAGACCATCCCCTGGTATATTGGCTTCACCTGCTCATCATGGCTCTTCCTCTACATTGGTCCATCAAACCAATGGGCAATACACAATTCCTTATTCAACTTTTGGGTAACATGAAAATACCATGTGTGGTTTTGGTCATTTTCTATTCTGCATGTCAATTTTCTTCATTCTTTCTACATTTTGTGTTCTCGTACTCTAATTCTTCTTATTTGCACGTGTTAGCAGATATACTGGATACTCACAAGACACAATGTACCCAATGGTAGGTACTTATGTAATAAATGCTTAAAATAAATGAATTAATTATACTTGCATTGCATATTATTCATTGACATGGCATACTTTTGCATGGACAATTTTGAAGAACTGTTATGGTGTCTTTGGAGGTCAACAACTCTCAACATACTACCCCTCCAATGGGGCATCTGGGCCAGTGGGATTGGTCCATAACATATACCCTTTTGCTGCCCAATATACATACAATAGCCAAGCTCATGGCTTTGGAGTTCAATATCCCCAAATGATGCAATTTTCAATTCTCCCTAGGCAATATGGCTCAGCTGGGATCCTTACATTTCCCTCTTCAATGCCAATGCCAACTATTAGTGCAGGTAAAAGTTACCTTATTTTGTTGATAATATTGTCTCTTTAACTATCCAATTTAAACAAGAATACATTAAGAGGTAAAAATAACATAATGTTAACAGTTACAACAACAGCAACGACAACAACAACAGAGGCAATAGGAACAGGTTCACGTGCTTCACAATCGCAAGCAGCTGGAACAACTTCTGAACAAAATTCTTCCGGTGAATCTCTGCAGAGATAAACAAATGTCATATTGAATGATGATGAAAAGGGGTTAAGAATCAAGAAGGGACATGACAGTGACTACAAGAAGCATATTAAGAACTGATTCATAGAAGAGGATGAGATTACCAGCATATTAAGAACTCAACACGGAACCCCCATGCAAGGAATGGGTAAATGATGTTGACTACGTAAAGCTTATGCCACAAATTTACCACAATCCATCCTTAATCCATGTTCAAATATTGCAGCCTAATACAATTCCTTAATCCTTATAGGCTAATTTTACTAAACATAATGTGTTGGGTGTAAATAGCATGCGATGACACTTGTTTATATGGGTTCAAAAGATTTATTTTAATATAACCTTTGAACCCTTGATTGATTAGTCATTTTGGAAGAACATATTGAGTTGGGTCAACTCAATCCATCCCCGCACCAATGAGATGAATAATTAATCCAATGCTACTTTGACCATGATGCTTTATTGTCGGGGAATGTCCAAATCATGGTGTTTTGAATTATAGCCCCTTTTTCTTTCATTATTATCACACTAATTTCCCCTGTATCGATTTTTATGTAAAAGGAAAATAACTTTTTTTTAATAACAATCACATAACGTAATTATGCTGATTCTACATTATATATAGATTCATATAAAGTATGCCTGGCATGTTATTTTAGTTAGTTTATAATTTATTGGACTAGTTTATAAGCATATTTAGTCAAATAGAAATGTTTAATAAATGAGTTTATCTTATTAATTCATAATATTTTTCTAGACAGTATTTAAAGTAGTATTTGTACTTATAATTTATAATTTTATTTTTATTTTTATCTTCAATTATTGAAATCTATCAATTGAGCTAGAGACTCGTTAAATTTAACTCCGCTTAGTAAATAAGCATTTGTTTCGTGACGTATTAACTAAACGTGACACAATTTATAATATAAAATTAATGGTTAAAATTTTATCTTATGCAATGTTTGTGGTACCTTGAAGAGATTTTATTTTCTGCTTTTACAAGAACTGTTTACAATACAAAACAATCAAGAGCTCGAGTGAATTTTACGGGTCTAATTGTTTTCACATTGCCATGCGCACCAAACTCCATTCTATGGAAGAAAAAATATTTGAAGGATGTCCGAAGAGTTTATAAAAATATAATTTTTAATTTGTATAAATTCTTTTAATTTATTTTAAAATTATTTTTTAATATAATTTATTAAAATAAGTTTTTTAATTGATTTAAATAAATTTTATGATGAGATTTATACTTAATTCTTACGTGATAAGATTTTGATGAGGTCTTGATGGAGTCAGGCACATACGGGTCATAGCATAAGTTATTGTGGAGTGAGTACAGTTCTATAACAAAAAGGTTTAACATTTAATATTATAATAGGGTAACTAAACTTCATAAAACTGGGACTAGCACTTTTTTTTTCCCTTATTATGGAGTTGCCACGTTTTCCTTTGCCTGTGGAGCAATTTCTTCTCCATCAATGCCAGGTTCACTGCCAGGAACTCCCAAGCTTAGTAGTATTTCTTCCCATTTCTTAGCAGGTCCCTATTTCCAAAACATAATTCAGTTACTACAATTAAAGAGAAATATATACTATGGATTTGTAGCTTCACAATAGGTGTGTAAAAATTTTAAAAAGAAAAGGGCATCACTGCTTTTGGTATATTATAAATGAATGTTCTTCCCTCACTCACCTTCCATGAAAGATCTCGATCCATGCAATTCTTGATCATTTCTGTAAAAGCTGGAGTTCCATACACTGCAGTGGCCCTTTTGACAGTCTTTGCTATAGCATCCACATCCGCAGGATCCACAGCATCACACTACAGAAAAATATTGAAAAATAAGATAGTAATGGTTAGTTAGTTCTTCGAACTTCAGCTACTAAGGACACACACACATATTGATTATGAACTGATGATGGCAGCAGGTATTGGTATTACTTCAACATTGAAGGCACCCATCTGAAATCCAGTGAACCCTTCTTTAACTGTGTCGACTAATCCACCGGTTGAGGCAACAATAGGTACCTAGCACAGTGAACAATTGAAGTTGAAGAAAATTTAAGGATTAAATGAATAGGAGATCTTATGGCAGGAAAAAAGAACTTAAAATGAAGGATTGTGATTATACAGTTCCATAGCGCATAGCTTGTAACTGAATGAGACCACAAGGCTCAAATCTGCTAGGGACCAATATAAAATCAGCTCCAGCAATTATCATGTGGGCTAGGGGAACATTGAATTTTGCCACTCCTCTGGCCTTGTCAGGGAATGATATTTCAAGTTGCTGAAGCTGTTTTTCCATTTGTTTTTTGCCTGTTCCCTAAGACAATAGCATAACATATTTGAATGAGATTTCTTATTCCTTTTTCAATGTATAAAGGGGTTGAGAAATTATGTTTGTTTCTTTTCTTCTTCTTTTTTCCTTTTATACTTACTAGGGCTACTATCTGAACATTCTCCCCAATGAATTGAGGAATCGCTGCAACAAGAATATCAGAACCCTTTTGCTCTTCAAGCCTACCAATAAATCCAATGAGAGGAATATTTCTGTCAACTGGCAATCCAACTTCTGCTTGGAGGGCTTCTTTGAGAAGAGCCTTTGCTTCCATTACCTAAGTAGGGGAATTTATTATGTGGGTATTTTTCTTATGAGTCATTACACTATAGATATACTTCTAACTCTAGAAAAATGATTCTTACTGTTGAAGCATTGTATGTGACAGCTATATATGTGTCAGTGGATGGATTCCACTCCTGAACGTCCATGCCATTCACAATTCCAACAAAACGATCAACAATTCGGCGAAGGATGTTGTCCAACTCTACTCCTTTATCTGGGCCAGACACTAGTTCTTGAGCATAGTATGGACTAACAGTTAACACAAAGCATGATTCTAAAATTCCAGCTTTCATGCAATTGATTTTCCTCCCAAGCACTGGTTTAACATGCCTGCAAGATTAAAACCACAAATTAGTAACAGTATCTGATAGTTACAATTCATGACTTATTAAAACATACCCATCAATAAAGTCAAAAGAGCTTTTAAATTGGTCAGGGAGATTGAGAAGTGAAAAGTCTGCGAATGCAAATCTTCCTTGGTAAGCAATGTTGTGGATACAAAAAACGACCTGATAATAGCAGAAACCAAAAAGAAAAATTTAAGAGCTTGAAAGTTGATCATGAATGTTAAATTAGGTACATAACTAATTATCTAATAACACAAAATAATAACAATTCAGTGTGATTAAGACCTACTCGGGCGTTCTTATAGATGCTCACTGACTGATACATAGTTTTCAAGTAGCAGGGGAGAAGGGCTGTGTGCCAATCATTGGCGATGAAAAGGACATCTTCACCTGCAAAACAAAAATTAAAACATCAAGCATAAAAGATTTTCTGCTGTTATCCCTGAAGAAGTTCATTTGTGCTTAGTCCATACCATATGGTCCAGAGAAATATTTACTGCAATTAAGATTCAGAACTCTTGGTGCTTCCAAAGCTGCCTGTGACATTAGTTCAAAAAGAAAAGATAAGGGAAGAGTAGGACTACTGAGTTAAGAAATATGAACACAGAGTTTATACAAACACATTAGATGAAGATGAGTTATTATCAAGAAAACATATTACTTTATCCACCATATAATTCTAATCCTAGCAGTCCTCTTGCAAAATTAAGTTATGCGCCTAAACTTGTGGAGAAGGTAATAAAAGAGCTTTTAAAAAAGGTAAGGTGCATAAATTAGTTTTAACTTTTGAGATAAATTTAATTTCTTTTCTCTTTATTTTTTTTAGAACTATTTGTTAAGAAATTTATTCAAACTGAGTCTTATATCTTCAACAAAATAGAAATACCAAAAGGCTATCGATATAGAACCTGGCAAAACAGGCTAAAACGTAGTATGTTGTCTTGGTAATCCTCTCCTGTAGTAGGTCCATAAAGTTTGGTTCCAGTTTTCCCCCAGACCTTGAAGTTAAGTCACAAATTATTAAGTTATCTGATAATAAAACACCAGGTGTAGCAGAAAACTTTAGAAATATTCCAACCTTTTCTAGAAACATGGGGTGATCCACAAAGACACGATCAACTCCCCTCTTATAGCAATGGAAGTAGCGAACTTTCTCTGTTCTATCTCCCACTTTCAACTGTAGTAAGCAGATTATAATGCATTTAACTATACAAGAACACAACTTAGTAAAAACCTCAATGAAAACCTAATTTCACTTATTGTCAATGATATACCTCAACTATAACATTTGTATCCCATGCATCTTTGTACTGATCATGACGTGGAGCAATGGTCATAACTCGATGCCCATTACCCTACAAAAGGTCAAATTAGAAGGAACCTTGCTCTCACTGAACCCCAGATGTGTCACTCAATACATAGCTAATTTAAGAGAAAACATTGACAATATTCTTACAGCCAATGCTGGTGGAAGCCCTCCAAGAACATCTCCTAACCCGCCAGTTTTGCTCCATGGAGCAACCTCAGTTCCTACAAAGATCAAATTCATGCCACATATGATTACACCTGTGGGCCTATCATTCTTGTTCTGAACCTTCATCCTCATAGTTTGTGCTGCATTAATTTTAATTGGGGTTCTATTAAGTAACTCATCCACCGGGTTCAAAATTCTTAGCCCATTATGAGTATTGGTCTGCTTTAGAGATCTAAGTCCCATTGATGCTGCTTTAGACTCATATGAAGCATTTGGTCCATAGTGGACATGAGAACTTCCAGAGACTAAGTTACTTGAAGCAGTCAATGTTGCCATCTTTGATACTTCTCCCCTGTAGAATAAAGTCTCCTTCAGAATTAGAAAACTTTGTAAATTTATTTTGTACTATTGCATTAATGCTTAGTATTATAAGTTCAAAGTTATACAGCCAGCAGATACATTAAAAAATGGTTCCATAAGAAACTATTTTTCTCATTAATCTGTTTTAAATGGAATGAACAATTAACATCACTTAGTTAATAACTTATTAACAACCAGTTTAAAGACTTCAAATTTGGAATGGAACTAACTTACCAGCCGATGAAGCGCACAGAGAGTTAAAGCAAGAACAGCAAGGATTAGCCAGAAGGGTCAAGCATTAACTTGAAGAGTTATTTTTGTATTCATTTGCTTTCTTACTTCAAGATGATGCATAGGAGGGTGCAGCATTTGTAATGCGGTACTGCTCTTATGCTTTTGGCTTTTACCTTCCACATGGCAATCATAGAGTGATTCTTGTGGACAGCATTGCATAGACACCTCAAACATTATTAGAGGCTATGACAGCGTTTTAGATTTTACAAGTTTTGTGGGCCCATGTGCTGCCTCTGAATAATTGGAATATGCCTTGATGTAAACTAAAGCCTTGAAAAATAGAAACATTTTTTTCGGGGAGTTCTTTAGTTTGATAATATACCTCCGTGTATTTTGTCTTTATATATATGTATTAAATATGAGTCTTTAATTTCATATAAAGATATTTTTATAAATTATTTCATATAAAAAAGTTCATTTTTTTTTTATTAATCATGCAGCTTTCAATGCATTTAGCATTATGTTTTTTAATTTAAGCTAAATTTAAAACTTTATAATTTATTTTTAATTTTAAAATTTTAATATATTTAATTAGTCATATTTAATATAATTAATTAAAATACTTATTTTTAATTGAAAAATATTAAGTTTAAAAATAATTATTTTATTTTTAATCTTTTATTTAAAAAAGTTTAATTGAATAATATCTTACCATGTACAAAAAATCACTAATTAACAATTAATAACATCATATAGGGAGATTTATCTTCTTCTTCTTTTTTTAAGAATGGTTTTTGAACCACCATCGTGTTCATTTCATTTTCCGGTTTTTTGCTCGAGATTTTGTGTCATGCGATATTTATTGTTAGTACACATAGCTTGTGAACTTTTCTGTTAATTTCCGAAGTGGTTGCTTTTAAATTTTAAATATTTTAAAATTTTAATTAAAACATATTGACAATATAAAAAAATTAAACCATCATTTAATTATAAATATTATATTATTAAAAATCATATTCTAAGTGATTCTAATTAATTGATGATGGAAAAGTGTTTACATAATTGATATATTAAATTTAACTGATTTTAAAATAAATATTAATTTATTATTATTATTATTATTATTTTGTTCGCTTGATGTAAAATGATTTCATTGATTTTATTTTATTTTTTTTCCTACGGTTGTAGTGGGCTGAAGCGCTTTAACGCACGTTGTGAAAAGGGAAAAAAGTGTGGTGACAAAATAATAGAAACAAAATAGGCAAGTCATGGCCAGAGAACTTCCCCTAAAAATAAAAGGCTTAGGATTGTTTTTGATGGAGAGGTTTTGGAAGAGGGAATGAGATAATTTTTAATTTTAAATTAACAGATATTATAAATATATGATTAATATTTTAAGTTTATATTAAATATATTGTTTTTTATATATTATTTAAAAAATATTCATTTAAAACAATTAAAAAAATACTCTCTTTTACAAATAATTCTGAAACAAATGTAAAAAGTAGTTAATATAAAATATTTAAAATTTTAAATAAATATTAAAATAATTTATTGTTGAATTACAAATAAGTAAAATAGTGGATTCCAATATTCAAGTAATGATACATCTTTTTACCTTGTAGCAAACTAATTCAAGTGTGTGTGTTAGTGGTTTTTTTAATATTTAATCGTCTTTTATAAAACTTGTTGACAATGATGTTTAGAGTTTCTTAAGTTTCAAAAAATCATATTTAGTTGCCCAAAGTCTAGAAAGTGGAGATATTGCCCATTCCAAAGTCATGAGAAAAAAGAGAGGGAGAGAATAGAAAATGCAAGAGAGTGTTTGTTTCTTTTTTTAAAAATACTTTTTTTAATTTTAAAAATAAAATTTAATATAAATTTATATGTTTTTAAAATAGAAAAAAATATCTTAAAATTTTATATTTTTTTAATCTAACTATTTTTTAGTTTTCTATCTGGTTTAATTTGGATCTAATCCTGATCGTGCAATTGGATGTTGTAGATGAATTTATCATTAAAAATATTTTGCATACACAAAAATTCGAACTTAAAACCTTACTTAAGAAATATCGAGCCGCTTATTATTCGGATCAATCTTAGTTGGTTTTAATCTAACCATTTTATTTTGATGCTAGTATATTATAATTATATTTTGCACATTTTAAATCTTCTTTAAAAATACATAAATTATATTATATTTATAAATAATATATGTAATAAAATTATAATGTAGTTGGGTTTTAACTACGTTTAGTTTGAGTAAAATGAAAATAAAATCTGTTTGTTAGATCAAATCATAGTTTATAAATTATAACACAAACATATTAAAAATTTACCTCTAAATTTTAATATTTGTTTATCTTTTCATAAAAATAAACATAAAGATATTCTTATAAAAATAAGTAATCCTTTTCTTATAAATAAAATCGGTAAGCTTTAAATTTTAAGTTTAAACTAATGTGAAAATTTTTATCGGTCTTATTTCAATTTTTTTGACCAATTCAAATTCAGTGAGTCTATTTAAATATAAAATGTGAATTTAAATATCTACTAAATAAAAATATATATATATCTAACTTGACAAAGTGTAAAGTTCAATCTAGCCAACCTGATATAAATTGAGTAATTTATTTTGTACACCTCACTAAATACTTTTTTTAGTATAACCTTCATTGATGAACCTTGTGAAATTTTATTGCAAAGTATATATTAAACTTTCGTATGCTCACTAAATTATGATCGTGCTTGATTTTTGTATTTAACTTCATCATATACTCGCCAAATATGATTGAAGCCCAATATGTATATTTTTAAGTTTATTAAATGATAATCCCAAATTACCTCTAAAAATATATCCTTTGTTACTTTGTGTCGCAACTCAATAGTCGCAACATTACGGCAAAAATGTGTTTAAAAAAAATATTTTTTAACAATAAAAATATTTTTATAAAAATTAGAAGAGTTGCCACCAAAATTTATTTTAAGAAAATATTAAATTTTTTTAAAAAATAATATGATCTTTGAAACTAAAAATGAATTTATAAGTCATTTACGTGTATGGAAAGTATTAGTACCCCATAACATGCATTTAAAAACAGTTATCTTAAATTAATTGTGCAAATTCATTTTAATTTTAAAAAATATTTATTTAACCCCTAAACATTAATTATTTTTATTTTAGAAGAAGAAAAAAATTATTTATTGAAATGTTAACTCAGCATCTTAAAAAAATTATTTTAAAAATTATTTTGATTTAACGGGTATAATTCCTGCTCCTACGTATCTCAGATGCAATAAGAACTCAAAGTCACGTAGTTCTGTCTAAAAATTATGAAATTGCTTAATTAAAATTTTGTCTAGTAAAAGAAAATTTATTTTGAAATTAAATTTATTTTCATAAAATTATAATATTTAGGATATAAGATAATGCGGTTATACATGAACCCTACGAGAAATAATACAAAAGGTAAAGAAAGATCACACAACTATATTGTAAATCGTTAAAAATATTTTATTCGTAAACGAAGTTTTTAAATTTTAATTTTGATTATGATTAATGTTGAAAGAAAATTCAAGATAGCATAAGTTATACATAAATCTCTTAGAACTTATTAAACAAAAGAAGGCAATGTAAATCACACATCGATATTACAAAAAATATATATAATAGAATGAAGGAATAATTGATTATTTAAATTATTAAAATTAGAAATATGACTTAAAAAAGTTTAAAATATGAAATTAATTATATTTAATGAAAGGAATAAATATATTTGAATTGATTAGAAAAAATATTTAATAAAAAGATCAAAACTTCATTTGATAAATTTATGTTGTAAAGAACCTAAGACAACGTTGGTACATATAGGTTATAACAATTTATAATGCATAAAGGTAGAGTCGCTACACATTAGCATTATAAATTGAAAAGGAGTTGGAATGAAATGATTGATTAGATTAATATATGAATATGATAGACTACAATGCAGTACTAAGAATACTGTGCTACTGAGTTTTAAAGTAACTTTTAAATTAAATCAAACCATATTTATTAAACTAATAAAATAAAATAAAATAAATGATAATACAAGTTAGTAGTACTTCTATCTCATTTTTTTATCTAATTTATTTTTACTTTTCCAACGAGTTTTAAAATGCAAATTAAGAAACGACACAAATCTAAAAAATACAAAGAGGAAATATGAGCGCTAACATGAAGAATACAAGAAAGAAAGATGAAAAAAATAATTCAAGCAGTGATTAACAGTGAGTATAATATTGTCTTTGATTTTTATCTTCGTTTTGTTAGATTATTTTAATAATCTTATTATAGTGGCCTATGTAACTTATAGCATGACTCTAATTAATGATTTAATGTGATGGTGGTTAAATATAAAATATAGAGTTATTGAGGGTATAATTGTAAATACAATTACAATGAAACTCTTCCCTCTCCCTTTATATAAATTAAAGAGCGGTTACCAAATGAGAGTTACGACATTCCCTATTTTCACACTTTTCGTAGTTTCTAAGTGAGCTCACGGTAAACGCATAAAGGAACTTTCTTAAAGACAAGGAAAGAAGAGTTGGAAAAAATACCAAGGAATCAATGACAACATCAAATAGAGAGGTAACATCAAGGAACAATAGATTCAAGTTAGTGTTCTCTAAACCCTTAATTGTATGAGAACCATATATTGAGTTGTGAGAGCAACGAAGATCTCAAAGAAAAGAGGTAATTTCATAATAGTCATTGCATAATAGAAATTACATAATGAATTAAAGAAAATTCTAACACTTTTTTTTCTTAGATTTCTCTAAAAATTTTCTATCTGCCGTTCTCTAATCTCTTCCTTACTCTCCTGTCTCTAAAAAAAAACTCCTCTTCAGATCTCTTACTTGTGATTTTAAATTAGTACGTTTAAGATTTTTACAAAACATTAAAGTCTTGAATTTTTCTGTTTTCATGCTTAAAATTAATATTTGATGTTAAATTGTAAGAGTGCAGACTTCTATTTATTTTTTGGAGTCAAGTTTTTTTTTCTGTAAAATAATTATATTTTATTTTTTATATTTTTTTTTAAAATTTGGAGACACTCCCTGCAAGACAAAAATTGGTATTCACACTTTGCTATTCTATTTTATATATGCTTTAGTTACGTTATTAAAGAATAGTTAAAGTCTATTTTATATATGCTTTAATTGTGTTATTAAAGAATAGTTAAAGTTAGGATTGTCCATTGATACATCATAAAAAGAAAATCCGTTAATATACTTTTTATTATCAATAAATGGCTAAATAAAGAGAAAATGAACAATCATACTTTTTAATATTAATTTTTTTTTCTTAAAAAAACATTTGTATTTACTAAAAGACCTACCACCATTACCACACTCCGCTGTTTGAGTCACATCTTTTGGTTAGACATGCTAGTGCTTACAAACTCTGCCACACCTTCTTTTGATCTTTATCTGGCTCAACATTTTTGCAATTGCGATGGAGGTTAGACCAAGTTCATGCAGGTTTTCTCTTTTGGTTGGGTTCTTTACTTGGAAAATATCATCGGACATCAAAGAAAGAAATTAGGGGTTTACTTCAATTTTTTTGTGCAATTGAAGATTCGAGGCCAGATAATTGGTGCTCTAATTTTTCAAATGTTCTACTGAAGTTGGCTTTTGTTAGATCAATATTAGGTGATTAAGAGGAGATTAGAGTTGAAGGGTTAATATAATGTATCCAAAGGGCCAATCACAATGTTTCTCCATTTGGGCATAGTATTTGTTAAATTAACCCTTCTTAATGCATCATTTCCGTGATATTTTTATGACATTCATTCAAATTATATTAACACAATATTAAATTTAATTAAATATATTTTTAATTTTTATATATTGTCATAGTTTTTTTTTTCTTTTTTACTAAAAGAAGAGACTAAGCGCTCAAAAACACATAAACTAAAATTTCACTCTAAATCTGCATATAATTAAATATTCTATGCTTAGTAAAATACTCAAAGAAATAATAAAATCTTATTAAAATAAGAGAAATGAATATGTATCTCAAGATTTATTTTAGCAAGTTTATTAGCATATTAATTAACCTCTTTTGCCTAAATTTAAGAAATTTTATACTTTTAAACAATTGTCTAATATTATGAATTAAATGATACAAATGGTGAAATAGTAAGAATTAAAACTATAATTTCTTTAAAATTACTCTCAATTCAAATAATGAGGATGCATTTTTAAATAACCAGCTGAAGTCCAAATTACATACCTGCAATTTAACTGCAGTAGGAGAGCAGGCTTTTAGACTTGAACAGAAACCAACAATGAACTCTCCTTCATTATTGCAAATAAAGCCACCTTAGTTAGTAGAGTTAAAATTAAAAGAAACAGCATTATCAATATTTAGTTCCAGATGTTGAAAAAGTAGAAGAAATAATCTAATTTAACCGCGGTCATTTGCTAAGGTTAAAATAACCTTTCAATCCTCGTACTAACATATAAGTAGATAATTATCTTTAGTGAACATGGCACTAACAAGTATTTCATTTGTCGTGCACATATAAGTAGATAATCCTAAAGACAATGAAATTTAAAATTATGATTTAAGTTTAGAATTTGTAAGCTTATAATATAAATTATTTTTTTAGTTTCATGTTGTATTAACATTTATTTTTAAATTAATTAATAATATAATAAGTAAGTGTAAAAAATTAAATATAAAAATTGAACAATATACAATAAAAATTCAAAAACACTATAAAAAAATAAATAATAAAATGAATAACAAGAGCAGGTTGAATAACAATAGTCTTATTGATGTATATATGGCTACTTTCACTCACTTTGCAACTTACACTGCACTTATAAAAATAAATTTGTGCTGAATGACTAATCTTTTATTTACATATAACAATGAAGGTAAAAGACTTTCTTTGAGATGTCAAAGAAAAATATTTTTTAGTAAAATTAATATGTTCTTAATTTCATGAACTTATTTTTTATCACTACTTTTTTATACCAATACTTACCTATCTATTAACTTAACAAAATTATCTTACATAACATTTAAAATTATTAATTAATTACAAATTAAGTTCAAAACAATAATATTTCATAATACGATTTCTTCTTTTCGAATTCTACTTTTTTCTCGTTGATTCATATTTACAAAAATACATCAAAAAATTTATTTCCATAAACAAAGTTTGAAATCCAACGTAAACATGTCATTTTGAAGGAATAAAATAGTTTTTTTGCATTAAAATTAATATATTCATACTTTAAAATGATATTATTTTGTCATTTAAATGAAATCAATGCCCTGAAAACAAAATTCAATATCACTCCCAAACATCAATTGAAAAAAAAATATAGTTTTCAACGTCAATTTTTTTTTAAAAATCTCCCAAAAGTTGAACAAAACTAACTCAAAAAGTTAATAATCCTTGAAGTGATCGATCAATTGGTACAGAGAAAAATAATTAAAAAAAAAACAACAAAAATTATATTTAGTGGAAATATAATTTGAAGTGAGTCGAACATATGAGCTTTGTCCACAGCATCATGGAGCTGGACCTCCGCACGTTCCTTCCCTCAGCCACGTCCACCGACGACGAAGCCGATGAAGCACCTCACCGCACCATCGATGATATTCTCAACGACTGTGACACTTCCTCATCGTCACCCTCACCTCCTTCCTCTCCCTCAACACACACCAATTCCCTTCCCCAAAAACCCTCACAACTAAAGCCACTTCAACCCTCACCCGATTCCCTTTCTCAGGTCAAACCCGTAGAATTCCCCGATCGAACGCGCGTTTCGCGTCCATTCTCTTCTCTCTTTCACGGCGTGCGCTCCAATGCCAAGCCCGGTGCTGCGCTCGCCGCCGCCGCTGCCGCCTCTCGGTCCGTACCTACGCCGCACGCGGCCGCGATTATGTGGCGAAGGAGAGGCGCTGTTGCTAACGGTGCCGAATCGAGTTCCGTCACTGCCGTTGGCGATGATTCTGATGTTTCTTCTTCCAAAGGTGAATCAGGTGAGTATAGTGAGAAATTCGAGTCAGAGGCGAGGGGAATTGAAACTCAATCTAGTGAGAGTGTTTCTGCTGTTGGCGAACGTTTTGAGAGTGATGCGGAAATTGCAACTGATTCGAAGACTGGTAGTGCAGACAGTAACATTCAGGTGCGTAGTGATTCTGATTCTGATGCTTCTGTCGTGAGTAAGGAGAAGAGGGATTTGGATGAAGTTGATCCTGATCTTGAAAATGATATGAGTTCTGCACCATTTGATCATGATGATCATGAATTCAATGGAAAAACTAGTCTTACTTATGTTGATGGTGACGAGAGAGTTAGTGTAACGGACGCAGCTGGGGAAACAGAAGAGCTAGTGAATAATGGTGGTAGTACTATGGAAGATGTTAAGAATGACGAGAGTGTAGTTGGTGGTGACGATGGTAGTTCATTAGGCGATGTTGCTGAGCTGGTGGAAGAGACGCTAGAGGAATTGGAAAGGATAAGGGCTGCTAAGAGAGCGGAGAAAAAATTAGAGTCTTCAATGAGGCCACTTGAATTGGCTGAAGAACTGGAGAAGAGGCATGCTTCAACTGGTTTGCATTGGGAAGAGGGTGCTGCTGCCCAGCCGATGAGGCTCGAGGGTGTGCGCAGAGGGTCCACTACGTTGGGATACTTTGATGTTGATGCTGATAATGCTGTCACAAGGGTCATTTCGTCCCAAACGTTCAGGCATGAACAAGGTTTTGCCCAAGTCTTGGCAGTTCATACTAATTACATTGCAGTAGGAATGGCAAAGGGGCTCATTGTTGTAGTTCCCAGTAAATATTCCATTTATCATGCTGACAACACAGATGGAAAGGTTGTTTCCTGATTTAATCAAACTTTTTGATCTAGCTCAAGTTCAATGAATTATGGAAATTTACATCTTTGCCTGCAAATATGTCTAGTGCAATGTGGAAAGTAACCAAAATTAATGTAATATTATGTTTACTGCTATCTTTTAACTCCGAAAATTTTTCTATTAGATTTTGCAAGAAAGTGAAAACAGATTCTATCAAATTGCACTGAAACATCTGAGTTGCTCGACATAATGAATGAGAAACTCAATATGGCAATGCAAAAGATTTTTTATTCCGATAAAAATAAGAATAAAGACAAGTGGATAAAACCATCTCTCAGAAAAGCTAAAATAATTATAAAAAAAGGCCAATCCCTGCCCCTAATACCCACATTATTGGTGGTGAAGATGCTCTTTGAATGATCATTTGTCAGTGCACATAAATTGGTGATGCTGATGCTTGCAATTTCAAGCATTTATTTGATTAGTTTTGGCATCAGTTGTAACTTCGTTTCTCAATATTTTCTGTTTATTTGTTAGATGTTGATGCTGACTGTACAAGGTGATCGGTCACATGCTCCAGTGACGTCCATGTCTTTCAATCAGCAAGGAGACCTTCTTTTAGCTGGTTACGGTGATGGTCATGTCACCCTGTGGGATGTACAGAAAGGTGTAGTGGCAAAAATTATAAGTGGCGAACATACTGCACCAGTGATACATACATTGTTTCTAGGACAGGATCCTCAAAATACTCGTCAATTTAAAGCAGTTACTGGTGATTGTAAGGGTCTGGTTCTCTTACACAGTATCTCAGTGGTCCCTTTGCTGAATAGATTCTCTATCAAAACTCAGGTATATCATATTTTGTATTAACATGTTGTGAAGTGGATTGTGTTATACAGGGGATTTCTGAGATAATTTAGTGTCCAATTATCTCATGTTTCTCTTCTTCGTTGAACATGTGTTAATTTTGTAGTGTCTTCTTGATGGGCAAAGAACGGGCTTGGTGCTTTCAGCTTCACCACTCCTTTCTGATGACTTCAGTGGAAATGCTTCACCGTATTCCCAGGGAAACACCACAGCCTCAGCCAGCAGTATAAGCAGCATGATGGGGGGTGTTGTTGGCGGAGATGCAGGTTGGAAACTCTTCAATGAAGGCTCTTCTTTGGTTGAAGAAGGTGTGGTTGTATTTGTCACCCATCAAACTGCATTGGTGGTATGAAAATCAGATATTTGTGCTGGTTCCATTGTACCTTTGTCGATACTTATCATGCATTGTTATAAAGATACCTTTGTCAATACTTATCATGCATTGTTATGAAGATACTAAATCTTTGATATAGGTACGACTGAGCCCTACATTGGAAGTCTATGCTCAACTTTCTAGGCCAGATGGAATTCGGGAGGGTTCCATGCCTTATACTGCATGGAAATACATGACACAAACATGTAGTTCTACTGGTATGGATTCATTTTATTTATAATTAATGTTGACTTCTTTCTAAATAGTTCTTGCTCTCTTGTAGAAAATATGTCTGCAGAAGCTGTTGAAAGAGTTTCATTGCTTGCCATTGCTTGGGAGCGGAAGGTTCAGGTTGCAAAGTTGGTCAAATCAGAATTAAAAGTATATGGAAAATGGTCTCTTGACAGTCCAGCTATCGGTCTGGCATGGTTGGATGATCAGGTTTTATATCATCTTCTGTCCACCTAGATTAGCTAGATGTCTGGCCACTTTTTTTCCCCTGTTTTGTTCCATTGCACACTCCTTGTATCTCTTTGCTTCTTAGCAATAAGGGTGGTTAAAAGGATTTTGTTTATATGCTCAGATGCTGGTAGTTCTCACTTCAACTGGACAACTATATTTATTTGCCAAGGATGGAACTATGATTCACCGAACAAGTTTTGCTGTAGATGGTATTGGAGGAGATGATTTAGTTTCTTACCATACTCACTTCATCAACACATTTGGAAACCCCGAGAAAGCTTATCATAACTCTGTCGCCATAAGAGGAGCTTCTATTTATATACTTGGTCCAACTCATGTTCTAGTTTCTCGTCTTCTCCCTTGGAAAGAGCGTATTTTGGTTTTGCGGAAAGCTGGTGATTGGATGGGTGCCTTGAACATGGCAATGACTCTCTATGATGGTCATGCTCATGGGGTTGTTGACCTTCCTAGAACCTTGGATGCTATACATGACGCCATAATGCCCTTCTTGGTGGAGTTGCTCACATCATATGTTGATGAAGTGTTCTCCTATATTTCAGTGGCATTCTGCAACCAAATTGGAAAACTGGACCAATCCGATGATTCAAATAGTACAAGCAATTTGGTGCATTCTGAGATAAAGGAGCAATACACCCGCGTTGGTGGTGTTGCTGTTGAATTTTGTTGTCATATCAAACGGACAGACATTCTTTTTGATGAAATTTTCTTCAGGTTCTTGGATGTTCAACAGAGAGGTAACCCATTGTCTTAGCCTTGTGTAGTAGGATATTATTAAGAGGGCTTCTCTTTTCATTTCACTTCCTTCTTTTATTCCTGTCAGTGTCAGCACCAGCCACAAGTATTTCTTTTAGTTAACTTATTTTAGTTTAGTAACACAGTGACTTTTGAAATAGACATGGGCTAGCTCTTAAGAGGGCGGTGAGGAGGTGAAAAAGCTAATACATATGTAATTTAATGTATGTAGAACTTCATTGTGTAATTTTCGAACAAAGAAATTAAACATAATACATCTTATATTATATTTGGTTGTTCTAAATTTCTCTGAATTTTTCAACCATAAAAAAACAGAAGTCTTCATTCTCATCTTTTTCCTTTGGCAATAGTAAGAATATTGTAATCTATTATGATGACGAGTATTTCAGCATTTGAAACACTAATAAGATACAAGATCAAAAGCCTTTCCCATTAAGTGGTGTCTCTTACATGGATGAAATGATGCGGATGCATTTTGTTCAAATCCATGTCTTTGAAGTGGCCTTCTAGATATAATTTCTGTTTAATCTACTTAGAGTTTTTTTCTTGGTTTTCCTCCACCTCTAACTATTGGGATATTCTCAATCTGATTAACTTTCTTATTGGGACTTCTATTGATCTTCTTCTCACTTGGCCAACCCATCTTAGGTTCAATTCTATATGCGCTACTCCTACTTTCTCTTTGATACATTTATTTGTATCTTATCTAATGCATTCTCTTCTTTGTGACATTGAGCTTATGCTCTTATTGGTACTTCATTTCCCAGGTGCCCAATATTCAGTAGCAAACAAAGACCTCTTAATAATCAGTTGAAGATTCATCTGAAATTATTTCATTGTCATTAACAGTTCAATTCTTTTACTTTTCATTGATTCATGGTTGCATTAGTTAAATAGATGCTGTACTGAAGCTATTTTTCACAATTAATTTATTCAGTTGATTTTCCCTAGAAAGATGAATATTTTGTGTAGGTGCTCTTGTATTTTTAATTTAGCCTTTTCCAACTGTTAATGGATAACTCTGGAAATACTTTGTAATTTTTACCAGAAACATTTTTGGAGCTTCTGGAGCCATACATTTTGAAAGACATGCTTGGATCTCTACCTCCTGAGGTATTGGATCATGCCAGGCCTTTTGGCCTAGTTGGATGCAATGTTATCAGTATTAAGTATTAACTTTTTGGTTTTTAAATCCATATTCTTGATTGTTACAATATCTTTCTTCCTCTTTTTGTTTTGTCCCTCTGTTCTGTAGATTATGCAAGAACTGGTAGAGTATTATAGCACCAAAGGGTGGTTACAGCGGGTTGAGCAATGTGTACTTCACATGGATATTTCATCCTTAGATTTTAATCAGGTTCTTGTTAGATCTTTTAAAATATTTATCCTTGCCCTAATATTTTTATCAGCATAACTGCCAAATGTTTATATATGATACTTTCTTTAGGTTGTCAGATTATGCAGGGAGCATGGGCTATACAGTGCACTGGTGTATCTCTTCAATAAAGGATTAGATGATTTTAGGGCACCTCTGGAAGAGCTCTTTGCTGTCTTACAAAATAGCCCAAAGGAAAGTGCTAATGCACTTGGGTATGTTGCCTTTCTCCTCATTATTCTTATTTTGCTTTCCCTATACCCGTGTATTATTTGTGAATGCCAAGTTACTTAATGCCAATATATGGAATTGTGAAATTTATGAATTTTGTTTGTATTCTCACAAGTTAAAAAAAGCAACTCTTTCTTTCTGAGAAACTCAACTAGTAAGAGAAAAAATTAATGATGGAAATCTCTCTTAAAACATGCCTAGTTCAAATGTCCCTCCCCCTCTTCCAACTTCCCATTGGAAAGGTCAGGAAAAAAAAAACGTAAGGACTATTTTTCTATGCTTTATTAGCCAATGAATGAAAAAAAATCATAAATTTTTTGCTCTAATGAAACTTCTTAGCTACTAGCTAGATGCAATCTTTAATTCATGTCCATTGACCTTATTTGAATCTAATTTTGATCTTCCATGGAGCCTTCATAAATTTTTTTTTTTAGATATTTCTAATAAGAAATATGAATTGGAAATCAGTTACAATTCCTCTGTGGTGCTCTCTCTAATGTAATGTGTACAAAAAATGGACAGCAGTTTATTCGCTATATTTCTTCAAAGCGAATATGTTACTTTTTTCCTAAGCTTGTTAGAAGTGATTGAATATGTATTTTTCTTTTGTCTCCTTTTAACAGGTATAGAATGTTGGTTTATCTCAAGTACTGCTTTACAGGTCTTGCCTTTCCACCAGGTAATTTCTGCCTATTCTTTAATCTTTTCTTTTATTTATTTTCTGATTTAAGAATATTTCAATAATACAACATAAAGATGATCCATTGGTTGCATATAATTGTAGGCCATGGAACTATTCTTCCCACACGCTTACCATCTCTTAGAAAGGAGCTTGTAGAGTTTTTGTTGGAGGACTCTTGTACTCTGAAATCACAGACAGTTTCAGACTGTGTGTCCAGGCAACCCTGCCTGAATCTTTATCTTCTCTTAAAGTTAGATCCTGAAGCTACATTGGATGTCCTGAGATGTGCCTTCGTGGAAGATGCAATTTCAAATACCGACTCATCTTCAGTGGATTCAGCCAATAGACCTATCGACGAAGTAAAAAAAGGAAATGATAATGTTAATGAAACTCAAAATACTTTGGTTCAGAACACAGTTGATGCTCTCATCCAAATAATTGATATGAATATTGTTCCACCAGATACAACCTCTAATAGTGGTGATGATGAGTCGATAAAAGAGTGTCCTTCCAAGGACATAGGTTATCTGTTTGAATTTATTGCATATTATGTTGCGCTCCAAAGAGCTAAAATTTCAAAGAGTGTGTTGTGTCAAATATTGAAGTATTTGACCTCAGATAGTCAGTTTTCAACTAATGTTTCTGTTAATGCTTCAACTCCAAAAAGTAGAGAGAAGCAAGTGCTTGCCCTTTTGGAAGTACTTCCTGAGTCAGAGTGGGATGCGTCATTTGTGCTAGATCTATGTGAGAGAGCCAACTATCATCAGGTAGGTACATTATCCATTTTGATGATAATCAAATATTAACTTTTATCTAGCTATGTGAATTTTATCAACACTCTTGATTGGTTTTAGGTTTGTGGATTGATTCATAGTGTCAGACATGATTATGTGGTTGCATTGGATAGTTATATGAAAGATGTAGATGAGCCTGTTCATGCCTTCTCTTTTATCAACAAAGCATTCTCACAGTTAACTGACAATGACCACAGAGCTATTCGATCAGCTGTCATATCACGGATTCCTGTGTTGGTTGAACTGAGCAGGTAATCTTCCTTATTAGTTTACTCAAGTTGGATTTTTTTGGCAGGTTATACAACATTTATGGTTTCTATATTTCAATTTATGTAACAAATAATCTTTATTTACATTTATTCTATTTATTTGCTTGTAGGGAGGGTGCATTCCATATGGTTATCAGTCATTTTAATGAAGAAAGTTCCCGTATCGTTACTGAACTTCACTCTCATCCAAGAAGTCTTTTCCTTTATTTAAAGACACTCATTGAACTTCACTTATTTGGCACCCTAGACTTGTCCAATTTGAGAAAGGATGATATTATAAATCCGTTTAATGGAAAGCTGGTTAAGGATCATCCACAAGGAGTCAAAGATTACTTAGAGAATATATCTAATTTCCCTAAGTACATCCGTGAAAATCCTATTCATGTGTCTGATGATCTTATTGAGCTTTACCTTGAGGTGAGTTTTTGTACCAGTACTTTTGCATGGACAAGATTAGTTTGATTTTTATTTGTGTTCTTTTTGCCATCAAGAACTAAACACCAAGGCATAGTGTTGTTATGTGTTGTTATGGGGATCTCTCATGCACTAACTTATGTGTTTAGTGTTTACTGAATTCTATCTTCTTTAAACTTTTCATGTCTGTTGAGGAATAGGGTTGGAGATCTACCTCATTTTTTATCCTTTTTTATTTACTTATGTAGCCTTGTTTATTAGTTAACGTTTGTTAAAATTGTTTTTCTGTTGAGGGAATTCGCTACTGTAGCTGTGACAGGAACTTAGCTCTATTTTTTCTTGGTTTGATTTTGCAGTTATTATGCCAGTACGAAGGTGGTTCAGTTCTCAAGTTTCTCGAAATGTTTGATAGCTATCGTGTTGAACATTGTTTACGGCTGTGCCAAGAATATGGGATTATAGATGCAGCTGCATTCTTATTAGAAAGGGTTGGTGATGTTGGTAGTGCTCTTTTACTTACACTTTCTGATCTAAATGATAAATTTGTTGAGCTTGATGCTGCTGTGGAAGCTGTAGTTTCAAAACATCGCACGCGTGGTTCTTCCCATATGGAAATATTCAACAGTGTTTTCAGAACAAAGGAGGTGGTTTATCTGTTCTTGAAAACATTTTAATGAAGCTCTAAAGATGCAAATGTTCTTTGATTGGTATGCTTTTATGTTTGTATTTATTAGATGACCTAATACTTTTATTGGTTACTAATCCAATAGGTGAGTGACATCCACAATTTATTGCGTGCGTGTATTGGTCTATGTCAACGGAACACACCCCGTTTAAATCCTGAGGAGTCAGAGGCACATTGGTTTAAATTACTCGATTCGTAAGTTTAATATGAATATACATTTCCTTTCTTTCATTCGTTTTTATTTATTAACTTATTTTTAGCCTGCTGGAGTGTTTTTATATTCGTCTGATAATCATTATATTAGAAAATACAGATGGACTTGTACATTATATAGTTCATAATATCGGTAACAAGATATATAAAGAAAAACAGTTCAAATTGTTACTTCTTGTCCTATGAAAAGTAGAAACTAGGAATTAAAAGTAAGGTGGTCAACTTTTTTGGTTTGAACCGATGAAGTCATGGTACCAAGTAATCCTAATTGCCATTGGTCTAGGGTGCACCCTTCATCTAGCATTTGATCTTAAAGACATTGGCTAGCACTGATTCTGTAGAGGAGAGCAGTGCTTGATAGTTGATACATATCCAATTGAAGTTTCTTAAATTTATTTGGCTGTTGCATGGCTTGTTTAGCATAAAGAAGGGAAATGGTAGATGTGACATTGTGGTATCCAAATAACCGATAAATATTTAGATGATTCACAGGCATGATTTCAATTGCTCTGATACTAATCACTTCAGGTGGCTTGTAATCTGAATTATAGACTAGTCAACTTTTTTACTATCATGTAAAAGTTGCATAGCAGAGAAATGACATAACATTTTTTACGGGACCTCCTTTCTTGCATTTTAGAGAATAGCCCTGATTCTACACCTATGTGAGGATTAGTCTAGACACTTCGTGGTTTTTTATGGTGAAAAAGGAGAATAACAGTGATTTTTTTTTCCCTCTTTTTTGTGAGAGTATAGCTGTGATTTTTCATTTATAAAAGGTAAAACAAGAAGACTTTTTGACGATGGAGTCCCACTATTGCTAATCATGAACTTTAAAGTATAGAGTTGATTTTAGTTAAAAGTGAGTTTGAAGTGAAGTTATTTATATTTGGAAATTTTTCTCTTAAAAGTAAGTTTGTAGTAAAAATATAAAATTTTCAACTTAATGCAAAAACTACAATTTATTCCATTAGCTCAGACTTGAGTTTAAATGTAAAATCAATTTTGATATAAAATTGCCAAACATGTTGGCATGGATTCTAAACACATTACATATTCAAACATGATTTTAGGATTTTTTAACACTAATCCAAAGTACACAGTTGAAGTGTTATGTAATTATAAATGAGCCTAATGTCTGAAGAACATGCTTTTCCAAATTTTTGTTGCTGACATTTGGGAGCTCTTTCCGTTTTAACTACCCTTCGTCCATTGATTGTCATTCAGGTTTTGTGACCCATTGATGGATTCATGTGTTGAAGAAAGAGCATATGAAAGAAAAAATTATTTTGGAATGCTAGCTGGATCAGCAGATTCACAACTGAACAATGACACCTATAAAAGCAGTTGGAAAATTTCAAAGTCCCAAAATGGTCATATCTTGAGAAAATTGCTATCCCAGTTCATTAAAGAGATTGTTGAGGGAATGATAGGTTTTGTTCACCTTCCAACTATCATGGCCAAACTCCTGTCTGATAATGGTAGCCAAGAATTTGGCGATTTTAAACTTACCATATTGGGAATGCTTGGAACATATGGCTTTGAAAGAAGAATTCTGGTAACATTAAGTTGTTCATTTTTGTTCATTTATATTGTTTATTTGATTCTCTAATCAAGCTTTACAAAGTGTATTAATCTTCATACTTTTCCAGTAATTAAAATTTATCAATTGAATTTTTAAATAGAACCCTGTCAAAAACTGCTTCAAGAAACATGATAAAATGTGTTCAAGCTAGTTCATATTCTATTCTTTTTTGTGGTATTTGTTGGCAATTCTTTTGGAGCTAATATATTGTTGTAAAGCTTGATTAGAGAATGCCACGAATAGTTGCTTGATGGTTGGTGCAATTTATTTGTCACAATTACCATACTAAATTTGTTTACTTTGCTGTATCTAGATATATGTACAGTTGTGGCATTTCTGAGAACAAAATGAACTTCCTTAACTGGACATGTAATTATTACTTCCTTTGGTATACCATGGGGAACATGTAACGACTGGCTGCAATAGTGTCCATTCTGCATGGAATATCCAAAAACTTAATGGACAAATTACTCTCTTCTTTCAAGACAGTAACAGATAATTTGAATTTTCTTTTCATCCTCAAGGGGTTTAATGTTTTGTTCTGATTCTCTTCTCTTCTGCACCTAGGATGCTGCCAAATCCTTAATAGAGGATGATACGTTTTATACTATGAGTGTACTCAAGAAAGGGGCCTCCCATGGATATGCTCCCAGGAGTCTAGTGTGCTGTGTTTGTAATTGCCTTCTTACAAAAAATTCTGGTAGCTCTGGAATTCGTATTTTCAACTGTGGCCATGCAATTCATCTTCAATGTGAAGTTTCTGAAATTGAGTCAACGAGCAAAGGATCTTCATCTGGATGCCCTGTGTGTATGCCTAACCAGAAATCTCAGCAATCTAGAAACAAATCAATCATTGCAGCGAATGGCTTGGTCAATAAATTCTCATCAAAGCGCCAGTATCCCCATGGAAGTGCCATTCATCTGCATGACAGTGATTTATCAGACATTATGTATGGACAGCAACAGATATCGCGGGTAAATAAACAAACCTCTGTATCATCGCATCAATATACCTTGTCCAGACTTTCCAGATATTTATGATGAATCTTGCTTCTGCAGTTTGATATCTTGAATAGCTTGCAGAAAAATCAGAGATTTATGCAAATAGAAAACTTACCTCAGTTGAAGCTAGCCCCACCTTCTGTTTACCATGAAAAGGTTAGTAAAGTGACAGACTTTCTGACTGGGGAAAGTAGCAATAGTTCTGCAGTTACAGAGAAACAAAATAGAAACAAGCAAAACCGGGAGCTGAGAGTTAAGGGTTCATCAATTCGATTTCCTTTAAAATCAAGTATATTTGGTGAGTATTGTTATTTAAGAAAACTGTGATTATCTTTAGTAATGCTTGATTCTAACACAAAGGTAACTTGTGTGCAGGCAAAGAGAAAACAAATAAGCGGTGAATAACTGTTTCTTAAGAACAAAGAGAAGACTAACAACTGTACAGACTAACAGCAGATATCTTCCCCCGTAGGCTGTCAGTATAGCCACCAGATTGGATGAATCTCAATTCAACCCATTATTATTCTTTTGTATTTTATTCTACTTTTTTGTATATGTTTTTGTTTTCTTCCAAAGTTACTTTTTATAGATGTTACTGACCGTTGTAGCTGTATGTGTGTACGTATACAATAGAAAAACCATTTTTAGCGAGTTTAAGATAACGGGCCCGTTTTGGCTCTGTCGGCCTAACTTGCAACTTCTTTGTGCATATTGGTCTCTTATCCAAGTAGGCTTATCCTATCGTGGGTCCAATCCCTTCAGTATCGTAGGAGCAATCCTTCTTATCTGTTGTAAAGCTCTTTGGAAGCGTGCTTCATTGTATCTTAAGCTCTTGGGCATGGCCTTTTTGAGCCTGAGTAATTTAAAGGCTACAACCTTCAGACAATAAAACAAATATAACGGGCACGTTTGTTTGGGATTTTTTCATGAGAAAGTACTTAAAACTCACTTCTCAACATTTTTTTGTGGTTTGTTTAAGATTTTGAAAATAAATCAGCATATAAAAGAATCATACTTCTCATTGTTTTGAGAACCAATTTTGAACAGCATTCCATAATTGTAAATAAACAAAATATGACTCCATAAAATCTAACATAAAATGTTTTATACAATATTCAATTTATTCTTTTAAAAAGCTTTTCGAATTGCATGAAGAAACCTTCTTCGCCTCTTTTCTTTCTTTCTCTTGTTTCTTCTTTTCTTCCTTGTTTTGTTTCCAGACGAAAGCTTGATTCCTTCTTTCCCCGCACATGTAATTTTTTTAATGTTGGGGTAAAATTATCAATTTAAGGGATCAGAAGTTGACGATTATTCGGCCTGAGTTTAGCTTGCAAAAAATAAAATAAAATAAAAAACCTCAAATACTCAACCTGTACGCAATATTTCCCTGTAAACAGTTTTTTCTTATAAAATTGTAGGATAAAGCGGAACCAATTTACATAAGAAATTTATAGAAGTGTCTATTACCACTTTCATATGTCTATTGTTATTCTTCATTTAACATTTAATTTAAATATTATTATTGTTAAATTATTTTATAATAATTTATAGTTTAAATTTGTCGCTAACTCAAATATTATGTCATTCTTCTTAGAAGGAAGAGGCTTTATGACATTGCACGTGAGGAGAAAAATGGAAGAGAAAAGAAAAGAAAAATACAACTTTATACCATCTTTATCAAAACGTTCATAATTATGGTGCAAAAATTTAAGTTGTAAAAGTTAAAATATAGGGCCCAACCGGGTTCGAACCGGTGACCTCTTGATCTGCAGTCAAATGCTCTACCACTGAGCTATGGACCCTGTTGATGTACAGTTGGCGTTGATCAAAATGAAAACAATAATATTGATAAATTTAATTTGTATATTAGGTGATCAGTTTATATTTATACAGACAAAATAAAAATAGATTCACAATTTAAAATAAACCAAAATTTTAAATTATAACATATAATTCAATTACTATGTTCATAATTTAAGTATTATAATAGTACTAAAAAAACAACAAAATATAACTATAAAATTATTTTATTAATATTCAAAACAATATTTTGTTATAGTTATTTCATTATAGACTATATAAAATTATATCTGTGATTAAACAATTATTATTGTTTAATATTAGCATACATTTTATGAATGATTTTTTTATAAGTACACACATACTAGAACTATTTCTTGTTTGTAATTGTAAAATTGATTCATAATTTCAATGGCATTTTGTTTATACTCTTGCACTCTTCTCTTTTTCAATTATAATATATATATATATATATATATTCAATTACTATTATAAAATTAGAACATCTATATGAATAATTTTTTAAAGGAAAGTACATATATTTTTTTCTTAATTCTACATATTTATTATTTTTATTCTTCATTTGAGGTTACTATAACATGCACAATATGTTCAAATTTTTGCTTAAAATCTTTAATACATGAAATTATTGAGACCAAACTACTAAATTTCCATCCTCCGTAATTTTATTTTAGATTATTTCGGTATAATACGTTTTAAAAGGATTATTTGATATCACAATCTTTAAAGGATAAATTTCTTATTACAATAAGTGTTTAGGATAATAAATAAGCGATTCGGTTTTTTTAGTTATTTATATCTTTTAGAAAAAGCTTAAAATGTTTCTTTTATGATAGATATATGATTGTAAAGTTTCTCAACCTACATTGTGATAACTAAACTGAAGTGTCAATAAAATATATTTAAGAAATAATATTTATAAAGCGACATTTGCTTGATTATATTTTATAAAAATATGAATAACAGATTAAAAAAAATTATTTTATTTTCATATCATATTTTTTCAGTATCATAAAATAAATTTAATTTGAGCACAACTTTATAATAAAGGAAAGCAAGGTAGTCTATGTAAAGATAAGAGGAAGACTAGATAGAAGAAAGAAGTGAAAAAGGGACAAACATTTGTGGGCATGAAAAGGACTTGGAATTGATCCATATTCCATAGGCAGTGCCATGTCGACGAGTAAGGAGCATCACATGATCATTTCACTGAACTTCTTTTTATGTTTGGTTCAAAATAACATTAATTTGGAAGACCCAAACCCATTCATCTAAGAACAACTAACCACTCAAATATGAAGTAACCATGGTGACCAAACAAAAATAAAATGAAGTAACCACATATCATAATATCATAATCACTTGCTTTACATGTGCTCCAAATTCTTTGGAGGTGTGATGTAATAACATGATCGAATTTAGATAAAATAACAACAGATGCTATAATTGCATAAGAAATGCCGATTATACTTTTATCTCCCCCATCTTCCCCACGTCTCTATGTATATTAACACAAGATCATTGCCTTTATTAAAGAAAAATCATTTCTTTTTACCTATTATTGAAGATTATGTCACGCTAATTATAAAAGGTCACTAATTTAATTACATTGATTATATTAAAACTAGTTAAAGCAAAAGTAATCAATTATTTCATATGTTTATAGCATTAAACTACTGCTTTAGATTTTCACGGAGGCACTCGACAAAAATTTAATTAAATTAGTTCTCTGAACATTTTAGAATGAGGTCAAAATAATAAAATTTTGGTGACATCAATTCGATTGGCTTTAAATATTTATATTGTTAATATGATATAACAATTTTCCAAAATAAACCAAATTAAAAAAAATGTATCTTTAGACAACAAAATGCCACTTTATTCAATATTTATCTATATCCTTACAGGGACATGGTTGAAATTTCATGCAAAAAACCAAACAAAAAATGGTTTAAATATGTGAATGCTAATGTAGGAAAAGTTAGTTGGATTTTGGTGGTACCTGTCTCCTCTAGTCCTCTTTATTATTCTTCGCAATTAGGTTAAAAAAGAATATTATAACATTAAATTTAATAAAAAAATATTATTTTTATATTGTCATCTAATTACAAATTATTAACTTTAATAACAATTAATTTAAAAAATTATATCTATTATATACTTCAACTAATCAATAATATAAAAACCTTTCACAAATAATATATTAAAAATAAACTCTTTATGGCATACGCATCTCAAATATATTATTCCTTTTAAAACAATAAGAGACAACCAAAAATTGTCTCACTTTAATTTACATACATATGAAAAAAAGCATTTTCCTGGTATGAAATGAATTGCACATAGACATTAACATAGGCAAACACCCCCCAACAGCAAAGACGGTTATCTCCAAGCCTCACTACCTCGTTTTCTCCGTCCCTTCACTTGTCTTTGTTTCTGCTTCTTATAAACACATCATTTTTGTGTTCCTCTTCCCTTTAATTCATCACATAACACTAAAAACATTTGGCTTTTTGTTGCAGTCAGAAAAGAGAATGTCTTTCACTGCAACAAAGTTTGCACACTCTCCTCTCCCTCTCAATTCCACCAGTCCCAGATCCAATGACAAGCCTCTCTCTTTCTCTTTTGATCACTCCAAACCCAACCCTTCTTCTTCTTTCCTTGGATCCACTCGCAAGCTTCTTCGCTTCAATGCTCTCTCTAAGCCCCATGCTGCCCCTCGCTCATCATCATCATCTGTTGCTGCTGTTCTTCTTGAACAAACCTCTAATTTGGTAACCCTTTGTCCTTCTTTCTTTTTTTTTGTGTGAAAAGTTTATGCTTTGTGTGGATGATTATTGATTTTCTGAAATGGGTTTATTTAAAAAAGTTAGTTTTTTCACTCTATTCAGCTCATTGGAATTGAACCCAATTGGGTTTATAAGCTGCGTGATTCAAATGTCAATGCTTTCTTGTTAATTATTATTTTGGTTACTGGTTATTCTTTCAGATGTGTAGTTACTTCACGCTATGTCGATGTGTGTTTTACGTTATGTGTTCAGTTTTGTGCTATTTGTCCAATTGGCTTCAGAAGTTTTTTGAAAATAGTTTGTGTTGTGTGAGTGGTATGTATATATGTATAAATTTGGAATTTTTGTTTGGGAGTAAGTGTTTGAAGATTGTTGTTTTTATCTGAATTTGTGTGTAGCTTGTTACTAAAGAGGAAGGGTTGGAGCTCTATGAAGACATGATATTAGGGAGGGCCTTCGAAGACAAGTGTGCTGAGATGTATTATAGGGGGAAAATGTTTGGTTTTGTTCACTTGTACAATGGCCAAGAGGCTGTGTCAACTGGGTTCATCAAGCTTCTGAAGAAAGAAGATTATGTTGTGAGCACCTACAGGGACCATGTTCATGCATTGAGTAAGGGGGTCCCGTCTCGGGCTGTGATGAGTGAACTGTTTGGGAAGGCGACGGGATGCTGCCGAGGTCAGGGTGGTTCGATGCATATGTTCTCAAAAGAGCACAACGTGCTTGGTGGGTTTGCATTCATTGGTGAAGGAATTCCGGTTGCAATCGGGGCAGCATTTTCCAGTAAGTACAGAAGAGAGGCATTAAATCAGGCAGATGCTGATCAGGTGACATTGGCATTTTTTGGAGACGGGACTTGTAATAATGGGCAGTTCTATGAATGCCTAAACATGGCAGCCCTGTGGAAATTGCCAATTGTGTTTGTGGTGGAGAATAATTTGTGGGCTATTGGGATGTCACATCTTAGGGCAACTTCAGATCCTCAGATATGGAAGAAAGGGCCAGCATTTGGAATGCCAGGGATCCACGTCGATGGGATGGATGTTTTGAAGGTCAGAGAGGTGGCACAGGAGGCAATTGGAAGGGCTAGAAGAGGAGAGGGACCAACTCTAGTGGAATGTGAGACCTATAGATTTAGAGGACACTCATTGGCTGACCCTGATGAGCTTCGTGACCCCGGTGAGCATTTATTTAGATTATATCTTCCCTCGCTAATAACTTTGAAGTACGTGTGTTGATGTTCTCCCTTGCAATTTGGCAGAATTTATTTTCAGTTGCGCTATGATTAATTTACACTTATTTTGACATATAGTTTGCTTAACGTAGTCTTAATTAGCAATACAAATAGATGGAGCTGAACTTGCAGTCATGCATTGTAAAGTTTCTTAACAGTGTAAAAAGGTATTATGCTTAATAAGTCAAGAGTTCTATAGCCTGAAGAACCAATATCTTGAACTTTAGTTATTATCCTCAAATTTGGAATATTTTTTTTAAAATTGTTTAGGCTTGACTATTACATTTTTTATTCCTTAGCTGCATATCTTTACTAAAATAATTATAGTTTTAACTCCAATGGTAGGTAGAGTTGATGAGAAGATTATTGCTGTTATTAACCTGGCCGAGAGTAAATGTCTTGATTTGAAGGAGAGAATTCTTGTGAATGCTGAGTAAATTCATACAAGGATCTGTATAGCCCACCTGAAGTTATGTAAATTATGGTTTGATTAGATTTTCGCTTACCCAAAAATTGGACGATCAACTCATTTAATATACTCATTCCATGTATTCCATCTCTAGCACTGCTTCATTTATGGTACTGAGCACATAAGATTTTTCCTTAGTTCTTTGTTATCATGCTTTTCTTCAATAAAAAGTATTTTGGAAAATGAAAAGTATAATAAAACTAAAGAAATAAATCAACCAACCTTATATAGCAAGGGTTTTGTAACTAAGGGTTTCACTCGCCACATCCAGTCTGATTAGTTTGAGCCTTTATAATCCAACTCCACATTTCATGGTGTTAGCAGATGAGTACCCAATGTTCATTTTGATAGTTTGGGACCATGTTATTCAAATTACCCTTTTAATATGCTCTCCTAATTAATAACTATGTTCCTTTCTTATGTATGACTATTAGCTATGAATTATTTTTAGTCATTTGTACAAGATGGAGACTTACTTTTGTGTATGTGTTGCTAATAATAATTAGTAATCATAATGTGTTTCGTCTTTGGCAGCTGAGAAAGAACATTATGCCGGTAGGGACCCCATCACTGCATTGAAGAAATACCTTATTGAGAACAATTTAGCCAATGAACAAGAATTGAAGGCCATAGAGAAGAAAATCGACGAGGTCCTCGAGGACGCCGTTGAGTTTGCAGATGAGAGCCCTCTTCCACCACGCAGCCAGCTTCTGGAGAATGTGTTTGCTGATCCAAAAGGTTTTGGAATTGGACCAGATGGCAGGTATAGATGTGAGGATCCAAAATTCACCGAAGGCACAGCTCATGTCTAATCCTTTCTTACTTGGAACTTTCAGTTTTGTATTAATGTTCTTTTCATTTGCTTATTAGTGATCAAATGTTACTCACACAATGCATCATTACCATGTCTAATATATAATATAAACAGGACTTTTTCTTTGGGTTGAAAATTTGGTTTTATGTGTCTTATATTTATCATTGTTTGTGGAACTTGTGTCAAGATTGACATCTTCAAAGTTTGATTGTAGCCTCTACGAACGGTGTATAATAAAATTTTAGTTATACCCCTCTGCTCTTCCGTTCACTCAATTTATTTGTGAAGTGCCATAGGCAGTACAAGGTAGATAGGGTATTGGTTTATCTACACTGCTATGCTTGATGTTTAATACTTATAGTTTATTATGTATTTTGAAATATAGTTTATAATTAAAATGTTATTTAGAGTCTTTTCAAAAATAAGAATTTGTTCTTATAAATGAATGAAAGCCAAGTATGTACTAGGTAGAAAGTAACAGTGTTTTCTGTTTTTGGAAACACGGTAATGAATGATAGGATTTATTTATTTATTTGCGATGATTAAAATTACTTTTGGGTACTAAACATTTTTGGAGCATTTCAACAACTGTTAAGTCTGTTATGTGACAAAGCTACTTGAATAATTGAAACGTCAACTTAGTAGATGGGTGTTAGGAAATTGGGCTGAATATCACTAAAATTATGTAACTAAAGGTGTTATCGTCTTAATACCATTTTTCTGTAACAAAAAAATATAAGTAGTGTAAGATAATATGATTAATGATATCACGAGAGATAAAAGATGAATATATTCACACATTTTAAAATTTAATAAAATTTTATCCAATACTTTCTTTTAGATTCTATAAATTTCACTTAATTTATGTAATACCTTTTGGCATTACATAGATTATTCTTAATATTTTATATAATCATATAAATTAAGATATCAAAATAATGTAAAAATGATATTCAGAAAAACTTTATTAAATTTCAAGGCGTGTAAATGTAATATATTTAAATATTTAAATAATAATAATAATAATAATAATAATAATACCATATAAATAATAATCTAAATTTGGTTTACACAAGTTCTAATTTTTTTTTAAGGATTCATTGATTTAATGTACGGTGTCGTTACTATCTAATGAGGCAGTATATATATATTTTTATTTTTAATTAATATTTAAACTTTTAAGAACTTTTTATCCGGTTTAACTGAATCGGGTCCAAACCGGTTTATACGTGAATCTGTCCTCTCTCTCTCTCTCTCTTTCTTTTTTCTTCGTTTCAGATAAAAGAGAAAGAAAAATGCCACCAAACACACTTTCTCTCACCTTCATCATACCTTCTTCTCTTCTCACTCTAAAACGATTCGTTTCGCATTTCGGGCATGGAAGGCTTTCTCTAGAATCTTCTCTCTCTCCTTTGGCTTTAAGGAAAACCAGGGCGGTGGTTAACAGAGGAGAATTTTATGCGTACCCCGAAAACGATGACGTTTTTGGGTATGAAGAAGAGAGAGAGAGAGAGAAGAAGCTTGAAAGAGCATGTGAGGTGTATGTGTGCAATCTTCCCAGAAGCTTTAACGCAGCACACTTACTTGATATGTTCAGACCTTACGGAACCATTCTTTCTGTTGAGGTCAGATTATTATTAGCTTTTTCTAAATTGACCAAACAAATATTTTAAAATTAAAATTGTGCTTTTACGTTTAAAAATTTTATTTTTAAACTAGCTTTTAAGTTGTAAAAATGTCAAATCCAATATTTCCTTAATATGGAACACATTATTAGTGTGTGTTTTGATACCAATTTGCATTTATTTTAATATTATTAGTTGTAATTTTTTATTTTAATTTTAGCTGATATATTTTTTGAGATAAATAATTATAAAAATATCACTTTCTTTCCTCTTTGAAACAATGAAATTTTGTTTTTACATTGTCAAAACATGAAATAAGGTTATAATTATCAATTATAAATAAAAATATCATTTATTTATTGTATCGGTTTTTCGTGAATTTCTCTTTGTAAAACAAAGTTACAAGCTTTTCATTATCAAATTTAGCTGGTCCAATTTGAAAAATTTGTCATAGAGTTGAGTTTTTCAATCCCTACAATCCGAATATGATAGCTGAGTGTGATGTTTGAGAGCTTGCAATCATCACACAATGTCTTTCTATCATGTTTTACTTGCTTTGCTTCAGGTTTGCAGGAATCCTGAGACTGATGAAAGTAAAGGGTGTGGTTATGTCACATTGGGATCTATATACTCAGCAAGAAATGCGGTTGCTGAATTGGATGGATCAGTTAGTCCTTCGAAACTCTCTCCTTTGTATTAGATTCACGAGGAGTGCTACACGATCCTTTTAACACACTCTCATTTGAAATTTATTGAAAATTACAAAAATTGCAGTGAAAATCGTCAAATTAAAAATGAATCTCGCATGATTTTTTCAATGTTTAATAAATTTTAACCAATAATAAAAATGTTTGAAAGAACATGTCAGAAAGAATATATGTTGTTAGTGTTTCTCTGTATATGCCTTGGGTGTTTGATCTGAAATTTTTTGGTTTTGGCTGAAGGATGTTGATGGGCGTGAAATGCGGGTTAGATTTTCAGTTGAGATGAATTCTAGAAGGATGAATTCTTCCAACAAGAAAATGATATATTATGAAGCTCCTCATAAGTTGTATGTTGGCAATCTTGTTAAGACTGTTAGACCTGAAGAGTTGAGAAATGTCTTCAGCAGATTTGGGAACATCGTTAGTTTAAGAGTGTTACATGATCATAAACATGGGAATAACCGAGTCTATGCGTTTCTCTCCTTTCAATCAGAGGCAGAACGTGACGCAGCAATGTCTCTCAATGGAAAAGTAAAATCTGCTTCAAGTCCTTTACAATGTTGTTTCATTTGTTTGTGTTTGTGTTTGTGTTTGTGTTTGTTACATAGTTTGGTCTTTTCTTTCTTGCAGGAATGTTTTGGTCGTACATTAATAGTTAAAGAGGGCGTAGAGAAGACTCAGCCTTGACTGCAGCTTTGGCGTCTGCATAAAAGATAGCAGCGATTAGATTTTCTACGGAGGAAGATTCTTAGATTGTATGCTTGAGACATTTTATTTGGTTTAAAATTTAGAAAAATTAATTTTGAATCCTTGAATTTGATTACAATGCATGCTTAAAATAAATTAATCAAAATCACGTCCACATGTTCATATTCAAACGTGTTTTCATTAGAGAGTGTGAGAATTTATTTTGTAACTCTAAAACAAACGGATCAATATTTGTAGAGGTTCCTGAACAAGAAAATGAGTACTATCTGAGTATTGTAGTAGAGTCGAAATGAGTTTTGAGCACAAGGTAAGAGCATTGCATCAAATGCTAGTTTAATAAGAAACACTATACCATGCATATATACATATTTTTGGTTTTTGTCTCACCTTCAGACACTACACTCTTTACGCCAATAAAGTAAGAAGAAAAAGTGAGAATTTTTTTGGTAACAATTTAATCAACTAATATTAGTAAATTGTTTAAATATACAGTGAAAAATATATATATTAAGTTAATTTATAAAAGAAACATTATACAAAAATAAAAATAAAAGTTGTTTACATAACTCTGCCGCTGAACTATACAAATATTTCTATTCTTTCTGATATTAAGCTAGATCGTAAATCCAGATTATTATATTTGCTCTGATCACAAGTGGTAATGCATGTACCTCAATCATTGTAGCCCTTTTTGTCATCCAAATTAAATAAACTAATAGTGTAGTTGCATGATGATTTGGAGGTAATAAGTCTGATAATGGCAAGAAAGATAAAGATAGGCCCTAATGCATTCATTGTGGAATGATGGGTCATCACTTCTGCAAACTTCACGGCTACCTTCCAGGCCATGCTACAAACAAAACTAATGCTTCGTTTGTTTTAATGAAAAAGAGTTATGTTAAAATGGAAAGTTGCAAGAATTTTTTTTTTTGTGTTTAGTTGTTGTTTTATATGAGTGAAAAATATTTTTTGTGGTATCTACTAAAAAAACATTTTCACAGGTGAGATTTTGTATAGAAAAAGTATTCAGATTTTTTATGTTTTATTGAAAATAATTTTAAATAATATAAAAAATTTAAAAATAATTAAAGAATTACGTAAATTTTAAAAATTATATTAATATTTTAATTTAACTTTTAAAATTTTTATTTTTATTATAAAAATATTTTTTATACAAATTATCTATTTTTATATTCTCTTTTTTATTCGTCTAAATAATTTTTTTCATTATTTTCTCTTTTATTTTTATCCATCCAAACAACTCATTTTTTTCATCCCATTTCTTATATTTTTTTTTCTTACCATATATTTTTCTACTTATTTTCTTCCTATTCATTTTCTATTACATCCAAACATTGCACGCAAACATAGCATAAAGGTTCATCAGGCTGTGCTAATCTCGATAATTTTAGTTAATAATATAATTTTTATTAATTATCATAAAATTAAAAAGTATTTTTAAAAAGTATATGTATTTAAATTGAAACATTATTATTTTTTAGAAATAATATTTAAATTAAATACGAAATTAAAATAATAAAATTTTATAAAATATTTAAGATGTAGTAATCATATTTTAATTAATATTTGTTAAAAATATAATTCTTAAAATATAAAAAAAATTACATGACAAGCATTCCCTAATGTTAAATTTGACTAACCAATAATAATAAAATTTTATTAAAAATATTTAGTATATTTTTATATACTTAATATATTAAATATTTTTTATAAAAATATTTTTTTTATTCTTAACTCTAATCTTTAATTAAAATAAATGATAAAAAGGGGGTTAAACTAAGCATATCAAAGAAAGGAATGTAACGTGTTATAAAAAAAGAAGAATAAAATCCGGGACGGTCCACGTGTGAATCGGGGCACCACAAGATGAAAGCAAATATGGTAAAAGAAAAACCGGCGATACTGTGGAGAAAATTATCGTGGCGAAGGAGGTGACAGAAGAACAACACGTGTCCAAAGGTGGAGCCCACGCATTGGGTGAAGATCACCTCAAGAACCACACATTAGAAAAACGGATGGTCCAAGTGGTGCCACGTCATCATAGCAGTAGCGATGAACCTTTTGATGATCCAGTGTGAGATGTAGAGATTTTGATGAGAAGATATTTTTAACGATTTTCGCGGTTGTGGGCGAAAGCAGGTTGGTGGCAGCAACAACAAGCGCTGAATCTGTATCTGAGTTGGAAGCACACAAGGGGCGGTTTCCGAATCACTTTTTCTCTTCCACTTATATTTCGCGGTTTTTTCAGATTTTTTTCTTTTACTTCTTAAGGGGATGAGGTTGAGGTCAATTTTACTTATCTTTCTCGTTTTATTTTTCGCTTCTTCTTTTTCTCTCTCAACCGTTGTCACCGATTAGGGTTCTTCTTTTGACCTGTGGAATGCAGCATGTTGTTGTTCGAAAATGGCTAAAGTGACCGAGTTAAACGGCGTTATGAAAGAGACGGAGGTGGAGCAGAAACGGAATAACGATGATAACGGTGATCGCTCTGCTGAAGTAGTTCGATGGGAGAGATTTCTTCCTCGTGTGGCTCTCAGAGTTCTTCTTGTAGAAGCTGATCATTCTACTCGCCAAATCATCGCTGCGCTTCTTCAGAAATGCAGTTACACAGGTTCTTATTCTCTTATCTTAAGGAACTTTTCGTCGATTTTGCTATTTATTGCGTTTTTTTTTTTGCTGGATAATGTTTGTTGCATTGTTTTCGTTAGTTGCTGTTTGCTTGCGAAAATTTAACTTCTGAAATTACATTGCATGAACGAGTCAATGACAGTAACATCTAAAGGACGATTTTGTTCGACTTTCACGCGTTAGATTTGGTCATCATCGTCAGTGACGTAGGTCAATGTGCCATAGATTTCTATTTTATCTTTTCGGGAAAGTAGTGTGTGTTTGCAGTTATGATAAGTTGATTACGAGTGTATGAAAAGTGAGTCTTCTATTTTGTCTTTATGTTTGAGAATCTCTGTTTTTTCTGTTATTCATAGGTTTATTCGTTGCTGTGTTCACACTTCAGTGTTTTTTTTTATGTTTTGTTGTAAAAAAGACACAATGAGCCTAATTACCTGAACCGTAATTTTATATTTTTAACCGGATAGAAATAACGTTGGCAACATACTCCAATTGTTTTAATTTTTCCCCTATCCTTGTAAGTAGTGTATTTATTTGTACCATAACTTACGGATGTTTTGGCGAGATACAGGAGGAAAAATTTTGTAATTTTAGTGGCGTAAAATATATGTCGTGATTTGGTATATTTTGTTGGTATATCATACAGTGATTTCTTTTTACGGAAAGGAGGAAGAGGGGATCTGATAACGCGAAGCATTATTGCTGATCCAATTTCAGCCCAGCATTATTGTTTTTATGGCTTACTTATTTCTTTGTAATCTTTTTTGTTACAGTTATTGCGGTTCCTGATGGATTAAAGGCATGGGAAACGTTGAAGAGGAAGGCACCTGATCTAGATCTCATTTTAACAGAAGTGGAGTTACCGGCAATATCTGGATATGCACTTCTTTCTTTAATCATGGAGCATGAGATTTGCAAAAACATTCCTGTCATAAGTATTTTCACTTGTTACTATGTATTCTTAATATTGTTGTTAGATAGAAATGGCAAATGAGCTCAGGTTTATTCTCATGGTGTGCAATGTGCAGTGATGTCTTCCCATGATTCAGTTGGCATGGTGTTGAAATGCATGTTAAAAGGGGCATCTGATTTTCTTATAAAACCCATTCGGAGGAATGAGCTTAGGAACTTGTGGCAGCATGTATGGAGAAGGCACGCTGTATGTCCTATTTTTCAATAGTTTTTACATTTCTTTCTTCTTTTATTGTGGCTTACTAATTTAGCATGTATTTACTATTTACTAATTTCTTTCTTCTCTACTGAATGTTATTTATACAGATTAGCACTCCTCCTCAAAATACATTTCCACAAAAAAAACTTAAAACTGCCTCAGAAAACAATTCTGCAAGCAATAAATCTAGTGGTTCTGTGGCTTCCTCAAAGAAAAACAATGAATGCAGTGAGAGATTGAGTGAGGCTCAAGTAAGTTCCACTACCCCAATTTTACCAAATTTTATCTTGTAACACTATCCTTAGATATGTCAATTTTCTTTAGACATGGATGCATTGGGTGTAAAGTGATTAACTTTTAATCGGATAAAATTATTTCTGAAATTTTATCTACATTTTTTACTCATTTCTTGGCTTAGGTAAACATTTAAAATGTGCAACCTAAAATCTATTGTGCAATGCATTTACAAACCACTTAGCTTTGAGGAAAATATATTTTCTGGATAGGTTTTGCTGTGTGAAACTTTACATTTAAACTACAAGTTTTGCAATTTCTTGTGCAGAGCACTTGTACGTCACCCCCAATTTTGGAAGCTGAAAGTACATATGTGGAAAATATGCAGGATGTGTCCCAGCTAAAGAGTTCTTCTAAATCGAGTGAGATTGATGATGTGGTGAAGCATGAAGATTTTACCAAAATTGAAAGGGAATCAGCTAAGCAGAACGGTGAAGCTGGAGGTATTCAAATTTCTCTCTTTTTATACTTAGAATTTGTTTTTATCTTGTTCTATGTATTGACAGTTATGTCATCTACTGAAAAACAGTTGCTGCAGAGATATCAATTACAATTGCACCAGAAGCTGCAAAGTACAATGAAACTTTTGAATTGACAGATTTAAGGCTAGAACAAGTTCATGGTTGTGCTGAAACTGCAAACAAGGATGAAATTTTAAGATCTGACTTAGGCAGAGACAATCCTGGTATTAATACTGAGATACATGAATGCACTAATGAGCAGGTAGAACATTCTAAAGGAGCTATTGACTTGATTACCAAGTTTGAGAATCTTTCAAAGCACCACAATGAAAACTGCGGTCGTGGTAATGCAACCAAGTTTGACTGTGATACACAACTAGGACTTTCTTTAAGAAGAGATTTTCCTGGCAGCTCATGTAAAAAAGCACGTGAAACAACTGAGGAAACCCAAAGATTGAACCATTCAGATACTTCTGCTTTTTCTTGGTGAGTTCACCGTTTTTATGTGACTTTTTTAGTTCTGAAATTATATGTATCTAAACCAGATGTCATATGATATTTCCTTTGACTATTAAAGAAAAAAAATTTAATCAGTAGAAGAAAATTATTCATGGATTTCTGTTATTTTATTTTTCACATTTGCTTTCTTGGCCTTTGCCGGTCTTGTTTATTCTGTTCTATATGTAGGATTAACATTGGTGAAACCTGAGTAAATGGTGATTTGGACTGAAACATAATTTTGAGAGCCTGGGTCAGTAGAGAATCCAAATGATGGTAACTATAGTTATGCTCCTAAAATATTAAGATATTTGGGTGTTTTTGTCCAGTTATCACTTATAAGCAATAAGAAGAATTCTTCAAAGACACGTTATCAACCAATTGGAATTGTTTTGTGAAGTTTATAAATCAAATAAAAATTGTACAGGTCTGCCTTTTTGTTTCTTTTGTTGAACAATACATTTCTGCAGTTCCCTTAAATCCTTTCTCCCCACCCAAATAATAGTTATTCTTAGATTTCATCCTTACGTGACTAGAAATCAGCATCTAATCCTTCATTCAAAAGGATTTTTCCTATTGATCTATTCAATCATCAACATTCAATAATTCTTATTAATCACACAGATTTTCTGATGATGAGTGACAATTTCTATATGCAGGTATAGTAATAGTAAGTTATTGCAGCCTCTTTTTCCAACACAATCTATTACGGCTACCAAAGTAAACAACCCCATTGTGGTTTCTGATGAATCTCATAAATTGTCTGAAATTACTTCTGGTAATTATTGCAACTATGGTTGCACAGATCAGAAGCAGGAGAATATGACCAGTACAGTCATTGGTCAGTGTAGCCAAGTTAGACCAAAATCATCTACCAGTCATTCTGGACTGTTACCTGCTACAGGGGTTATTTCTGATCTTAAGTCTAAGGGCCATGGTAATGCTTTCACTTCTGTGTTCCGAGCACAATCTGGTATTCGTTCCATGTGGAATCCGAAACCAGTCTGCCAGAAAGAGAGTTCTCCCTTTCCCACAAGTATTTCCTCCCACTCCAATCCTGAAAGTCACAACTCAGATCAACGATATGACTGGTCCAATGAAGCTACCCATGCTTATCTTAATCACAATGTAAAGGATAATATTCATTCGGATCTTGCAAGGCATGATTCTCCTGCTGCTGATCGAAGTGCTGGTAATAGTTTATGCCATGACACTGCAAATCGTATTAGTAGTAGTGCATATGGAAGCATGGGCAGTGGGAATGATGGAGATGCTACTTCAGCAATGGTATCCAGGAACAACCCTGAAGGTTTTAGTGATAATAGTTGCCATAATTCTGATGGATTAAGAGTGACAGATTCTCATCGCTACAGTCAAAGAGAAGCAGCTCTAACAAAGTTTCGGCTTAAGCGGAAAGAGAGATGCTATGAGAAAAAGGTATTTTGACCAGCACAAATACTGTTAGTAAAAAGCTACTTTAAAATTATTTATGGTAAATCTATATCTATGATTGTAGTTGGCTTGGAAACTTCTATAGCATGTTTACTAAAGAACTTACGAAGTACTCTAATTTCTTTGTTCAGGTTCGATATCAAAGCCGGAAAAGACTGGCTGAGCAGCGGCCTCGGGTCAAAGGGCAGTTTGTACGCCAAGTACACAATGATCATCCAACCACTGGTGCCATTACAGCTGACTTCAACACTGATTGCATTAACTACGATTAGCAGTAGGGTGTAGTGTATGAGTGTCTGGTGAAATCTGTTTTTCTTGAAGCATTGGGCAAGAGAGAAGTCCACTAGGGACATAGCTAAAGGGTAGGGTTAAGCATTCTTAGGTGTTTGTTTTCTTCTGGATTTTATTTTGACTACCACTTACAAGTTTACCATTGTAATTATTTAGTCCGATTGGTTTGATTTTACCTGTGCATATGTTTCTTGGTTGTATACCAGTATGGGTTTGTAATTACATAGGTTGTAAGTTTCAGTATGAAAATGGAACCATCTTTTTTGCTTTCGGTATCTTGCCCACTGTTTTAAACTCGGATCACACACGTCTCATCTATTGCAATTGTAAATTTTACCGACACCGTTGTTAAGTATCTAATTAAGTGTGTGCCTTTTATTAATATACTGTCATGCGTTCCCCTCGCATGGTCATGTTCAACTTTTCTGTTTCCTTGTCTCTCCACTTGGTAGATTGCAACGCGGTTGAAACAGAAATTCTGAACATAATGGGAAGAAGCATCTTCTTAGCTCGTTTGTGCGGTGTGAATGTTTGGCTATGGCTGCTTTTGCAATCGTTTTGAAGAGCGATCAATAATGTGCACTTGTGGTCCAGATTCCAAAATGGGATTGTGAAAAGTTGTAGGACATTGTGGGACTGGACTAAACATGCGTAAGATTGAAGTGGAAGCACGTTATTTGTAATCAGCGCTTGTACTTTGCATTGCATTCAGAAATTTATCATTTGAATCTTATCCATTCACCCGTGAAAGGGCTACATCGAGCCACATCAACTTCTTTGGCTATTCTTTTTAGTTAATCCTTGACATCCTCTCTCTTCGAGTTCATTTTGTCCCTGTTCTCCAATTTTGGCGTTTTGTTTATTTTTGTGAAAAAAAAAAAGTCAAATCAAATCATTCACCAATATGGCTTCAAATTTTAGCCTTTGTTTGGAGGTTTAGAAGTTTAGAATCAGAAATAAGATTAACAAAAAATAAATAAATAAATTTAGGAATAAGATAGGTTTATGGTAGATCTTAAAGAATTTATATATAAGGAGATTTTCATGAAGAGGACAAGCAAACTAGACACCACGTAAATCAAATTCAAAACATTGATGCGTTAAAAAAATGAGTCTTTACTACTTAATCATATATTGCTCAAATTATCCATTTTCATTTAATACAGCTCGCATAAGAGTCTCCTTCTTCTGGTGTAAGACCTTTTCTCTTGTATCCCTCTCGAGTGAAGCCTATTCTCATGTGGGAAGCTTTTTCTTTCATCCACGAGTATTTATTAATGATGACACTATCTATACTTGTACTGTTGCTAATTTCCTTAACGGGACACATTTCCTAACTTTCACATCATCGGTCTCACGTACAATTAACACACTCAACAGAGCACAAGTGATTCTATTAATTATTTACTATTGAAATATATCTTTTTCTTGTCCCTCGAGTTAAAAAATCACACTTCATTAAAAAATTTCTCCTCCCTTTTAAAATGGTAACATTTTACTAGTTTTTCTTTGTTGAGGTGTGTTTTGAGGTGACAAAGGAATGGATTGATTAGGGAGAAGTGAATATTGAAAATCCAACCAGATGCATGCAGATACTCCTTACATTATCCATTCACATTAGGTTGCTTATGATGTGCATCATTATTGCTCTATTCTGTTGTTATATTCATGCATTATATATTCATTGAACCTCATTATTTCACGTAACTTTTTTATACACCCACCTTCATATTATTTGGAAAAGCGTTTCTTTTACTCTACCTTCTGTACCTCGATCTAACATTTTACGAGGATAGAAATGATTCGTATTGTTAATTTACGGCATTCTTATTTACATAACGTTAGTAAAAGAAAAAAAAAAGAAAGAAAGAAAAGAAGCTTGAATAAAGACAAAGCAAGGCATAAAACAGAAAAAAGTAAAACACATAGCATCATGTATAGGAGTGAGGTGGTCAGTGATTAACCATCGATCTAATAAAAATAAAACGAGAAATGCGAGCTTATACTTTGATTCTAAGTTTCCCTGCTAATTCCATCTAGAGTCCCATATAAATTTCCTTTCACTTTTTCCACTTGTTCTCACTACCCACAAGTCACAACCCCCCTCTTTCTTTTACTAGCTGTCACAAATAGCCATATTCACACACACACACACACGCACTTGGACACACACAACCCCTTTAACTAGAGATCAACGAGTCCTTCCATGGAAGACATGCAAATACAACATCAAGAAGACCCAACCCAACAACAACAACAACAACAACATCACCAATTCCGTGGCAAAGTGCCCCAACAGCTGGTGCACAACATGGACAAAGGTATACCTCGTTTCAAACCCAATGCTCCAAAACGTGAACACTGCATATGCATCACCGTTTTCCTCCTCTTACTTGGTATCATAATCCTCATCCTCTGGCTCGCCTACCACCCCTCTAAGCCAAGCTTCACGGTGGCCAGCGCCGCCATCTACGGCCTCAACACAACCTCACCGCCACTCATGTCCATCACCATGCAATTCAACATCCTCATACGGAACCCAAACAAGCGTGTCTCAATTAACTTTGATAGGCTTTCTGCATATGTGTCCTATAGAAACCAACCCATCACACCACATGTCATGTTGCCACCACTCTTCTTAGAGAAACACAGCACCGTGTCCTTGTCGCCGGAGATCGGAGGCATGCCGGTGCCGGTGTCGGAGGAGGTCTCCAATGGGTTGGCAATGGATGAGACATATGGGGTAGTGGGTGTGAAACTTGTCTTTCTTGGAAGGTTGAGGTGGAAAGCTGGTGACATAAACTCTGCACATTATGGTTTGTATGTGAAGTGTGACATTTTGATGGGTTTGAGGAAAGGTTTTGTGGGTCAGGTTCCTCTTCTCGGAGCTCCAGTTTGTGATGTGGATACTTGAAGCTAGGCTACTTCATCTGATTAATAAAGTACAATGTGCATGCATGCATGTATCTTAATGATATTGATCTTTTCCTACATTAATTTTAGTGTTCTGTTTTTCTTTAAAACCAGAAAATTTGATATATTCAAGTTGGATTTTGTACTTTGGAGACTTGTTTTTTGTTTTTGAGTGCTAGTCTGTAACAGAAGATAGAGATTTGATTATTTGATGTACTTTGAGTCACATTGTACAATGTCATATTATGGATATAGAAAAACCAGGATTAATTACGAATTATATGTATGTGTGTGCACGTACAATATGAGTCTGTTATTAGAGTAATGATACTCACAAAAAAGAATTGTTAGCACACAATGTGTTGGCGCACAGGGGAATCAAAGTTTGGACGCGCGGGGCTTCATGCAGCAAAGTCTCTGTCTCACGTAAACTGTTTTGCTTTTGTAAAGCGAGGGACATACTGTTTATCATTGAGTTTACATATTTCAACGATTAAAAATTGATGTTGTATGTGTCACTGAATAATATTATTATCTTTTTGTATTTACGTATCTTAGAAATACGTCTCAATTATAAATAAATTAATATCCAAAAGTTTCCCCTTATGTAGTGATTAAAGAGACATTTTCCTTTATCATTTTAGCTCTCGTCTTTGCTTCATGAAAAGGAAAGAGATTGTAATTGAACTTGTTCACTAAGAAAGGAAGAAACATGGGTAAGTTTTTTATCAGGGTCTCGGTTACAAAACTTGGTAAAAATAAGTAAAAGAAAACCGAGTTCGGAAATGGTTTGATTTCCCTTGCTAGTTTATTTAGTTTTCCTTCATTTTAATCTTATTTTAATATCACTGATATGTTGAGTTTATTCTTCTTGATTTTCATATTCAAAGGATTATTATATTAAATTATTCAGTAACGAATTTCCATTTCTTAACTTCTTCGGCCCCATATGAAACTAGTCTTAGAACTGCTTTTGTTCTCACATCGCCATTTGCATCAATCAGCTGCATATAAAAATCGCTATGTAATTTAAAAATATAATGTAATAAAATACCTCACTAATAAGTGTGAGGTATCTTAAGTGAGAGTAATCAGTAATCAAACCTTCCTAATGCAAGTTAAGTGAGGATAACTTGAATGAAAAGATCCATATATATATATATACTCATTCTATTAACTTTTGGATCCCATGAACCACCTAACAGTACATCGCACATATGATCGTTTTATTTTGTCCCACAAAAAGTGGATTTTCAATAGCAGGGTTCTTTTACCGCAGGTTGGATGAAAAATTGGACAAAGGTCTTTGGAAAACATAGATAGATCGAAGTGATTTAGTATATCATTTTTGTGTTTACATGAAATATAATTAAGATTTGAAATGTTTAGCCAAAATATTACCTTTTGGAGTCCCCCTTTTTTTTTAATTGTTTTGAATATTCTTTTTTCAGTTTATTTATAAGATCTTTTCAACCAAATCATATATATTTTTAAAAAGTTATTAAAAGTAATTAATATATTTTTAAAAAATCCATTACAACATTCTATATCTTTAGGTAATTCAAATTCTAAAAATATGTTTTTTATTAAGAAGTTCAAAATGATATATCTAAAAATATTCTAAAATTATATTCATCATAATAACGGTGCACTAAAAAAATAATTATATATCTGCCCAATTAATGCCAAGTCATACCACAATTAATTTGGATAATATTTTATTTTTGTCTTCTGAAGCATTGACGGTGGTGATGGTCAAAAGAATGTTATATTCGAATTGCTTCTGCCCCCAAATAATATAAACAAAAAGTCAAATGAAGCAATGGATCAACGTAGAGCAAACAATATGGATGTGTCAATTCACACGTTGCTTTTAAAAAATAACAAAAATATGAAAAAAAATGTGTTTTTTTAATTATTAAAACTAAAATAAAAATATTCATATCGATCTTAAGATCACGATGTGGCAATATATAGCAACAAAACAAAAACACGTAATAATTATAATATGACTATGACGTGGAATCTCCCAAATTTTTCTAGACAGAATGTGATTGTTTATCGGTAGTCCATTCTTGAAGAAAAAAACAAGAGCCTTTATTAATGCACGATAGAATTTGGGTCTATGATTTCTAAACATCATCATTGTACTCTTCAATCAAACATGATCCAATCAGTCTGCATGATAGCTATAGCCTATGTTCACTGAATATTTATTGTCAGTAAAATGAATTTTGAATGATTGTATAATTTTATAAAATCCATTTAAATTGAAACTAAAATAACTAAAGTGATTCATATTTACATATTTTTTATTTTTAAATCAAGCATATAAAATTATTGATTTGATATAAAAATTAGTTTTTTCTTTCTCAAATATGCTTTTAAGAATAAACTTTATTTTAATCAAAATAATTAAACATAAATTTCTTCTATCTAAATCAGATTAGACATGCTCAAAGATCAATTTGGGTATTTTTAGAGTGGGGTTTAAGATAGTCTTATAAATCAGCCACCCTCCGATGACACTTTGTCTTTATAGGTTTGTTAGCTTAATTTTAACTTCTAATGTAAAATTTTTGTTCTTTTCACTTATTTATACTCACAAATTAGTTAATAAACTGAGAATGAATCAATATAAAAATTTGAGAAAAGAAACCTCTGGTAATAAAAAAATAAATATTTAACTAATGCATGATTGATTTATTAAAAGTCACTTTCTCAACGCTATATATATTTGTTCATAGATTTTAAAATAAATCACACCTTAGTAAAATTACTTGCTTTAGGGAGACTGCACCCTCAATTTAGCTTATATGGATTTTGTTCTATTTTAGTACCTTAGACGTTAATTTTACTATTTGGAGATCGAAATATGTTTCTAGCAAGCTATCTATATGTTAAACAGTGACGAGATATTCATGCAATAAATATTTCGATATTTATGTATGACATGTTTTTTAATTTTAAATTCAAAAAATTACATATTATTTATGATAAAAAAATAGTATTAATATATTAAGTTTATGTTAATAAATTAATTTATATGTTTTTTAAATTATTAATTTTAAATTTATTTATTTAAAATATAAATTTTATTTTCTTCTCTCTTTCAAAATTAATATTTTTTAAAATAAAATATATAAATTAATGTATTAACATAAATTTAATATATTAATCATGCATTTATTGTTATAAATAATATATAATTTTTTAATTTAAAATTAAAACATATATTCTTTTCTCCAAAAAATTTCTTCTAAAAATATCTTTAAATAAATATTAATAACACACTCTTTATTAATTGATTAAAATTTATTAGAAATATAAAAATATTAATTTAAAAATAAAAAGTAAGATTTATATAATTTTAATAAATTTTAATTAATAATAATATACATGTTACAACCTGTGTGTGATAGAGTTGGTAACATTACTCAACGACTTCAAAGAATCCTTAGACGCAAAGGATGCTGCATGTGCAAACATATGATTCTACATTTAAAATTAAATATTTAAATAAATGTTAAATTAAAAGAGTTAAAACAAAATTTGAAGTAGGAATGAAATTATTAATCTGAGAAAAGAGAAAAATAAATTAAAAATAAAAAAGGTTAAATTATAGTCTAGTCATGACAAACACGTGAGGCGTCACGACAAAACAAATAATGATCTACACGCATTATTAGAAAAGATATTCGCTTTTCTAAATTTATTAACTTTATTATTTAAGTATTTAAAATTAATACTTTTTTATTAAAAATATACTATTTATTATACTATTATTTTTAAAATAATAAAAATATTTTTAATATCTATCTTCAGTCTCAAGTTAACAATTTTTGAAAAAAGTGTTTAAAATAATTATTCTCTTAAATAAATGAAAACAATTATTGACATGAAAATATGAAGTGCTCTCCGTTTATGAATCAATGGAAAAACACAAGCAGTAATCAGTGGATTACAGTATAAAAAAAACCAATTGACATTTTTTGAATAATATTTACATTTAATAATAAGAATAAAAATAAAAATATTTACCTAACAGAATTAAAAGATTGTTATGGATAAAACAAAAAATATATATATATAATTTTGGAATGTAACAAATTTGTTTAAACTTGAAACTAACCCGAAAAGAGAGTGAGTGACAGAAGAAGGGATTCAGAATCAGAAGCAGCAAAGACGGAAGGAGGAGGGGATCCAGAACGGTCGCACCCATCTTTGGAAAAGTGCGTCCAAAATCCTTTTCATTATTCTGTTCCATTCTATACCCTTTTTCTCTTCTTTCTCTTTTCCTTATCTCGTTTCTTATACCCATTTTCTTTTATTCAGAAACACTTTATTTTTAATATGCGCAGAATCGCGTTTTGATTTTGAAGATGGAAGCACAACGTCGAAACCAAGTGAGTAATAGCATTTTTCGCTACGAGATTCAATACTCATATCTTGTTTCGTCGATTTTTATTTATTTATTTTGAATGGTTTTGATTTGAGGTTGTGTAGTGTGTGTGTTGAATCGGTTTTGGTGGCCGATGAAGTGGTTGTTTCTTTAGCTTGTGGTTTTAAATTTTAACCCTTGTTTAGCTGAATCCTTACTGTTGTTGTTATGCTGTTGCAACCTTTTCTTTGTCATGATCCTAGAAGCTTCTATTTGATGTTAAAATTTTATGTGAATACAGGATATTTGAGTACCTAATCAACTCAATGCTTCATTTTTTTTTGCATAATTTATTTATCTGTATTTATGTTCAGCCCGCGAAGGGTAAATGTACTGTTTTCTGCTGACTTGATTATTATGCTGTTTTGTTTTTTGTGCTTCAAGGATTCTAAGAAGTCAAGTTGTTACTTGTTACCTCTTTCCCTTTTCCTATTTATATTATTTATCTTGTACAAGAATGCCAAAATTTAATTTTCTTCATCTATTTGTTTTTGGTTTTCCGTTCTCTGTTTTCTCCGCTGTGTTTGGCTTAGGTTTATGTTATCTGTCGATTTGAACTTTAATTGATCTTGATGCCTGTTGTTTGTGGATGCCTTGTTCTATGCTTTTGTGAACTATGCTTATAATATAACTAATGCATATGCATTTTCCTGCACGTGTGATATTATTCTTTGAATCCCTATTTGTGGGGTGAATGTTAACCTTTGCTGAGCTTGTCGGTTATTAAAACATCGCTGAATGAATGCATGAACTAAAGCTCATCTCACTTTGTGTTTCTTCATTTTGGCAAAGAATAGTGTATTTTTGCTCTTTAGTTACAATTTATTTGCATTTAGTTATTTGTTTTGGTAAAGAAATTATTCAGTCCTGGGTTTTAAATTTGTTTTACACGATATAAATTAATCAGTCAGTGAGATTGTCATGTTTCAATCAATGAACTCTATCTTTAAAATGTATATCAATTGTGTAAATTAATTAGTGAATTATGTTATCATGTTTCAACAACCAAATGACTAGTCTAAACATTATATGATTGACTAGTTATCAGGTTAACAATTTAATTTACTAATGCATATTGATGCCCTACATTTATAATCAATGGATTGTTACGTCATAAAGCTGTTACTTTTATAAGTATTTGAGCTGGAATTGTAATTGTAACCAGATGCTGTTCAATGCTTTCTGATTTGATGGAGTATTAGTCAGAGTATGTTCTGACCAATTCCTAAAGTATCTTTCTTAAGTAGTAATTTCATTGTGTCTCAGTTTAAGTTAAGAAGGTTTGTTTATTTTGAAATGTGGTTATGATGTTTACATCTTAATTCCTTGAGTTGAGCATAGAGACCCAAGTATCCATTGAATGCAAAAAACAACATATTTTTTGTTTTTCCTTTCTTAATCTTAAGGAATTTTCATATATGTAGACTATCTCTCTCTCTTTCAACTGAAAGAAAGCGGGTATATTTTATTTTCTCATATAAAATGGTTTTATTTGACTTTGATTTTCTGCTCAGAGTACTCAAATTGTTGCTTATGAATTGTAGACTATAAAGCACAGAAAAGGAGATGGACACAGACATGGGCTATTGATTTGGATAACTGAGTGAGCCAAAAATAAAGAATGTCATCTAGAACTCTGAATTGATTTTTAAAATCGTTTAAGCTAATGTAGGTATTAGATGTACAATTGAATAATGGTTGATACAACTGCTCATAGTGGTATCATCAAACCCTACGTTTTTTGCCAGTTTTCTTTTAATTACTTATTCTACTTTTAGAACAGTATACCTTGGGATCAGTCCAGGTATACTGTACGGAATCATTGATGGTTGATATAATATATTCTTGTTTCTGTTTAATGCTTGGAGGAGTGTATCCAACTCAGTCAATGTTGTATTTTCATTATATATTGCAGATGGAAGCACAAAGCTCTCAGCATGCACAAGTTATTGAAATCAGTGGAGATTTGCCTAATGTAGGAAGGAAGGTTTGCGGTGAAGCACCATGTGGGTTTGCAGATGCTGGATCCATCTCTAAGGATTCTGAAGAACGATCAACTTCTATGCGAAAGCTTCTCATGGCAGTGGTCCTTTGTGTTGTTTTCATGACCATTGAAGTAGTTGGTGGCATCAAAGCTAACAGTCTTGCAATATTGACTGATGCAGCACATTTACTTTCAGATGTTGCAGCCTTTGCCATCTCTTTATTTTCTTTATGGGCTGCTGGATGGGAAGCTACTCCTCGCCAGTCTTATGGATTTTTTAGAATTGAGATTCTTGGTGCTTTGGTTTCTATCCAATTAATATGGTTGCTTGCTGGGATTTTGGTATATGAAGCCATCGATAGAATCATTGCTGGTCCTAAAAGTGTCGATGGTTTTCTTATGTTTTTAGTTGCTGCATTTGGTCTTGTGGTTAACATCATCATGGCTTTGTTATTGGGTCATGATCATGGCCATGGACATGACGGTCACGGTCACGGACACGGTCATGATCATGGTCATGGCCACATTCATGGAATTTCAGTGTCTACCCATCATGATGCAAAGCATGGAAAAGATGAGCACCATCACTCTCATGAAGATCATACTCACCATCATGATGAAAAGCATCCAAATGATGCTCACCATCTCTGTCATGAAGATCACTTGGACCATCATCCTCACAAAGAGCTTGCTGAACCACTCCTTGGTGAATCAGAAGACGGATCTAAGAAGAAGAAGCAATGGAACATAAATGTACAGGGGGCTTATCTACATGTACTTGGGGACTCTATCCAGAGTGTTGGCGTAATGATCGGGGGAGCAATGATATGGTATAACCCTCGTTGGCAAATAGTTGATTTAATTTGCACACTAATATTTTCAGTAATTGTTCTGGGGACAACTATCAATATGCTGCGAAACATTTTGGAAGTCCTGATGGAGAGCACACCACGTGAGATAGATGCTACTCAGCTTGAACAGGGCCTGTTGAATATGGAAGATGTAGTGGCTGTTCATGAGCTGCACATCTGGGCCATCACGGTGGGAAAGATTTTGCTAGCGTGTCATGTTAAAATCAGACGTGAAGCTGATGCTGATGTTGTGCTGGACAAGGTTATAGACTATATCAAAAGGGTTTATAACATCAGTCATGTAACTATACAGATAGAGCGCTAGTTACTTTTTCCGAATATTTTTGTGCTAGTGATGATTAGATGGGAAGGATTTAGTTGGACTTGAGGCATTATGTTTCTGGAACTCTTTCTCTATGATAATAATACTTTCATATATTCATCTTTCTAGCAGTTTCTGAAACTCAATTTTCTCTATGATCTAGTACTTGATACATGTTCTTTCTGGAATTGAAACTCGACTTTCTCTATATAATAATACTTCCGTATTTTCTTCTTTCTAGCAGTTTAAAAGTGCAGATATGATCATAGAACATGTGCAAGCCAAATTTTTTATATCTGTGATATTATCAGATACTTTTATCACTCAATTTTTTTCCAGATTTATAGGAATTTCATTTTGTCGTTTTAAAACTTTATTTGATACAAATTTTCCTTGGTCATGTAAATGCATTTTTGGTGTTAGTTTTAAGGTGTCCCTTACGAACAAGATCAGCAACTATCATTTTTTGGGGTGCATTGCAAGACAAATTTTGTGCTTCACAAGCACGAGATAGAAAAGGTTCTCAACCGTCTGTTTTACTGGCAGCATCAATTGAACTTCTTGGAGCTATTAGTGGGCCAAACTCTTATGTTTTGAACATGCTAATATTTTGGTGAATCACCAAGTTTGCAAGTGATAAACAGCCCGTTTTCCCCCTTCCCGTGATGTCCTTGGCGAATAACGAAGATATTCTGTAGTCAATGCCTGAATAGGTATGAGTTTAATAATTTACTGGTAACAGTTGGTGTTACCTATGCATGAGTAACCCGTGTCGTTAATGCTGGTGCTAGAGACAAATTCCGAGTTTTGCACGATACAGAGTAGAGTAGGAGAATGCATGTTGAAAGGGTGTACTTACTATATGCGATGCAACTATTCCAAGCCAATTGTAAGAAAGTTAAGTTCTTATATTATTAATTATCCTTTACGTTCTTATATTTTAATTTACTTGTGATTTTAGTTTCTTTATTTTAATTGTTTATTTTAGTTTATATATTTTTTAATTATTCAAATTAAATTTTTCACCTTAAATTTTATTCAAGAATTAATAAATTTAACAGAAATATGAATATATCATTGACTTGTATGAATTTGCAAAATAAAAAAATTACATAAATAATTAAATTAAAATAAAAAATTGCTGTATTTTACATATTTTTATTCTTTTATTAATGTAGCAAATTAATGATATGTTGCACATTTGTTTAGTTAATAGATAAAAATTTTGAGAGATTTAATGTAAATAATTAAAAAATTAATAGGATTAAATATGAATATATAAGTCAAGAATATTAAAAATAGACATAAATTAAAGTATAAAAATTAAAAATATAATTAAACACAATAAATTCAAGTGATTTTGGTTCCAATTTCTTTTTTGTTGGCCAAAAGTAATAGTTTTCATAACATGAAAAATGACAAAAGACTCACATGGGGTGACAACGATTCCTTAGCGGTACAGACAGAAAAACACCTCAAACTGCTCCTGCCCCAAGAGTGAAGGCATCTACAGTAACCCACAATATTTTTCTTATAATTTTAAAAATATTTTTATTTTCATTTATCAGTCACTGAAAGGTATAAAATAATGCCATATTTTTTATAATTTAATTATATTTTAATTTATGTATAATTTTAGTTTCACTAATTGTAATTAGTTTTATTTAATCTTTATAATTTCCGGTTATTAAAATTAAGTCTCTTACCATGTATTTCATCTAATTATTAATGAAAATGTAACTAAAACATCATGTGATATTCATTTATATAGATTATAAAAAAAATGTTTGCGTGTGTATTTGCTATATTTTATACCTTTTTAATATATAAAAAAATATTAAAAAGACTTTAATAATCTATATTAAATATTAAAACGCATAAAATTATACAGTATGTTTCAACGACAAAGCTATAATTCGTAGTACTAAAATAAATTCACATTTGAGTGGATATGAAACAAAAATAAACATGAATTAAAAATACAATTACTTTTTTTTCTCGTAGTTTATATACATTCCTTTCTAATGGAAGCGGTACATCTCAAATTACACCAACCCCACAAGGGAAGGCATCTACAAACACTAAACCACCCTGAAACAGCCTTACTCATAAATGACTACAAATTTGAGGTTCTTTTCTTCACATAATTTTTCATCATTTAAAGATGTTCCAAAACTCTTTCTCTCTTGGAAAGGAAAATATTTTGTTAGAGAAATGCACTCTTTTTATTAAATCATCAACCTGACATGAATGATTAATTTTTTTATTTTGAATTTTTTGAGGTAAGATTTTTTTTTTTGACAAAGAATACTAATTATTAAATCTAATGACATAATAAGTATGAGTAAAAAAAGTTAAGCAATATATAAATAAGAAAAACTTATAAACTATTGCTTTAAGATTTGTATTGAATATGAATCCAAATATGTTTTGACATAATATAATAAGAAATGATAAAATATAAAATTTGAAGAACAAAATATAAGAAAAATATAACAAATTTTAATTTTATTTTATGTTTAATTAAAATAATAAATTAAATATATTATATTATCATATTTATCAATATTTAAATCAAAATTTTTATTTTTGTAAAATTCAGATTCCTTTACAAGGTAAAATTTATATTAAAAAAATAATAAAATAAAGTTATAAAGTAGACTTTTATATTTTATTCGTTTATCTCTTTCACTAAACAAACCTATATATTTCGCCATGGATAAGAAGAAATGTAATAAAGACTTCACTTCTTTGAAGTTAATAATGGATTATGGTATTATAATTTTGTTTGTAAATAAAAAATAAATTGAATAAAATAATTTTATGATTTGTATCATTTTCATAAATAATTATAATTATCTGTATTCTTTTCCTTTTAGACTACGTGATTTGAAGGACGGATGGAGAGAGGGACAAGAGTAGAGTTGATCCAATCAGCAATCCTCATTTTTGTAGTTTATAAAAATACAATATACGTATGTGTAAAGTTAATTTTTTTTTAGAATACAATTTATAATCTAACAGTTTATTAGTATAATTATATACGTGTTAAATTTGATTGCTTTCGTCCTGCACAGAGATGGTGAGTTGTAAATTTATCTGACGAATGGAAGTTTTTAAATATCATTTGCAATGGACAAAATATTTGAAAATTTACTTAAACTACAACCAGAAGAAAGTGAAAATCGCCTTATACGACAGAATACATGCTCGTAGAACAGTGGACCGCGTGAATGGTTTGATAGCAAACCATGTATGAAACATAACATACACTGGATTTTGCATGCACATGGTTTGTCTTTATTAGTCCTTCAAACAAGTTGAAACTCAAATTGAATTGGAGATTTTGTGTAAGATCTTGATTGTTCCCTTACCATTAGATGAATAGATAATGTATAGCTTCTGCGGCCAACTATTGGTGTGCCATTTTCCACACTTGATATATAGTACGTGGTTAATACCAGGTTATCCAAATCTACTGTGTTGGCTAAATCAGCTACCATCCACTCTTTTTCTATCTTATCAAGAGTGTAAAAGATTAATATTGAAGTTTGACTTGAGAAAAATATAGTTGTGATTATTAATGCAAGATTTGCTTCATAAATGATGATAAGGTAGTCCTACGTGTTTGCCGATGACTAATTAGCGATTTAGTCGGTTAGATTAGATCAAACCGAATGAAAGGATCTATTTTGTTCTATTATCTTTAATCCTATTGTTTTATTGAAATCTAAATATATTATTAAATCTCATATCATGCTTTTCTCTACTTTTCTGCATGTTTAAATTAATCTACGTTTATTTTTTATGTCAATCCATAAGGTACACCTTATAACATGTAATTGAATGTAAATATCAATCTTATAATAGGAATTAGTATTATGTTTTTTGTCTTATTTTAACTGGATTGCCAAACACTTAGAAACACGTTTTATGTTATGGGTTAGTGACTAATCTAAGGAACTTATAACTATAATCAAAACAACTTCGAAACTTATAGATTGAATTTTAGACGAAAGTAAATGGGTCGAAATCTAATGTACTAGTTAGAGTGCATTCGTTATCATTGGATACTGATAGAACCTGTAATACCTTGGACAGAATCTGTTTACATGCTTAAAAATTTGTCCTAACGAGAAACAAAACATACATTTAATTAATACTCTTGCCATAGTGGGATTCCATTAAAACAAAACTATGTCGAGACATAATCAATGCTAAACGAAAAGCATGGTTCATGGCATGGGGCCCAAGTCCAAAATTTGATCATTTATCAGAACCAAAATCTACAGCTGCAGTGCCTGACATATAAATGAGACAAGGAGGATGACAGGTGTATTTGTGAATTGTGAAAAGGTGAAGCCAAATGCAAAAAATGGTCAATAGAATCTGTACTATGCTTCACGCGGAAGAAGCTCTTGAAAGTCTATTCTAAAGGTGTCATCAAATGAATGCATTGAATCAATTTTGAAGATGGATAAAAAATAAATTATTGATCCACTTTCATCCATTAATAATGTGTTAAAAAAAATCAATTCATCCACTACCTATTTAATAAAAACATGTTCAATCTATCTGCTAACCGTTTATGTTGGATAAATATCCAATCCATTCATTTAAAATATATTATATTTTATTTTAAAAATATATTTTTATAAAATAAAGTTTAATATTTATATACACATTCAATATTATAGAATTTATAACCATCTTTTAAAGATCCATATTCAACTAATAGACTTTAAACTACTAAATTTAATGAATTATAAATATTAAAAACAATTAATTGACTATTTACTATCATATAATGATTCAATCTAATTTATTACATTTTTAATAATTAAATGAGTTGATTAAATTCATGTATAAATAAAATGATTGAATTATCACTCCTAGTTCTATCAGATTTCATAGCAAAAGGAAATTAGGACAATCCATACTAGATGGCAATAGTTGTTATATTCATTTCTGTCCTCACTTCATTATAATTTCTTTTTTCACCTCTCTTCTCACTCACTACCTTGTTCTCTTCCTTCTCCCTTTTTTTTTTCCTCTAATGCACCCTCACCTTTTAACATCCACTAAGCTCATTTTCACAACATAAACAAAGCTTGCTTCCCCTATTAAGTAATTCATATAAAGGAAAATATAGTGGCTTAACGGCCTCGAATTCTATCCCAAAACAGTGCATAATATTTTACATTTTCCAAATATTTGCAACTCCTAAAAATAGAAACCATAACCGTGTTAGTGTGCTCTTTACACCCTTTAACCCTCAAATCAATCAAATGAATGCATGAAACTAACATTGAAAACTCCTTCTCAATCAACATTTCATTACATAACAAGTCTAATTTCCTCAGTTTCCCTCAAATGCTACCCCAAAGTAGCAAGCACTCTAGGTTTTCTTTCAATCATATCCCAGTTTATTAGTTCCAACCTCTTCGATAAGCTACTCATTGTCATCCAAGACTCTTCAAACTTTCACCAGTGACAAGACAAAAAGTTTGAAGCTTAATACATGAGAGGCCTTTAAGATTCACAATCAAGTTGAAAGACAGTCTTTATTGAAGTCCAAACTCCAAAGATAAAATGAAGATAACGTTTAGGCATTTTAAATTTGCGTTGATAAAAGAAGGGTAGCAACCCCTCTATATTACCACAATCATATGAGCTAAGAGTGAATCCAAATAGGGACAATGATGCATTGCAAGTTCTAAGAGAACCCATCAACCATTCTCTTGTAAGTACTTAAAAAAAAAAAAAAAAGAGAAGTAAAACTTTACCTTTCCCTGCATTCAACTCAACTTAATGCTTAAGTCAGCCATCATTTAAGCATTGACAATACCATTAACACAGTGACAGCTTGGCAATCAATCACTTTCTAGTGTACAAGAGTGAATTAAAACTTTACGAACAAATTTAATACTAAACTATAAGTAAAAATTGTTTATAATAAAGTATGACCCTTCATTAATGATTAGCATTAGCATAGTTTTAACCAGAATAGAAGGTTATGCTAATCAATCCCGTTTGAGTAACAGAAATTGTAATGGGCGTCAAAACCAAACAGGCTAAGGACAGCGTTATCATGCCGTACAATATAGAAGAAGCTTTACCTTTGTACTTGCTGGGTTGCCTCCACCCACAGTATAAATTGACTAGTTGAACAACCAGAGGGTAAATCCTATGGATAAAGTTCAGCTCTGAAATTTTTTAGATAAACAAGTAAATTTTGAATGCACAATATTATGTAGAGTAATCGTAAGTTAATGAAAAAAAAGGATCACTAATAAGATTTTAATTATATATACATAATATATATATATATATATATATTTATATAATGAGATAAATTTTAAAAATGCGTGAGACTGGTTGCGTGTTCATTTAATTTATAACTAGCATTAATTTGACATATATTTTAATTATAGTTTAACTATTTGAATTTTTTAATAAAATTATTTTTACTTAACTTTTAATAGAAATAATACCTTTCTTAAGTCTTCTCATCAACCTTTGTAAAAATGAAGCTGCGTTTAATTCTTTCATTTTTACATCCTCAAATTTACTCCAATTTACCCCATTTTGAATTCTTTAATTCATATGTTTACATGATATTTTTATGATTAATGTTAATTTTAATTTTTAGAGCTCAGTTTAAATACTCAAAAATTCAAAAATATATTTATTATATTTTTATAACTTTCATGTGATGATTATATTATTTTTAAATACAATTTTATTTTTATTTATACTTAAACTCAATTTTTAGGAGTTGAGATTAATAAAAAATTATTTTATTTTTTTAGGGTACTACTGATCACTGGTTAAGAGATTAATAAACAATAAATTTTTATTAAAATATATTGAAATACATTAAAATATATGAAACAGTATCCATTTTTAATAAATTTTTTTGTTATATGATAACATCTGTCACGTTTATTTCTCTCTCTATCTCTGGACAAGGATAACTTGTGTTTTATTAAGATGAAAAGTGAAAAAAAAAAAAGAAAAAAAAAGAAGCAACATAGAGGAAAAAAAAAAGAACTAGGATATATAATTTTTAATTGATATTCAGACAGGCTATAAATGAATGAAAGAGAGAGTATATAATTTTCTATAACAATTAAAAGATAAATTTAATTTAAAAAATCATATTTTTTATTAAATTATTTTTTAATATAAAAGTATTTGTTACTTTTTACTGTAATAGAAATTAGTTTCATTTTAATAATTAGAATAAAAGAAAAAAATTTCCTTTTCAACCCACTTATTTATTTTCATTAATTCAAAGAATAAAAAACTTTATATTTGCACCCAATTTGGTTGTTTTTGAGCTCATTCAATCGATGACATAGCAGCATACCAATCATATATCTGCATTCCATTCTTGACATAGGAGAAGAAGGGAGAGGGAAAAAATGGTGCCCACTCCAGGCATGCCTATGAGGTATTAGAATGACAAGTTACTCAACAAATATAATGTACGTAGTTTGTTCTTATGTGTAACTAATATAAGCCAGAATAGGGAATTGGAAATGATACATCGTCATCATGCACACCACCACACAATCCATACAACCCCTTTCCAAAACCTTTTCTTAAATTCCATTTTTCAATTATTATAAAATAAAAATCCCTCCGTACTTTCTCTTATGACTTATGAGAGAGAAAGAAAAAAAAAGACACAAACACACAGAGAGATGGGTTAGAGTCCCACAACTGTCTGTCCCCGCTGTTGGACAAAACTGCCACCGCCAATAATGCTTGGGACCTTGTAAACCAGACAAGCAACTCTCTCTCTCTCTCTCTCTGTTTCAAATGCATCTCATAGTGCTAATAGCATATCTCTTGTAACCCAAGTTGAGAAGTTTCCACCTTTCATTTCTTACCACAAACAAGTCTTATACTACTCTTAAGATCAAACCACTATTTGGAGCACTGTTGTGTGACCTGAGAGTTGTTCCAAGCACAGCATTTATTAATATTCTATATAAGAATAAGAGGGTATCAACTATCAAAGGCATCAGAAACACAAAGGAATATATTGCGGGGGTGTTACTCATATGGGGTCTCGTTCTGCTTCTTCTTGGGGATTACATTTATTACCATTCCTTTGTTAGTATCACTACCATACGGAATGTTGGTCACCCTCATTTCAGGTCTAAGGTAAGAAAGAGAGAGCAAAAGCTACTAGCATTTAAGACCATATACTTACTTGGATCACCATTCACCTTAATTTCATGGAGAGCCTTCAAGGACCCCTCAATTCATGTGTATGTATTCTATTACTTACTCTTTAAATTTAATTCTTACTACTACTTTCCTTCCCTTTCTCCTTCATTTTCCTTTTCCTCCAATCCCATTTCTAGAATCAAGAAAAGTACTGCATTTACTCCTCAAAACGCTTGCATTTAATGCATTGTGTTATTATTTTCCTGAAAATACTTGAATCCACCCCTTTGTTGACATTCCACTTCCGTTCCCTCTTTTATGGCTCGCTTTTTCTGCATAGACTTACCCTTTTCTCCATTCTGACCCAACCTCAGCCTCAACCCCATTAATGGAAGCATATATTCCTTCCTTCTTTTGAATTAACCCGGCTGTGAAAGTGAAATCCAACCAATACTTCACTTTCCCTTCTCATTATTCTTATGTCATTTTTTTTTTATTTCTTGTGCTCAATTGTTTTTCTTGCAGTTCTTTGGTGAGCATTTGGAAGAGAATTGTTTGGAGCAAGTTCTAGTTGATGCAGGAAGCTTGAGGCTTGAGGAGGAAGAACAGCTTCTAATATCAAGCCTAGAGGATAACATTAACATGCCGTTTCTTCAGATGCTTCAGAGTGTGGAATCCCCACAAATTTTCCCTCTGAAAGAACCAAACTTTCAAACGCTTCTGAGGCTGCAGCACCTGAAGAAACCATGGGAAGGAATAGCCTATATTCCAAGAATGGAGACCCAATTTCAAGCAGCATTGGAGCTTGAGAGTTGTGTGACACATGACATGTTGGAGATGCAGTCACCAGTGAAATCAGAAAGCAACGAGCTTCAACACCTACTTTCAGTTTCATGTGGTGAGAAAGTGAGCTACGAGTGCAACCAGGAACCACCACACAAAGTATCACAACCATGTCTCAAATCGCAGCCAGTAACTACAACAAGGGAAAAGAGAAAGAGAAAAAGAACAAGGCCAAGCAAGAACAAGGAAGATGTGGAGAATCAACGCATGACCCACATTGCTGTTGAACGAAACCGCCGACGCCAAATGAATGACCATCTCAGTGTTCTTCGGTCCCTTATGCCCCCTTCTTATATTCAAAGGGTATGTATGAACAATGAAGCTCAATTAGTCAATTGTCAACCCCATCTTGTCAAAATCCCTTCTTTTTCTCTATTCATGTTAAAAATTCAATCTTTTTCGATATGGGATGGTAAAAAATTGTGTTTTTCAATCCTTTATTATTTTTCACGGGGCAGGGTGACCAAGCTTCAATCATTGGAGGTGCAATAGATTTTGTGAAGGAGTTGGAGCAGTTGCTTCAATCCCTTGAAGCACAAAAAAGGATGAGAAAGAATGAAGAGGGTGGTGCTTCTTCCATGAGGTTGTGTAACCCATCATCATCATCATCACCATCTCCACCACATGGTTATGGAATGAGGTCATCATCATCGTCCAACGATGAAGTGAACTGTGGTGATGAGGTGAAGGCAGAAAACAAGTCAGAAGCAGCAGATATAAAGGTCACCTTGATTCAAACCCATGTGAACTTGAAAATTGAGTGTCAAAGAAAGCCTGGGCAATTGATAAAGGTAATTGTGGCTTTGGAGGACCTTAGGCTAACAATTCTGCACCTCAATATCACCTCATCCGAGGCTTCTGTCCTTTACTCCCTCAATCTCAAGGTATTACTCTGTCTTTTCACTTCAATTTCTCTTTTTTATTTTTTCTTTTTTTAAATATGGTCAACTCTACAAAGTGGAATCAAGTCAGTGTACTATTCTCTTCTGACTTGTAATCTAAGCAAAACCTGGCTTCCCTATTTCCAACATTGTCTATTGTCTATCACATTTTAAAGATAATTTATTTTTGATAAATTACCATTTATTTAACATTAGTATATTCGTTTTGCTGTACTACCGTTACACTTTTTTTTTGGTGTGTGTGAGAAAAGTAATAATGGACTTTGACCTTGTATGGTGATGCAGATTGAAGAAGACTGTAAGCTAGGTTCAGCAAATGAAATTGCGGAAGCAGTTCATCATATATTCAACCTCATGAATGGTAGCTAAAGACCACTTAGCTTCAAGCATAGGGAGCGGGTAGTAGAGAAATAAAAGACAAAATCATTGCAAGAAAGATGATGGAATGGGAAACGGGGAACACAAGGCACCCATTTCTTGTCTACATTTCAATATGAGAATTATCATGTTAGGTAGCTCAGAGATAGATGGTACTAAGGGATATGATAAGGCATATGATATTTGCTGCCCAAATGGTTTCTCTTGTGCTAATTTAATTAAAATGCTAGTATAGTAGTATTGTTGTATAATATGTGTTGCTTTATTACTTTATTATTTTGCTGTGAATTGAGAATTTGGGTTCATGGATTGCGGTATGGTGGTGGGGTATAAAGGGTAGGGCCCATAAGAAGGAGGACCAACTTTGAAAATTTTGGAGTTGTCATCATTACGATTTACAAGAAGGGGGAATGATGCTTCTCTTTTTATATTGACTTTGCGTGATGGCCGAATACTATAAAAGATGTTCCATGTAATATGTATGTCCTCACTTTCTGATGGGTTCTTTTTGGCCTCGAGTTCACGGCAGCATTATACAATTTGCAGTGATATCATAAAATAAATAATCAAGCAAATAAAGCAGAACTGGTTCTCAAGGAATTAACCATATTGCAACCAAGTATGACACTGAATTTTGTTTGTTCATTCAATCAAATTAGTTTTTTTCTGCCTTATACAATGTTTTTTTTGCAGTATCATTCAAGATTTATAGTGGTTTCAATTTCCTCTAATCCTCTTTCTAAAATTTGCCACATGATTTCATTATTAAAATAATGTTTGAAAGTATTTACATTGTAAGCACGCGTAAAAAGAAAGCCGAACGATATTAGTTAAAAATGGTCAAAGTGATATAGAAATTTTATATTATTCGTTTATATAAAGAAATGCAGACAAAAGTAAAACATTGTATATTAATTCTGATAATAGTTGTTGAATTTATAATGTGAATGCTACCATAGTGTTCTCGATATGACAGAATGTACACCAAGAATTATATTGAAATAATATCATACTTATGCTACATATGATTAAGACATGGTTGATAACGACTTGTCTCTATCCTGCAAATAAGGCTTATATTAAAAAGAAGTGATATTCTAAAATCTTCATTTCTCAAATTTAACTTTACTGTCGTATTTTGTAAAACCCCCCAACAAACCCAAGAAAAAGGGATCACAAGCCCACAAACCGTTGTCCCAATTTGTGATAGCTGACATAACAATGTAGCACAGATGCACAATCCATATGCTGTTTCACAGAATCAAATTCACCATGCAATTTCATCGTTTATAAAAAGTTAAAAAGCCTTGGTTTGAGATAAGAAAAGGACCATTTGTCCATCACGATACTCCCACCTTATTTTAATTTATATATATATTTTTCATAATATGCGATCAAAGACACATGTTAAAAAGTTATATTTTTTATTGAAAATAAAGATATTTATCATCTTAAAATCATAAAAAAAAAATGAATGCATACTTTTTATAGTGATTTAAAATATTTAATAAGATATAGTTAATATTTTTTATCATTATGAAAATAAATCTAATTCTAAAAATGGTCTTATAATTAATATATATATTTTTAAAAAGGGTAAAATGGAGTCTTACAATTTGAGCATTTCACAGCAATGGCATTACATTTTTGTATTTTGTGGCGGTCTTGGAATTGATATTAATGAAGTTGAGATGGAAGTAACAAGAGGAAGCCATATCAGGTGAGACAGGGAATGACACCCTCCTTGATACCACTGTCAGGTATGAAAATAGATTTTTTGCCCATTGGGATGATTCCAACACCAACGTGAAAATTAAAATATAAAGGCAAAACAAGAGAGTGACGTGGTAGAAAATTCCCTAGTGAAAGGTGTTTGACAAGAAACTGTATAAAGGGTAGAGGAGGAAGTCAAAATAATGATGAAGGGGCAGTCCCAATCCCACAGCCTCAGAAATCAAATATAAGAAAATACTAATAACTCTCTTTAAATATTAGTTAAAAATATTAAAAATCAGAAAAAGACATTCATTCTCACAATTCTCAATATATTTTGAAAGCACTAGTTAGCAAGATACAATAAAGCAAAACTATATACGATAAATGATAATATATATATTTTGTCTGTCCCAAAAGTCTGAGAAATATAAAAAATGTGTATAATATATTTGTCTCTCTCACAAATAGAGAAAGAGAGAGGAAGAAAAGAAGCACCCATCCCCATGTGCAAATGTGTCAGAAGGAGAAAAGCACCCTCTCCTTTTCAGGCCCAACCCCAGCCTTAGTCCTATTCATTTTTGGTCCTCGAGTTGCTAGTGCCTAGTGCTGTACCTCTTTCCCATTCTTGATGCCTTGTTGCTTAGCTTTTTTCTTCCTTCTTTTCCCTTTTCCTTTGTGTCTCCAAAGCCTTCAAACCCTGTCCCAATTAATTTAGAACTCATCATTCGCTGTGTGAGCCCACTAACCTTTTTTCTTACTCTCTCTACCCCATAAGTCATCATTGCTACCTTTGCTTCTATTTTTCATAATCCACTGCCCCTCATCTCAGATTACATGTTTTACTGTTCACAAAATCATGTCACGCACAAACAATGCCAAATATCTTAGCTGGTCCACTTTCAGTACTTCATCAGAATACACATTGCATTATTTTTGCTACAATATTACCATAGAGATATTCATTAATGTCATAATCAATTAGAAATTGATTTTAATTCACATGCTAATGATGGTGTTATTTATATACCACCTCTAGTCTCAAGTTTGACGTATCAAATTGAGCTAGTTTCCAACATTCTTAGTGTATGTTTTTGACATGGAGTAAAAAGTCAACACTTTCAATTGCTAAAGAAAATTATGTGTTTTCGTTTTTTGTTTATGTAGTTCACTATAAATCATAAAATGAGATGATGAATTCTATTGACATTATTCATGCTTTAAATCGTGACAAACTTTATATGAAAACTAGTTCAAATAAAGTTTTATCATTGGCACATACAATTCTTATCATGCTAATAAAATTTTTAAATCAATAATTGAAGGTTTTAAAATTTAGAAATAAATTAATATTTATAAAAGCTTTGCATGGTGGCACAATGTCCTCGGGCAACAACACTAACCTTGACATTAATGAACCCAAAAGGAACGCCGGTCAGAAGTTATTGGACTAAGCGACTGTGTTATTGGAAAAGAAGAGACATCCTTCGAACTTCCCGCTTTAGTCTCGCATTTTCATTCTATCATTAGCATGATCAATGTATATACGGTTATCTAAGAAGAGCACATTTTCTCATAAAGTGGAATTTTCTTATTAACAATTTCATCAAAAAGAAAAAGAAAGTATAATATCTACTTATATTATGAAATAATATTAAAAAGAGAGAGATATTATATTCCTAAAATAAAATCATATACTAATTTATTTAATTTTTTTTATTTTTTCGATAACATTACTTTTTTCTCACATTTTTTTATCCTCAAACACTCAAATCATTTTGCTTATGTCACACTTGAACCAGAGAATGGAAAGAGGCAAATTGTCCTCTCAAGTTTTTGGTTAACAAAAAAAAATCAATTGAAAAACTAAAATACGTGCTTATTCCAATCATTGCATATATATATATATATATATGATTAAAAGTTAAACCATTAAAATTTCTTCTATTGAATAAACTTTTCCCGATAAAAAATATTATTAATATACAAATTATGGATCTACACTAATAATGTAATGTATCATAGTAATAATATATATCAATTTTTTTATACCAGTTATATATATGATATATATCATACTATCAGTGTAAATTAAAATAATGTCTATTTATTTACTGGTAAATAAAGGTTATGTGAATGGAAGCTAACCTAGCTAATACCAGACTATTAATGTGCGTTGTAATAAGCCCCACATTCCCTACTTTATTCAACTAGCTAGGACTTGCAAATCATTATTTTGAGATGCTCCATGTAAAAAATTGGGTTAAAAGGGAAGATACAAAGGAGTAGCCTAAGTAGTTTAACAAAGTACTATTCTTAGTATCATTTCATATAAATGGACGTGGATTTTACTCAATTATATGGCTTGCCTAACACTGCCCAAACTCATCGTAGGCCTTGGTTTATCTATGATAACGCCAACAACTATGGTTTGGACCAAAATCAGAAGCGAAAGACAAAGAGTTTTGCTCTTGGGGGACCGCACTACGACCATATTATCAGAACCCGAATCTGATCATTATTGACCTACGCCACTATTATTATTAACCTTTGCTTCTTAGCCCCTCCACGGGTTACGTGACTATGCATAATGCATGTATAAGACTACGTTCCTCACAGGTGATGGAGATGGGACAGTGGATAAACATAAATGCGTAAAATCCAATTCCATTTTTCTTCTAGAATAAAAAATTAATGATGTCGTTTCCTTCATCGTTTGTAAAATTTTTTCACTTTTTAAAAGAAGAATTAATCATACACTACATAATTACATTTTGAGTTGACATCTTCTAAATATCAAATCCAAAGTAATTTTGTCCAATTAAATTATTCAACGTACAATACAAACAGGCTTTCACATATTGATGAAGGTATGCATGAATAAACTAAAATAAATTAAAACATTGGATCGATCTTGATCACCGTGGTAGAAGTAAAGAATTCAAAAAATTGCATAATATGGGGTCACACTCAAATTTTTTGTCTATAACTTGTCTATGAAATGTTGACTTGTATCATGTTTTTAGTGGAATTGGTGGTAGTGCGTGCCTTTTATTTTTGGAAGCTAGGAGGATACATTACATAGTGATAAGAGAGAAGGCTGCCAAATATGAAGGCATCTGCACCAACTCTTCATGTTGATGTGTTTTGACAGAGTTACCAAAATCTTAATAAGTTCCAAAGCTAAGATTGGTTATGCAAAATTGGAAAAATTCGGGTAAACAGTGATCGTACCATATAGCACAGCCAGATGTAGTTGTCTTCGGTGCTTCAAATTCCAAAGAGAACCTTTCTGCCCCTTCATTCAGACTTTGCTTTGGCCTCTTCAACACTTTACAGCATCACGGTGAAAAGTTAAAAATGTTAAGAATTTCAAGTTATTTGCAGTTAAAAGTTAATGAAGTTCTGAGATGTGCGCAGAATGCAATTTATACAAATAGTTGAAGGTGGTCTTTGTTTTTGGTTTCTTTTGTTTCTCTATGTGTGATGTGTCCCTTTGACCATTGGTTTAGTGGGTTAAGACTTAGGACTTAGAAAGTGTGTGTGTGTGTGTGTGTGTAATAGGTGAATGTGAGGGAAAGTTCAGAGATTCGAATCGTGAGGTATGCAGATCATTGACAGAGAGGGCAGAGATCTTCTGAGACTTCTCAGACTATATGGTTTTCAGGAACCTACCCTCTCTCTCAAGTTTGTGTGCCGTTTCAAGCATCAAACTCCAAACCTCACCCTTACCCAAGTGTTTATATACTTACCCTATTCAAATTTTTATATACCTTCTCTTTTATTTTTCTTATAAATATGTTTTTATTTATGAAACTTTCTTGTGAATGTGATGAGCAGCGAACTAATACAATCATATACAATAAGTGCATGATTTGTAAATAAGTTTTACGTTGATTGAAAAGAACTTGAGAAAAAAATCATTTCTAATTATGTAGTGCTAATATTAACAAATTAGGTTTCTATTGAGTATTTCACTAAAAATAATGATTAAGAAATTGAGAAACATTTTTTACTAAAAAATAGGTAGAAATATATTGAAATTATTGTTAAAAGGTATTAGTATTATTATTTATTCCTTGATTAGTGCTTTAACTGGATAAGTTTTTCAGTAAAAAATTTTATTTTAATTCTTTAACTATTTTAAATTTTCTTTTAAAAAAATTCAAATTCATGTTATACTTTATTTCTTGTCACAATTTTCAAAGAAAGTTGGAGTATATATTTTCAACATGCTTGGGTTTGAGTCCACTTGCATCGAGCAGCCACACCTGCTTGGACGAAAAGTCGGAAAAGCAAATAAAAAGCAGATTATAAGCTCTATTTTCTTTTTAACCTTTAAGTGAATAATATATTTACTAAACATATACAATCGTTGGTGCTAGGATGAGTGTAACAGATGAACTGGGTCATGAGTGATGAGCTTATTCATGTACAATCGTTGGTGCTAGGATGAGTTTTGGGCAAGCAAGAGTATGATGCCATTTAGGTATCTTGTGTTTCTGTTTTGCACACCAATATGACCAAAAGATGCCCTGCATGCAACCACATGAAGACGGGGATGAGGTTAAACCACAAGACAATATTTATTTGTACAATGGGGACTCATGAAAAGGTAGTGGTCCTATGCATGTTTCTAGATTACATTAATTAGTAAAAAGAGCAATATGGTTCTCACCTTTCAACCATTTGAATTTTTTACTGCCATACTTTGCCTCTTTTACTAGGAAGCTGTATCTGTCCTTGATGGTGCTATGTGAGTGCAGGTTTATTTTGAAATTAAAATTGTTTTAGACATCACATGTTTATCCTCAGAGAATGAGCATATAACCAAGGTGAAATAGTGAAACATTGAAGAGTTGGTACAACATATTTTTGTAACAAATTATATATCATATAAAGTTACACGAGTATGCATTACTTATAATGTGTGTTCAGCATGTAATAGAAAAGTTAATAGTTGCACCCTTTTTTGAAAAACAAAGAGAGAGAAAAATGAAGACAGTACAGATGTTCTTGCCAAAATTTCAATCAACTATGCTATTTTAACATTCTTTAGTTAATATTTACACTACTTTCACGCCCACTCGTTTATAATAAAAAGGGAGAAAAGACAAATTTTATCAAGTTTTTCTTCCTTTTTTCTTTACCATGAGGAAATGCGTGTAAGCACAGTGTAAAATTGAGTGTGGGAGAATTTGTTTTGAAAATTGAAATTGAAAAATACTGGCAATGTACTTTATATATATTTTTGTTATTAATTAAAAACTCACATTCGCGTGACTTCATGTAATTTTAATATATTTTAACAAATAACATAAAACATATTAAAAACCTATGACAAGTTGGACAACTCATGTTTTATAAAATCTATATATTTGAAAGAAATTGTTTCAGAATTTTAAAATATATTTTGATATTATATAGATTAAAGTACTTACTTTTAAAGTATTATTATGGGAATATTTAAAAATTATAATATCCTACTTATTGAAATTTATTTTTGCTTATTTGCTTATAAAATAAAGCACAGAATAATGATGATGGCATCAAGATTTTGTTGTTATGTATGGGCTTATAGACAAAATGATGATGAGATAGTGGCCTATAAAAAAACGACCCATTACCATAATTATTGAGAATGTCAAGGTGGTCATCTCTCTTAGCCAATATCTTTCTGGGCCGTCAATACTTAACTAATACCCAATTTAATATTTGTCCCAGCCCATTTAGTTGTTCTACTTAATTTTTCTTTCATAATATTTATTAATATATAAGAGAAAATAGATACATATACCTCTCACAACACACATCTCCATTTGATTTCATTACATATACGAAAAATCAAAATAAATGTTCGTCTTGAACAAACAAAATGGGTTGAATCAAAGTATACGAGAAATCAAAGTACGGATGATAATGGGTCGAATCAGTTGTATCAATCTAATTTTCTTAATTCGAGCTTAGTTTAGTTTAAATTTTCGTTAAACGCACTGCATTAAATTTTTTTTATCAAAACTAATTTGTAAAAAGTAATACTTCAGCCTTAAGCTTTTATTTTTAAACTATATGTTGTGTTGTTATAGCTTCTAATGCACCTTCTTCTTGACACACAAAAAAGTCCCCCATTTGGCAGTCCTCTTTCATTGAGTTTGGTTTTAGATACAAATACAGTGCAACAGGCTAAGTTGCATTTGAATAAAAAACTATTCACAAACATTAAAATAGCAAATAATAATAATAGTTAATTTTAAAAATATTAAATTTGAACCACACCAAACTTATTTGTTAAACTAATTGTATATCCTGTAGACAATAATAACACAAAAAATAAATAAACAAACCCCAAATTTTAGCTAGGTTCCATGATACTCTTACTTATTCAAACTATCCCAGCCTATTACAAATTTTTCTCGAACTCAAAATTGGTTAGTTGCGATTATTCTGGGTTATCATTGTGACTGGGGCTTACCGGCTTATATTTTTTCCGAGACACATTAAACTTCAGCCAACAACATTAAATTTACATTGTATGTTAATGGTTTCAAACATGCTTTAAATTATATTAGCGCACAATTATAATTAATAACGTTAGAATAAACATAAATTTGTAACCGATTAAAGATGAATTCAGATGCCCACTTAATTTTCTAGACTAAAGATAAGAAAAAACTTTTTGAAAGAAGTTTCAAAAAGTTTATCTCTTTTTTGTCAATAAGAAGTTAGTCTTAGTCAACTATTAATTAAAAAGATGTATTTTTGGGTGGCTCGGCCCTTGAAAAAATGTAAATAAGCAAGTGGAGAAAGCTTTGGTTTCAAAAGCCCAACCAAGAACCTCCTATCTCTTGAAATACCATAAAACCCCTATCTTGCAGCCATGTCAGCACACTATCTACATGAAAGGAAACGAGTGGTTGTGGTGCAACATCAACCGTGGAAAGAGCATCTCCACAATCATTTGCAAATTATCAAACACTAACGAAATTAATATGCCAACAAAAATTTAGAAACAGAAGAAACATATCAACAACTTCAGCTATTCTGTCCCTGGTGGACTCAAGAGTGTTGTGTTTAATAGGAAAAGTAAAATATTAACCTGAAAAAGTTTCACTCGCAAATATAGCAATGGCCACAACCTCCTCTTCTGCTCTCACTATATCCTCTTCAACCACCCTTGTTGATGGCAAGGCTCCAAGACAATCACCATCAACTACCCCACAATGTGTGAGCCTTCCCACTCTTCCCCCTCCACCTTTGCAATCTCATAACCGTTCATGGAAAACCACTGTTTATTGTAAGTCACTCACAAAAGTTGTACTGTTCATATTGCATACACAATTGAACCCCCTTTTACCAAACACATGCATCTTGAACAATCACCAATGTTATCTAGGAGATGGTAATGTTGTAGGTTGATGGTTTCAGGTCGCAAGATTGCTCGCAATGTTATGGCAATGGCCACAGGAGAGGCACCAGCTGAAGTTGCCGCAACTGAGTTGCCAGAGTTTGTTAAGACTCTTCAAGAAGCTGTGAGAGTTTCTGATTCTTTATATATATATATATATATATATATATATATATATGTTGGTTCCAAATGGAGTTTTCTGAGTGTTTCTGACTTAAATTAGTTGATGTTCGTTGCATAGTGGGACAAAGTTGATGACAAATATGCAGTTAGTTCACTGGCTGTGGCTGGTGTGGTTGCATTGTGGGGCTCAGCTGGTTTGATCTCAGTAGGTTATTTAACTTAATTTTTTTTATCATTGCTTTCTAGTTTCAATACAGATGAGAATTCACTATGATAAATATTATATTTGATGAAAGTTGTCCTAAGCAATCACTATCATTTTTTTAACAGGCAATTGATAGGCTTCCTTTAATTCCTGGGGTTCTTGAGGTTGTAGGCATTGGCTACACTGGGGTAAGTCAAGTATACTTATTGCTAGCATCTGTTACAGCATTTGTGCTCATAATAATTGGATAAGAGCCCTTAGTCAGTTTGGATAAAATGCTCAGTAGGAGAAGAAAATAAATTGAATCAAGATAGTAAAATACATCTAAGTATATAATTTGTTTTGGATTCACGTTCGAATGCCTATATAGATCCATGTTTATTTTAATGCTGTAACTTCCACATTAGGAACCAATTACGGGTTTTTGAAATTGTTTCCAAATACACACTTGTAAGGGCTTTTTGGTAAGTTAGGAATCAAGCACTTATCTTTATTGAAAAATTTAAGCTAGAAGCTAATCTAAACTGGCCCTAGTGTCTTGCTTCATAATCTTTTCTCCCCTTAGTTGCTACTATCTCCTTTCTTTTTTATAGTAACATTTTTAGCTTTCTTGGATGATAGTTATAAAACTGGTTGAACAAATGAAATATGCCCTTCATTCTCTTAACCAGGATGAGGCATTATTCGACTAATACAGAATAGCCAAAACCAGAGGGGGTTTAACAATTCCAAATACAGAAGAATGGTTTAAAGAAAGCCTTGCCATACTTGATTCCATGTCTATGAAAACCTATTATTCATCTTCTATGTCTTTCTTTGCAGTGGTTTGCCTACAAGAACATAGTTTTCAAGCCAGACCGGTAAGCACAATTTCTCTTGAATAGTTTAGAACAATTTCGTACAATGTAGTATTTACTTAATCATTAATGATCTCAATAATTTTCCCGCGAATAGAAATCATGTCTACAAACATGTTTAATGGAATAACAGGGAAGCTTTGATTCGGAAAATAAAAGAAACATATAATGAAATAATTGGGAGCAGCTAAAAGGTTAGGAAATGCTGAGATGCTTATTTCATGAAAGAGTCATATCTTGCAGCATCCTGTTGAAGATGTCATCATGCTTCATTTAATTTTGCGCCGTAAGCTTCTGACCATACGTTATCTCATGTAATGTAATGTGTTATTTGAAAAAGTGTATCTTTTTATATACATTAATCCACTTTTAAGGCAATCCCATTTCCTCAATTATCTGTAGTGGTTGGTTACCAAACAAAGGGCAATTGGGTCCATTGATCTTAATTCAATGACTTGAAAGAATATTTTATGAGCATATTTGTTGTATCTGCATTCAGCATGTGCAAGCTTGGCTTGAATATTGACATGAATCTAAGGTTGCTACCTATTAAAAACAATAACAAATCCATAAGTTGCTATAATAAATATTTATATCATTTTTCATTTTTGCTTTCCATAATTTGAGGCATCATTCGAGATCCCTTGTACATGGGGCATCTTGAGACATATCTTTTGCTTGGTTAATGAATAACGGAACTGACTTTGATTGGAGTTATTCAATCCCAACAACATTGAATGCTGAAATCCATTTTAATTTTTTTAAATGATTTTGATTTTGTTCGCAGCCTTTTGTCTTAACATTCATTTTATACCTATTTCTTTCTTTCTTTCTTTTTTGTTTTTAATTCAAATCTTCTTTACCCCCATTGCACACCCTTAAACTTTTTTGTTTTTATTTTTGTTTTTGACATGGTTTGGTTGGGATTTAATGTAACTAGTTCTGTCTTGTCCAATATTGAACCAATTTTGAAGGTTGAGTGCTTGACAGCTTCATAGGTTTGAGATGGCATTACATTCCCTTAAAAAAATTAATCAAAGGAATCTTTATGAATAATTAAAATTTTCCAAGTATAACCATATAGCAAAGTTAAATTGGTCGAGAAAGGCAATTAAAGATATTTTCATCCCTTGAGCAACATCTACTTCCACACGATTCTATCAAATAAAAGGATGCAAACAACGCATAAAGACCAATTTTTTAACCACAAAGATTGTCGTACTACCTATTTTTAATTATTATATTGAAAGGTGAAAGGCCCAAATATAAACCATTAAGAACACCTTAAATATAAGAGATATGGAAGTCCCAACAGAACCATCATAAATAAATGGCCCATTTCAACGGAGGGTGAGAGATTAAGGCGCAAGTCATGACAATGTTTTAATGTTCCAATCCACTAGCTAGCTAATCCCCACAGAGTCTACAATTAGAAGCATAATTCCAAGACATAAAAAAGGAAAAAACACTCTACCAAGTTTGAATTTCACACCCAACCTTAAATCTTGATAGGTGCTAAATTAATAATGTAGGAAATAGTGTGCAACCATGGCATTAATTAAAATGCAAAGAAGGATAATAGAAGAACAACTTGAGCCATACTAGACAAGTATGTCTATTTGTAAAACTCCATAACCCAGGAGCCAGAGACACAACACACGAATTTGATGCCACTGAATCCAGATCCTAGTGCCAATTCCATGAATTCATTTTGGGTTCGCTCTTTTCCTCCTGGGTTTTGAGTCATCATTAATAGATCAGCTTGAAAACCATTCTTTGCAACAGGTGTACCCTCAGGCAAAACGGGAAGAATTGAGTCCACGACAATCACTTTTCCATCATTAGGAATAGCTTTATGGCAATTCTTCAACAACTGCAAGCAGTGTTCATCACTCCAATCGTGGAGTATCCACTGAAAGATTTGGTACATGGAAAAATGTTACGTAAGTCATACAACATTTCATTCGTTGAGACTTTGCATCAAAATATTTGATTCGATAATGACTGCTTTATTTAATTACACTATTCCTTATATTTTATGTGACCTTATACTTTCTCTGGACATGGTCACCAACAATAATCTTTCAGTGAATTTTTTTTATGCTCATGAATTTTAAAATTAAATTCAGGACCACATATTTGAGACTTGGTCCATTATACCCACGAACGTACTTGTTGCCAAAAGTAGTTTACCTTTCAATAAAATATTTGGACGTGGTCATTTTGAAGTTCCTAATACCAAATTTATATATATAAAAAAATGCAAAAGTGAACATCGGTAAAGTTGAAAGTTTGTACTGGTATTTTTTCAAAAGAATTAAGAGTCACTAGAGATTGAAATTTCTTGGAGCTAATAATAATGGGAGTTGAACAAACAGTTAATTTGTATATTTTAATGGATAATTCTAATAAAACCTCTAATTCACCTTCATAAAAATGGCATCTCCATTAGGAACACTCTCAAACATGTCCCCACCCACATGTTCTACGCCTGCAACATTAGAGTAAACTAATAAGTCAATTTAACGCGTCTTATTCATTACTATATTTACAAATATATTAACAAAAGGGTATAATTTAGTTGTTGCAATTTCTAAATTATACTTTTTATTTAAATCAAATTTTGTTATTATTAATTATTTAAACTCAATATTATCAACAAAATCGTAAATTAAATATCAACGAGAACAAACCGGGATAGGCAGGGGCATTTTCTATGACATGAGGCAAGTCAAAATTAGTGCCCTGAACATGAGGATATTTGGAAGTGATGAGCTTGAGATTGATCCCAAGACCACCACCAACATCCACTAGCCTATTAATGTTCTCAAAACCTTCGTAGAACTCAAGAACCCTCTTCATGACTATAGTAGTAAAGTTGAACATCGCTTTGTTGAAAACATCATTGAACCTGGGATCCTTAGCTGGATACTCAAATGCATCCATGCCATAGACCCTGTTGAATGGTATACCCCCTTCCAAGATGGCTCCTTTTAGTTCCGTCCTATCAATCAATAATGCAATCATATTAATTAACTATATTGATTGAAATTTAAAATACATTTACCCAACAAAAACTACGAACTTATTCTAGTAATATAAAACAAATTATAAGCACTGGCAACACTCTTTTGAATATATTTTTCAACACACTTTTTATTGTTAATCTGATTTTTAAAAAAAGTTAAATTAATTATTTTAACTATTAAAATGCTGAGTAAAAAAAATATACATTGAAAAATGTATTTAAAGAATGTATATATTGTTAAGATTTTTTAAACAATATATTGGAAATAAACTGACCAGCTTCCCAAGAAGACATTGTCGAGAAGCAAGTTCAATGTGGCTCCAAATGACACACCATCAGCATCAGTGATAAAAAACTTGGACGCATTGGTGAGACTATAGAGCCTCTTGGGAGACACAAGGCCATGTTGATCATCATCATCAGCAAGAGAACAAGATATCATGGAGTTGCTTGCCAACAACCTTAGAAGACGATCCAACATTGTGGGTGCTTCTGGGTTCTTTGGCCCAAGTTGGATTGCAATCTCTTCTGCTGAGAGCTTCACACCCTCACCAGCTTTGGCCATGATGTCAAAGATTCCTAGCTCAACCGCAGTTCTAACCGCCATTGGAAACACGATTGAAGTCATAGTGTTCATGGCAAAAAGAATGCCATCTTCAACATCTTGAACTTGATTCGTTCCTCCTTGTTTATGGAGCTTGGCTTCAAGTTCAACATCACTAGTTTCCAATGAAGGAGACATGATAAATATGAACGTACTAATTAGAGAGAAATAGAAGATGTTTTGTATTAATTCAAGTTTCTTTTAGTTTATAAAATGTGTGTTCATAGGGGATATATATACTTGTGATGCCATTACAATTGTTGCGTCACCACTTACAGCACAGATCTGGATTCGGTTCAATTAAGAAGTGTGTTAGTGGTGGAGGTGAACGTAATATACCAATATTTTACGATTTGTATAAACTATACGTAGTTTAAAACGTAAAGTAGCGGTATTTTATATGAAAAATGTTAAGTTGACCAACTTTAAAACGTTAGTTAGTATATTAAAATATTTTATTAAGCATTTATTATATTAAAATATAAAGATATAATTATTGCTTTATTTTTAATAAAAAAAATTAGCATTTAGCTTTGGGTGGAAATTTGGAAGAAAAAGGAAGTCAACTATTTAAAAGGTAAGAAAATAGAGAATAAGAAAGAAAGAATGAGGATTAAAAAAATCTTAAATTTGAATAAACTTCAAAATATGCTTATGAGAAATTTTGAAAGATTCATAAAAATTCTTGTCTATATATAAACACTTTTAAACAAGAGTCAGTATTATATATATATATATATATATATATATATATATATATATATAAAATTGTAAAAGAAGACATGGATTAGTTGTTTTTTTTTTATATCTATTTAAAATTAAACTCTGAGTTAGTGGCTTGGCTGCTAGCTGTGATCTGGATGACTACTTCGTTAATGGAATTGAAGAAGTCAAACATTTTGGACACAATTGTCTTCTGAAGCACTCTTACAATATGATATTATTCTTATTGTCTGCTAAGTGTTTCAAGGTGTGTAGGAACCTTCGTTGAAATGAAGAGGATCATATTGTATTTAATTTGCTTTGTTTTTAATTTAGTGTATGTTTTAAAGCATACACTAACCAGATGATAAAACGTGAATTAAGTTGTGTATGTATTTGTGACATTTTTTAAGTCATTTTCAGATCTCAATTAACATATTTATATATTCAAAATTTTAAATTCAATTCTACATTATATTTTAATCAATTTAAAACAAAATTTTTCCCTGAATCCAAACCAACTAACCAGATCCCACCCATAATGAAGTTCATTTACATTAAATTAGTACTAATAAACAAAGTTATGGACGTGAATCATTGAGCAAAGGATGAGTTTTTCTAGTTGAGACGCTACCAAAAATGTTTTAAATTTCTTCACACCTACTCTTTGCAATCATCAATTAAATGATTGTTTTATTTAAATGAAATTAATTAATTATATATTGCATCGATTGACATTTAAATTAAGTGCACTTAAGTGTTTAATAAAGAGAAAGAATCCAGCACCTACCAATGTAACATCAACGTGGCTACCTAAAAAGAAGGTAATTATGGACTAAAAACAAAGCTTATTGGGTTCTATGAGTCAAAATGGTTATTTGGTTGTATTATGATAGACTAAACTATGTCACAAATAGAAATCACGTCAACTTGTATATAGGTGGCCAATACTGTTTGGTGAGATATTGGTTCAATTATCAAGCCATTAAAGGCTTGTTAATCCAGTTTTATTTAAATAAACTTGCGCTATATATTTAGTTTTTTTCGTCTGCAAATACGAATACTTAGCAAGGGTAAAATTTTGGAGTGCATCAAACTTTAGACTTTTTCTTTTTATAAATTTAAATGTGTTCAAACATTCAAACATACTTTATAGTAATAGTTTATTTTTTACGTTTTCATATAAAAATAAAATTAGATATCCCATCGTAGCAGTTAATTTTATTAATAATTTCATAAAATTATTTATATCATTAACCATGAGCATAAAGATATATATCTCACATAAATTAAAAATATGATTATAATATTTTTTATAAACCTTAAATAACTATCTTCTTATAAATTAATTTTTAAAAATAAATTAAGTCTAATTTTTTAATATAGTATTAAAATCTATTTAATTTAAATATTTTTAATCCTACAAACTTTACGCAATAGATATTAAGTCTTAAACATAAAAAAAATATTATAAATTTTTTTTACATTAATTAATAATATAATTAATGCTAAGTATATTTTATAAGACTTGGGAATTTTTTTTTTTACGAGCTAGTTTTCTAGAATGGATTAGATTCAATTTTGATAAGGAACATGTTAAAAAATATCTCAGACCATTAAATTAATAAAATAGAGAAATTAAGCAAGTCCCACACTTTTAAGGTGGTGCACCATAGAATATATTTTTCCTATAAATCAATGATTATGATGATTTGCAATATAATACTGCTTTTAATTTTTTTTATAAGAAGCAAAATAGAACTTTTTATTATTTTTTATTATAAGAAATAAATGATGATTTCAAGATGCATTAATTATTAAATTCTTTTTATACCTTTCTTTGTTAATTTTTTTTTCTTTCAACATTACAAGTTAGACTTAAAAACTCATTACTTTTGAATGAATACAGATCTTACCGTCAAAACTTTGGCTAGGTATATAAGATTCTCTCTCTCAGAAGATATTTAACATACACACTCTTTAACTCTAACGAAAGAGATTAAAATTTTTAATTTAAAATTTATTTATTTTAAAATTTATTTTATTTAATATAATATTATATTATGATTTTTATATAAAATTATTTAATATATTATTATAAATTTTAAATAAACTATTTTAACAAGACTAATAAATTTTTTTAATTTAAATTTAACTTATTTAATTAGTTAAGCTTATAAAAAAACTTAAACTAAACTTATTATTTAAGCCAAAGATATCGTTGAAATGCTTTTGACTCTCCATCAAGCTCAATACCGAATATATTCCAACAATATCTCTTTCTTGGACGTTACCAATGACTTTTCCATCAAGCTCAATAGCGAATAAACATTGAAATCAAAGGTAGGTTAAAAATAAATGTGAGTTTAATTTTAATGCATTATCAATTTTAAAAAAATTTACATTGTCAATTTATTTAAATTAAATCCAAGAAATATTCCCCTACCAAAAATTTTGAACTTGTGTGTGATTTATTTTCTTTTCTTATTAAAATTGGGTGTATTTGTCACAGTTCAATTGCTGAGTGCCTCTAAATGGGTTATTCTTACAGGTTGGAGTCGTGGCTTGTATTTGTATATATGGTTTTTAATTACATAGAATGTGTTAATAATAATTTATTTCGATATTACTGACATAAGTAGAAGTTGGAATTTTGAAATCACCACTTTGGAGGAATTGACTAAACCACTTCAGAGGACTTAAATTAATTGGGAAAGATTTGGAGGATATTGTTGTATCGTTTCATCCTTTATATTATCTATTGACTCATCAAATTTTATTCCAAAAAACTTTTCTATAATTAATAGCATAAAGGAATCAAATATCCATCTACTCATTTTATATATTCCAACAATGTTGTCCACTCATTTCAAAACAAGTTGTGAAAAGAGTAAACATTGCAATTTGTATTTTTATTTTTTTAATAAAACAAATTGTAATTTTATTCTACGTGCAGCAACCGATGTGGGACTTATAATAATATCTACTTGAAGAACTCCATAACCCAGACACCATAGACAAAGCAAGTACATCTATTGCCACTGAATCCAGCTCCTTTGGCCAATGCCATGAATTCTAGTTCACTACGCTCTTTCCCTCCCGGGTTTGTAGTCATCATCAGAACATCAAATTGAGAAATGCTCTTCACTGTAGCTGTAGTCTCGGGTTCAAATGGAAGAACTCCCTCCACAACAATCACCTTTCCATCATTTGGAATTGCAGCATAGTATTTCTTCAACACCTTCAAGAACCATTCGTCACTCCAATCATGGAGTACACACTACAATGTTCGGAAAACCATAGGTATATTAATTAATTCAGCTAAGTTTATTAATGGGAAAATGGGAATATATTAGGGAGATCGATGCACAGTTTAGACTTGTCAAACCCTTGACCAATACCCACCTTCATCAAAATGGCATCTCCTTCTGGCACAGTACTTTCAAACATATCTCCTCCCACATGCTCCACACCTGCAATCAATTTAAAATACACAATTTGAAAATTAGGTTAGGTTACAGTACATAGTTAATTATATAGAGTAGTTTCATTTTCACATAATTTCTCAGAGTGTGTCCATGTATATAGAGTTCTTAGGATATTAAAGTATAATTTATCTGAATTTTTAACAAAAGTTTGTACTATGTGCCATTGACCTTTATTTTGTCTTTGTTTTCACCAAAATCTTGATCTAGAAAAACGAGACCATACCATTATAGGGAGAAGCATGTTCTATGACATGAGACAAGTCAAAATTATACCATGCATGCATGTGAGGGTATTTGGAAGTGATTATGTTAAGAGTGACCCCAAGGCCACCGCCAACGTCCACCAGCCTATTGATGTGTTCAAATCCCTTGTAGGATACAAGAATCTTCTTCATAATTAAAGTGGCTCGATTGGTCATTGCTGCCATGAAAAGCTGATGAAAACTTGAGTTCAAGTCGGTATACTCAAAGACGTGTTTGCCATGGACCCTGTTGAACGGAATGCCTCCTTCTAGAATCGCATCTTTCAGTCGATACCTAGGAATTATGGACGCACAAACTTTTGTTTTAGTAAGTATATGATGATATAACACAAGCTTTTGATGTAAACAATTTTTTTTCAAAAAAAAAGTACAATGGTTTTGATCTGATATCCTATAAACTAATATTTTTATATTAATTGTTGCACTTTTTAAAACAACTTGACCGTAATAGTCAATAATAATAGCCTAACAAGTAGGCAATTAAGTAACCAAAATTGAGTTTAATTTAAATTTATTATTAAATATATTTAAATTATATACTAGTATGTCAATCCTGTAAAATATCTTTACATTATTATATATATTATCAAATCCCCAAACGAATTCAACTATAATTATTACTATGATATATCTAACATGTGATCAAACAGTGTGATAAAATTCGAGATTACTTTTAATATAGTATTTAATTTTTCAATCGTTTAAGATTACTCAATTACGTAATTATCATTGGTGAATCTCGACATTCTGCTTGCAAGTGTATCTTTTATCTTTGTATGTCCCGTTTTACCTTAAAGGAAAATAAAATATTTTATGTAACATTAAAAGTGAATTTTTTAAGTATTTATTTTATATTGTTACTATATTTATAAAACACATGTATAAAAAAAAACAAGTAAAAATAAAAAATGATAAAATATTGCTTATATACGATATCAAATACTGGTGTCAATTTTGAGTAAGTTAAACAAAGGAAATATAAATAAACTTAAAAAATGACCAACTTTGAAGGATGGCCTTGTCCAGTTGTCCTGAGTCAACACCATCAAAGGGGCAAGTGAGCCACCACCGGTATTGCAAGTAAAGTATTTGGTCACAGGGTTCATGCCATGTGGCCGCTGCAAATGTGGAGAAGAACCCTCTTCATCACCAACCACAGGGCAATCAATAATGGAATGACATGCGATCCAACATTGTGGCTGCTTCAGGATTCTTGCGTGGAAGCTGAGTTGCAATGTCCTTTGAAGACACCTTTGCTCCTACACCTGCTTTGCCTATGATGTCAAAAATGCCAAGCTCAATTGCTGAGTGCATGGCTATCGATAGCAAGCTAGATCGAGTTCACTAGTTGCATAGCATAGGTGAAGCTTTTTTCTTCTTCCATTTGTTCTTTGTTGTACTCCCTTTGGGGGAAAAAATATACAGGATTATTATGTATGTGAGTAATTTTTCATCATCAATACGCAAACATTATTATATTTTACACAAAATTATTAGATTGATAATTAAATTTTAGTTTTGTTTTAGTTTGGTCTTTTATTTTTTATTTTTTTATTTTACTTCTTTAACTTATAAAAGTATTTCAAATAAGTCTCTTAATATTAATTATAAAATTTTCATAACCTTTTTTATTATAAAAATTATATCTCTTTAATTTAATCTCAATTATTATAATAAAATTATTACAAATTGTTAAAATGTTTACGCATTGTAAAATTTATAAAAAAACAAATTTAAAAATAATTATGTAATATATATATATTTAACTTTTATTTTAAATGTTTATTTAATTTAATAATATTCGTGCGGTGAACAAAAAATTCTCTAGTTATAAAGCAAATCCTGTACTTCAGGTCAAGTTGATTTATTTGGCTTAATGAATTTTTTAATTTTTTTAATAACTATTTACTAAAATAAAATAAAAAAAACATATTCTCTGTTTGGAATAAATTTTTGTCACATCAAGTCATATTTCGTATTTAAGTCAGATAAAATTAATTTTTTTTATTTTTAATTTATCCACTTCATCTAAAATAGGGACAAAATCAATCAAAACGTGACACATAGATTTTGTATATAATAGAGATAAGAAGGCCAAATAAATATTTGAATTTAAATAAATGAGTTGTGGTGGAAAGAAAGAGAAAATTAAATGAGTTATGTTTTATAGAACGTGTAGACTTACGAGTATGAGAATAATAAAATAATAAATGAGATTAATAGTAAGAAGAGAGGAAAAATTAAATGAGTTGTGTTGTATAGTACGTGTAGAGTTACAAGTATGAGAATAATGAAATAATAAATGAGATTAATAGTAAAAAGAGGGAGAAAATTAAATGAGTTGTATTATGTGAAAAGTGTAGAATTACGCAAAAATAATTAAATAATAAATAATGTTGATAGTGGAGAGAGAGAAAAAAAGAAATGAGTTGTAAAAAGTTACTGTAGGTAGTAAAAAAAGTAGTAAGTTGTGTTATATGAAAATTGTAGAGTTACAAGAATAAAAATAATAAAATAATAAATGATGTTACTAATTGGAAGAGAAAAAAAAAAGACAAATAGGCGTGTTGTGTGAAAGGAAATTATTTGACCAACAAACTTAAATTCTTTTATATATGCCTTCAATTCCACTGGTACATAATTTTAGTTTTATCTGCTACTTGTATCCATGATGTGCAAAACAACAATGTATATGCAAGCTTAATTGCTTTGCACATATATTGTTGCACAGCGTAAAAACTAGTTGTCTCAAACTTCATGTATATACTAATATCATTGCTTGTTGCATAATGTCTTTAAATAACATCATGAAAATGACTATTGCTGCCTTGGCTGTGATGAAGGAAGAAAACAAACACACACAAATATAAATTGTAACAATTAACACACTAGTCCATAGGCCATAATCATACTTCTACTTGAAAAACTCCATAACCCTAAGATCATAAGCAGAAGCAGCAAATCTAATGCCCTTAAATCCGGATCTTTTTGCTAGTTCCATAAATTCTTGTCCATTTCTCTCCTTCCCTCCAGGATTTTGAGTCATCATGAGAACATCAGTTTGGCATGTGGTCTTCACCAAAGTACTGGTTTCAGGGGTTGAAGGAAGGACTTGCTCCACAACAATTACCTTCCCATCATCAGGAAGCGCATTATAGCAGTTCTTCAACAGCTTCAAGCATAGTTCATCATTCCAATCGTGCAGTATAAACTACAATATATTAAAAGAGTGTGTTTGATCATTCCATGTTTAAAAGACACAATTATATGGAAAACACAAGCCAAAACAACAATAAAAATACATCAAGACTTATTAACTAACTTGTTCTAATGAAATTAATTAGCTGAGTTCCAATTAAGTTGAACTACACACTAAGACTAAACCAACTATTTTATTATTCTTAATTTATAGTAATAACTATATCGTATTTGGCTGCCCAAACTAAAAATGTACCTTCATAAAAATAGCGTCTCCATGTGGAACACTCTCAAACATATTTCCTCCCTCGTTCTTCACACCTGCAGCAAAACAAAAATTGGTAATGTGTATTTATTTCATGGGTTTTTTAGACGCCCACAAATCAAATAAGAGGGTCGTTTTTGGTGGATGAGAAGAATACTGTTAGATCTTATTATTGTAAATAGTTAATATTAAAATATCAATTATTTATAAGATTTTTTTTAAGTAATTATGTGATATTAAATAATTTTAACTATATATTCATATTCTTGTATAATTATACAGTTAAGAAATGTTCACAATCTTATATAGAAAGAGTTTTTCTCGCCGGATACATTCCTATTTTCAAATGATATTAATATTTTGTCAGCAATTTACCATTAAATAAGTAATTTATCATCATTACACGTTAACTTGGACTTGTACGTCCCCGGGACCAGCTCATTTGGTCCAATAACTTTTTCAAATGAACCTAACTTTGGATGACCATTTTTGTGAGTTTGGATGGAACCAACTTGGTTCATGCTATATAATATAATATCGCCCTTTCAAAATTTGACAGCTAACATTTTTTATTTTTATTTTTTACATTTTTCTTTAATCGTTGAAAGAGTTCATGTGAGTTCCGTTAAACACCTCAAATTGACTTTTTATTTATTAAGACTTACAATTCTTTCATACAATAATAGAAAGGGTAAAAGACAACATTTTTAATCCATCTGGCATGCAATTACCCTTTGCCCGTCCAATGTTGAAAAAAAAAACAAACAAAATAAGGTAACAATTTAAATCTTATTTTTTTCGTTTGTTACTATGCAAATTTTCAGTATCCTGATAAAGAGAGGTATGTGGCACCTACCGTGTGAATTGTGACAAATTAAATAATTACTTAATAACAACTTGATATTAGAATATCATTTAATTGATTATGATATATTATATATCACAGTAGTTAGACAAACACATAATATGAATCAATGTAATTAAATACTAGGATCTTACCGGGATAAGAAGGAGCTTCTTTTATGACATGAGGCAAGTCAAAATTAGTACCCTGAATATTAGGGTATTTGGAGGTGATGAAACTAAGGGTAGCCCCATGACCACCTCCAACATCCACAAGCCTATTGATGTGCTCAAAGCCTTTGTAGGATTCAAGAATCTTCTTTGCTGCCAAACGCGTGCTGTTGCTCATTGCTGCATTGAAAACTTGATTGAACCTTGGATCAAAGCTTGGATACTCAAAGGCATGCATGCCATGAACTCTATTGAAGGGTATTCCCCCTTCCAAAATCGCCTCCTTCAATTGAGACCTATGAATCAATATTGAATGGACAGAGTTTCTATTCAGTAAAGCAAAAAGAATTATATGTTAAAAATAGAATCACACACACACACACACTCTTATCCCAACACAACAACAATTCAGAACACTGTGCACTGTTTGCATCAGCATACAGAAATTGTCAACATCATGTTCTAACTAGATTTCTAATCATGTTCGTTGAAAATTTATACACACACACACGTACATACATGTGTCTCAAGCATAGTAAAATTACAAGATGAATTGTGATAGCCAAGTGCATAATCAATTATAATGATGGTCGTATATATAATATAGACATCTTTATACATTCAATCGAATAAAAGTTATTTGTTTATATTATGAAAAACGTATCATACATTAAAATAAAGTAAGGTGATAGAACATCAAATAAATTATGTATGTAAAAATTTATAAACTTGATGCATGTTATAAAAAATTTTAAATTTAAAACAAACATCGAAAGAGATTAATGGAACAAATAAATTGAGAAAACTGACCAGCTCTGTAAGAAGACTTTGTCATGAATCAATGCCATGAGGGGATTCAATGACAACCCATCCTCATTGAGAACAAAAAATTTGGACACAGAATTCAGACTGTATAGTTTCTTGAAAGAACCACTTTCATCATCAAGAGAACAATGAAGCACAGAATGACTTGCTAGGAGCATGAGGATCCTATCTAGCATGATGGGTGCATCTGGGTTCTTGGTAGGAATATGGGCCATAATGTCATGGGCTGAGACCTTGGCACCTGGCCCAGCTCTATGGAGTATATCAAACACTCCAAGCTCCATGACAGTGTGCAAAGACATGGGCAGAGAAACAGAATTCGCTAGCTGAAGGGCATAGCAGAAGCTTTCTACTTCATCTTCATATTCTCCCTTTATAGGTAAGACTTGTTTTGGTTCAAAGCCATTAAGATTTTGAAGGGTTCCCATTAGCTAGCTATGCTTTTCAGAGCCAAATAAAGCACTGGTATAATATTGACAATACCAGGTGACTAGTTCACTAGCTCTGAATCAATGGATTAGTGAATTGGAGGTTCACGCCTGCTACTAGCTATTTATACACAGTTCTACGTATGTAAATCTCAACTTACACACTTTCGGTAATAATTATCTAGTGTTAGATTGTATCAATGTATACATTAAAGAATGAAATATTGTCATAAACCAAATTAATTTAATATTGACTTTGTCTATGACTTGTATTCTCAATACTTATGACCAAAAGACAAATTAAAACGTTAAATATGTGTGAATTTAAAAAGATGTGGTAGTTTAGATAATCACTGTTAATATTTGGATAAAAATAACAAGTTAATGTAAACAGTTTTTTTAATGTGTGTTCAAGTGCACAGGTTAAGAAGTTAAAAATAAAATTATATATCAAAAAATATTTATCATATTGAAATTATAAAAATTTATTTAATATATATATTTTATAATAATTTAAAATATTTAATAAAGTATATTTATCTTTTAAACATATATCCTTACACACATAAAAAAAATCAAAATATAAATAATAATAACAAATGTTTTATCCCATTAAATAAGATTAATTACATGAATCATTCAAAATTAATGGACTTGTTCATGAACCAGACATATTCACTTTCGGTAGGGGTACCGTTAAGAATGATAATAGACTAAATTTAATGACATTTTAAAAAAAATGAGCCATAATTTTTATTTTGGTCAACCAAAAAATATCCATTACGAGTTAGGTAAATATAGTGAGCTAAAGCTGTTACTTGCAAATATTTGTCGTAGGTAAGTGGGATTACCCAATACTATCACGTGCCCATTGAGCCAAATATATACATTTAATATATTTATTTATAATTTCAACACTCTTTAAATATGTTTTAAAATGGGTTAAATGTTATAGCTTGATAGTTGATATATTATCCCAAAAAAAAAAAGAAGCTTTTTTTGATAAAATAAATATTATACTTGCAAGTCTTGTCCTCCGTTCATAATTGACAGCAAACACATATTTTTGAAGGGTCGCTCCTAACGAATTTGGTGATTGACGTAGCAACGACAATGACTGGCCACTTGTATTAGCAACAACTTGTTTGATTTTCCATTCATTTGATTGAATTAACCTAACACATGTTCTTACATTTAATTTGTCCGTTGACTATACTAATTGTTTTCTTTCAAAGAGATACACGACAAAATTTACCAACCAAATTTTGTCATTTTCTAAACACTACTGCAATATTAAACTAATTATTTAGAATGGTGTAAAGTAATGAAATTAAGGGAGATAGAATGAAAGTTTCATATTTTATTATTTAAATTTATTAAATTAAAATATACTGAAATAATATAAATGGAATGGATTCTATTCCGTTTCATTAAAACTCCTAATTTTATTTTATTTTAATTTAAAGCATGCGTGGTAAAATCAAAATAAATCTTCATTCCGTAATAATTTATTGAAATAATAAAACGGTAATTTTATCTTATTTTATGTATATCATTTTACTCTCTTATTATTAGACTTTTAAACACCCGGCATTGGGAAGGTATGTTAGGTTGGAGTACACTAATTTGATTTAAATATAATATATGAGATAAAACACTGTAGTGTTCGAATATATTTATATTTTTTCTTATTATTTTTAGGGTTTCTCTAATTTATTAACGTCCTCATGCGTGGGGAAAGCAGTTGGCATTGGACTGCATGATAATAAACCAATGCTGCTCTTGGCTTGGGCCTTAAGTTTATCCAATATTAAGCCTATCCGTTTTTTAATTTTTATTTTACCAATATTAAGTTTATCGTTCAAAGGGTTATAGTTATCTTTTTGTTGAGCAATATACATTTTTGGTCAATTTTGTTGACCAGAATTAAGTTTAGCTAAGTTACATTCCTTTGGACCAAAGTTGCCATCCATTTGTTAGAGAACAAACGCGGCCCAGTGAGCCCGGGTTAAAAGCTCTTTTTACTAGCAAATAGGGATAACAAGACAAAAAAAAATTGGTAAATAGGGAAAATAATTAGACTCACATTCAATGGGTGAGTGAAAATTTATCCCTCAAAAAAATTATTTTTATTTGTTAATCATGCATGACTAATTTTATTAATAAATTTTTATCTGTATAAATGTTGTAGCACTTAATCCTAGTTATATTAATGTAATATATTTATTATTTTTATTTAAATTTAAAATTTGTTAATAATTTTTATCATTCAAGTGGAAATTATAATAGCATTTATTTTTTATTAATTTACTAAATAAATGCATTATAAGGGACTATATTTAAATTATCTAAAATTCTAATAATCAATTTGAGTATGGGTATCTAATTAATAAAAACATGAGTATTAAAGTAACTATCTATGAGTATAGGTCTAAGTATGAATATTTTAAAAAAATTGACATAGAAATAGGTACTGTAATGCCCTGTTTATTATGATTTTTACTAACAAAAAAAGATAGAAATTTTCTTTCTCCGCAATATTTTTTAAAAAAGTTTAAATCAAATTAAAAGGGGAAATTTTGACTAAATGTTGATGTCACCCCACGCCAATTGGAGGGTTGGTGTCATTCCCTCTATTCATTTGCATGCTATGAAAAATGATTTGATTGGATTGCCTTGTGTTTGCTTTCTTTAATGCTTTATGATAATTTCTACCGTTGTTGCTTATCTGGATGTTTTATCCCTTTTTTCTGATCAAGTTGGGCATTTTCTTGGATCTCATGTTGAGCATCAAATGTACTGTCACCTTCTCTGTGGCCTTAGGAATCGTGACTATATAAATGGAATTACTACCCCTTATGCCATAGATTTGATCAAAGCATTTGGTCTTCTCTGAAGTCCAAGTGGGAGCAGCTATGTGATGATCTTGAACGTGGATTTTTGAGTGATGAAATCTCAGAGGTGCCAACGAGGGAAGCTGCAACTAAGTTACTTGGTGGACCTCATCCAAAATTGGTAGATAAAATAAGGTTAATCTGCGAAGGTGAGAACTGGGATGGAATTGTGTATAGATTGTGGCTAAATATTCGTAATATAAAGTGTGTTACCACTGGAAGCATGAAGCAGTACTACCAAAAGCACAAGCATTATGCAGGAGAGGTACCTATTTTAGGAGATTACTTTGCTTCAAAGTGTTGTGTGGGTATAAATTTAGATATATGCAACCCCCCGAAACAACACGATTTGTGATACTTCCAAATGTTGCTTACTTTGAGTTTCTTCAGTTTAGCATGGATGAGGACAATGATGTTAGCAAAGAAACAGTGGAACTTAGCGGTGTAGAGGTTGGGAAGATGTATGAAGTGGTTGTTACAAATTATAGAGGGATTTATTGCTAACGTTTGAGTGATATAGTGAGAGTTATTGGTTTCCATAATTCATCTCCACTTGTGGAATATGTGATGAGAGCACCAAAAACTCCTGCTGAGATTCTGACAGACGAGACTTAATTTCAGCAGTTGAAAATTTTCAACTTGCACTTAGTGGTGCAATGAGAATTGAGATTGTTGAGTTTGCAAGTTTCTTGGACCATGAGTCAAGGCAAAGCAGTTGAAGGTATTTGTAGAAGTTCAAGAGGAATCTAGGTTCAAGAGGATAAAGTGGAGGAATCAATTATAACTTTTAGAAATTGTATTTCATCTCTCGAGAGTGGCATGGGAGCTTTGTACAAGGTGCAGAGGGGTAAAGGTGAACTCGGGAGTTACTAATATTCATCCTAAGGCATGGATCAGTTATCAACATTAGCCATCAAGAATGGAGCATCATCTAGTCAATATAAACCCTCCAAGATTATTCGGAATCAGGAAGTTGTCAAACTCTTGGAAAAATTAGCTTTTGTGACAATATCAATGGATGGCTAATAATATGTTGGGAATGGACTTTCAAGCAATACCTTTCTATCTCCACCATCTGAAATTCAAAGATGAAACTTAGCTGTAAGACTTTTGATGTTGTTGTTCACTTAAAATTAGTTTTCTATTTTGATAATTCATGCAGTGAAGGTCAACGTTAAAGTTGCTCAAGCGATTTTGAACGGGGCAGTTTTTAGGTTTTGCATACTGACACTTTCGCTCAAGCAAATGTAAATGGCTGTGAAAAATATTTTAGTTTAAAACAAACAATTCATTGTATATTAATGTTCGTACGACAATAAAGTTTTTAATCTAATTATTTAAATATTTTTATGAAGAAAATATTAAGATTAATCAATATATTTATGTTATCTTTTAAAGAATACAACGTGGAATTCTTGTTTTAAAAGGAATTTTAAATTCGAAGTCACTTTTAATTGTATATTCTCTTTTTATTTTTATATTTTTTTAATCGATTAGCTGAGTTTAGAAAACTCTTTTCTAGAAAAAGTGAATATTGCAACGGAGAAAGGGGAAATATGATTAAAAATGAAAATTCAAGTTCGTGCACATACAAACAAATAACAAGGTCGAAATACTGCTTTGGTTGAGGGGAACTGCTGAAAAGCAGAAAGTTGTGTTTTTCACAGATTAATATATTGAGTTAGCCTTTAAATTTACAATAAATATTCATCAATTTGATTTTAAAAATACAAAAAATATATATATTTTTTAATATTTAATTTATCTGAACAATAAATATATGCAGCAATCAGGGCGGCCTAAGGTCGAGACAGGTAAGGCACGAGCTTTAAGCCTCTAAAATTATTTTTTTTAATTTTAATATACTTTTAAAAATTAAAAAAATTAAATTTAAAAATAGTTTATAATTCAAATATTTAATTTAATTATTAAATTTTTATTAATATTATAAATAATATTTAATTAACTATAATTCTCAATTAATAATAATAAATTATTTTATTAATAAAAAAAATTTTAAATTTACTTTAAATCCTAAAAATTCGTGAGCCGCCACTAATAGCTATAGATGATTTTCAACTCCTCAGCTTTTTTTTTTTTTTTCACTTCAAAATATTAACATGTACTTATAAGTAAAACTTGTCACTTTATTAATATAACTTGTATCCAAAAACACACTATTATTAGAGTAGATATTAAGAACTATATTGACATTTGATGTATTAATAGAATACATTAACATACCTTATATTAATAAAATTATTTGTTAACTTAATATATCGTATTATTAAAGTAAATTTATAATATCCATATTGACAAATTAATTTCTGTAAAACCCAAAATTATATTTAAAAAGTTAATTTTAATGTTTAACATTTTTTATTAATAAATGAAAATCTTTTTGCTAAGTTTGTAATTTTTTTTCTTTCAAGCATGTAATTTCATCTGTTAACAAAACATAAATTTCAATAACTCCATCGCACATAAATTTTCTAAATTGGACTAGCAGCTCTAAATCTGCAGATTCAATCAGCGCATAAAAGAAAAAGAAAATTGCACAGAACCCCTAACTTTATTTGATCTAAACACCTCCAACCTTTAGATGTGGATGAAAGGTCTTTAAATTTTTCATAACTTGCAAATATTTTTTTAGTTTGAACTTGATTTACATGCTTTATGATAAAAAAAAATTAACAACAACATGAATAGATTAAAACCCATCACGTCTATTAATCAATACACGCAAATCATATGATAGATTTTTATTTATTTATTTATATCTAAATTTACGAACTAGGAAAACTTTAAAGACCTTCCACTTAAAACTAAAAGCTAATTGGTGTCTAATTCAAAATGAAATAACAGTTCAAAAAGTGTGGTGCGCATTTTTGGCAGCATGATGATCTTATTTAATTTGGAGCCTTGAACATGTCGACGCAAGTTTCTTTTGAGAGTCCTCTATTCCAGAACTTGTCGTAGTATTCACTGTATGTGAAGTTTGTGTACTGAGGAGGATGGTGATGGTCTACGAGTTGAGGAGCTGGCCCTATCACTGCGTCTGGTGAAGGACAGTAGAATGTGGGAATGGACATCCTCTCCTTCTCACAATTCACCAAAGCTCGATGCAACACACTCTTGTACCTATCGTTGCTTATCACCTTTTCAAAACCCCACACCAAACTATATAAGTATTTGTCAATACATTATATAAGAAAGGCTATTGCTAATTCATGAGTATTGGTTAAGAATATTTTTAAATAATTAATAATTTTCTATTAAAAATTATAAATTATGAAAGAGATGTATTTAGTGTAATTTTTTCATATAGAATATCACTCATTCATTTGATTGATGTAATTCATAACAATATCATGTTGATGAATAAGAAGATATGTTGCCGATCGAAAGATATACTTTTTTTTTAAGTCTAGCTTACAAATGTGGAAAAATTATTAGTTAAAGATTACTTAATACATCTCATTAAATCTTTCAATTACTTAAATAATATATCTTAAATAAGTTTTATATTTTAATATAATAAATATTTTCTTTTATGACAAAATCATATGCCTAGCTCCTATGTTACAGAGAGAGAGAGAGAGAGAGAGAGAGAGGGAAAATGTTGTAAAAAAAATAAAGCATCAAATTTAAAATAAAAAACTAAAGAGATACTTAAAAACAGAATATTCGACTAAATATATAATTTTATTTTAATCTTCTTAAGTAATAGTTACCATTTAGTGTTTACTTTTTTTTATTTATGATGTATGAATTCATTTTGCAATGCCTCATGACACTAAAAAAGATATTTATATATATATAAAAGAACTCTAGAAAGGATAACTATTGTCTATTAATGCTCAAAAGACTTCAAAACCCAGCAGTTGAGTGAATCGGGGTTATTTTTTTATTTTTTGGCTACTGTAATGTTTGGATTTAAAAAAACATAATTTTCTAAAATAAAAATATATCGTATCAAAAAATATTTGCCATTTTCGAGAATCACGCTGTTATGCTTCACCTAAAAAAATGGAGGAGTATCTAACTGTACAAAAGGGTAAATTTTGTCGATTTCACAATGTTAATAATAAAAAAGTGATATAAAATATAATATTATACAGAATTATTTTAATTTGTTATGTACTTCTTACTTTTGAATATATAGATATCTTATAATTACTTGTTATGGCAACTTTATAGTGAGAAAAGAAATGATCTTTGAAAATTTGAAGGATGTGTTAGATACCTGAATTTGGTCGCCAATGTTGACGATGAAGGTGTTAGGGACAGGATTGACGGTTACCCACTTGCCATGATTGAGGACTTGCAAACCAGGAACCTCATTTTGGAGGAGAATGGTAATGGCATTTGGGTCAGCATGAGCTGGCAATCCATATGTTAGCTCTGGCTCAGGACATCGAGGGTAGTAATTTATGGCCATGTGCTGCCCATGTTTCCCTAATGCTTTATCTATGTAATCCCTTTCCAACCCCAAACTCTCTGATATTGCCTCTAGTAATTTCATTGATAACTCTCTCATCTTTCTACTATACTCTGCAACATCGTCCCTAAAGTAACACCACAAATTTAATCAAATTTACAACACATAAAATAAAACTTAAGTATACTAACAATGTGTTAATTAAATGAAATATGTAACAAAATTATATGCATAGTAACCTGAAAGATGGAGGGTTGGTTGGCCATTCTTGAATGTAATCCTCGAGGGGGTGGCAGTGAAGTCTCAAGTAGTCCCTCCAATTAGAAACTTTTTCAGTCTTGACATTGAAACTGGTTGAAAGCCTGGTTGTTTTGGATGGGTCATCAGAGTAGTTTTTCAACCTCTCCCCCTCTGGCAATTGGAAGAACTCTTTTGACACATTCACCATGCTACTCACCACCTCCACTGGAACTCCATGATTCACAATCTTCAAAATTAAACCACAAACAATTAATTGAAGATTTTATTTATTTGTGTATTTGGAAGTGACAACAATTAAATCCCATGCAAAGTAATTAAAATTAGAATGATAATGACAGAAAAAAAAAAAAAAGAGGGCTTGGTTTGATTTGTACTTGAAAAAAGCCATAGTTTTGGCAAGCATGGGCAATGTTTTGGATGATCTGTGAACGATTGGAGTCATCAAGACCTTGAAGGTCGATGATGGGAATGGAAGCGGTGGAGGATTGAAGTTGTTGAAGGTTTGGACGGTCATAAAGGGGCCTAATGAAATTAGAGGGTACACGATTCACGGTGGAGGCTAAGTCAGTGATGAGTGGCTTTTGGGTTGTAGTGGCCATTGCTGAACAATATTGAATATTGATTCTTTCTATGGCTTAGGACATGACAATTGATGAGCTTGGCACCTGAATTTATATTCTAAAGCTTAGGAGTTCAGCCTCACATAATCACTTGCCCCACTTACGACTTAACATCTATGAATGAAGATAAAAAGTTAAACGATTCATTTTTCGATGTACGAATGCTAGTAAATATCCGACATCAATTTTATATCTAAGGGAAAATATCATAAGGATATTCATATACTTGTGAAAATATAATGAGCAGAGGGGAGGAAAGGTAAAAATTGATAATATTATCAAAGGTAAAGAGTCATGTTAATAAGACTCCCAAAATATATATACAAAATATCAAATTAATACAACATGTTATGAAAAAAATACTATTTCCGCTGTGTGTTATTTCCGTCCTCTTAATATTATTATATGACCAAACCACATGCTACACGTCTATTTTGAAAAATAAAATAAAAATGGAAGCGTGAATTAAAGAAATGGATATTAAAAAATATTAACAGATTGAAGAAGAGAAGCGGATTCCACGAATGGAGGCAATTTAGCATCAAAATGTTTATTTATTTCTTTAAAATTCTTGATTCAGTTTGTTGATGTAAAATAAATTAATTAGAAAAAACAGAAAAATTGCCATATGTTCGACGGGTTGGTATTTGCATTGATTTATATTTTTATTCTTTGAATGCTCCCACTTTGTTCATGTAACAAGTTAGAGAGAGTCCTTGTACTCATATTTCGTTATAATAATTTAAATTTTTTCTATTTCTCGTTTAAAAATATTCTTTTTTCTATTCATCAACAAATGTTCAGAAATATTAATTTTAATTATTATATATTTTTTTAAAATTTAAATAATGCATGTACTTTTATTTAATTATAAAATAATAATATAAAAATATAACAAAGTTCATTCATTTAATAATTATAATATAGGCGGGGGTAAAAAGTGGGTGCTCTCATGTTGCAGTTAATCTGCCTAACCACGTGCAAGCCGAGATGCACTAGAATTGTTCCTATTTTTTAAATAATTTATACTTTACTTTCGACTCTTAAAATTATTATACGTTTTAATACCTATTTCAAAAGCAATATAACAAAATATGATGTGTTATAATTTTGATAAATGAAAAAATTCAGTTTGTAAATATTTTCTTACCTAAAGACAAAAAAAAACTATTTTTATATGTGGAAATTAAATAAAAAAAGTGCTATGTATACTTAAGTAACGGCCAAATCTTTAATCTAAATATTTTTTATTTAATGACATAGATAATAAAATAAAGTAAATGCCAATAAAGTAATACAAGCAAAAAATATTCAGGTAAGAGTTCAATTTGAATTGAAATAAAAGAATTTTTAAATAAGTTCTAAATTCGTAACTAATTTAATAAAAAAAGTTTAATTTTGATATAAAGTTAGTATACTATTTTTATGTTTTTAACTAATTATAATATATTATAAGCATCAATGTTAAATTACTTTTTAAAAAATGATTATTCTCGTTGATATAATAATTCATAAATCAATAACAGCGCAAACAAAATTATTATTGATGTATTTAAATTAAATTCGTAAAAAAATTACTACCTTTAAATTTATTTATAAGAGATAATCACCAAAATTTTGTAATTTCAGTATAAAAAATAAAGAATCTTTTAATTTTAAATACATCAATTATTAAATTCATTTTATATTTTATTTATAATATAATTTGTGTTAATAAAATATTCATTTTTTACTTATAAAAATTTATTTAATATACAACACACTAATTTGACCGTTTAATATTATTTAATAATATGTAAAAGAAGTGCTTTTTTACAACTTTGATTAGTTTTTTTATAATTTATATTAAATTTGATCAGTTTATAAACCGCAGTAGAAATTATATCCCCGTGTTCCGTTTCTTAGTAATATAAGAGAACATCCAAAATCCTAACACTTTGCGATATTACTTTTTTGTTTTCTTTGTTGTTCTTAATGGATTTGTTCAAATGAGTCATCAGCTAACTGCTGATGAACTTTCCACACGAAAACGTTATATCATTGCTGACATGTAGATTACTAGATCGTTATCTTTGAGTAGTGGTCGAACAATCTTCTTCTTTGTTATGATCATTGCTCTATTTATTAGTGCAATGCTTATTCAAGACAAAAATCTAAATTAAAGATCATTGTTATCATCAGGCTCAATGTAAATTGTAAGAAATTTGATTAAAAATTTGACTTGTCGACAAATTAACAGCCCCTATTTATAAATTATTACATTTCAAAAAAATATATATTTGTATTTACATATTTTAGAGTAACAATTAGCAGTAGGAATGACAATGGGTATGGTACTATAATACTTATTTTTATACGCGCGTTTTAAAAAAAAATACTCATATCCAGTCTCATACTTGCATAGATGTGAACATTAATCCTTGTATCCATATTCTCTATATACCCGCATACCCATCTTATACTCATTACCCGTGCTTATTTGAGAAAAAAATATTCATAAAAAAAATATGTTTATATAACTTTACATGAGTAGCATAATAATATAAAAATTTAATATGTAGTTGCCGAATAAGATATAAATATAGATAAAAAAAATACTCAAATATTACAAGTGCTAAATGTATCTTAATACAATAATTTTCTAAACTAAAATTCTTAGAAACAATAAGCGAAACTAAACACAAGTTATTTATCAGCAATGACTCTATCTTATGTGAGATTTGATCGATTGGCAACTTAAGAACAACAACAAAATATATTTGCACAATAGGTGGCCCTTCGTGTGAGATCACTTGGTGACCTCTTGTGACAGCATTGACAACTAACTCTAATGAATAATGTTTAATAGTTATTAGGTTTTAATGAAACAGATAGTATAATTAGGGCAGAGAAGTTCAAGTACTAACAATGCAAAGTGGATACATATTTATAATGAATTAAGTATTTATAATGTAAATAAATTAAAAAAAAAAAAGAATTTGAATAAAATATAAATGGTCACAATAAAATTTTATAATAAAAAAATATATGTGTGTATAAAAAAAAATATTTTTTTATCTAAAGAAAAATTTAACAAATAAAAATTAACAATAATTTTTTATATTTTATATCTTTTCAAAAATTTCTTTGAACGTAAATAAATAGTAAGAATAATATTATTTAGATTCAATGAATTATAGTTGTGTTTGTAATGTACATGTTGCATAGAAATTATTATTTTAAATTAAAATATAAAAAATAAAATTTAAATATTATCAATAAATAATAAATTTATGGTGATTGTAAAATTTATAAAATATTTACAATATGTTTATTATTTATCATTCATTTTATAATTTAAATATCAATATAATTTTATTAACAAAAATATTTGTGAAAAATATTTTATATGTGTGTCATATATAAATAATATTTAAAAAAAAGTCAATCTCATATCAACTATGTAATAATTAAATTTTATTAGCATAATTAAATGATATAAAATAATAAATAAATTTTTTTATTAAAAATATAAACTAAAATAAATTATTTAGTTTATTTTATTATTAAATATATTTTTATATTAATCTTATATAATTTTAAATAAATAATATAATAATACAAAAATTTAATGCATAATTATAAAATAAAGTTAAAAAATATATATATAAGCATGAGACAGAATAAATACTCAGATACTCATACCTGTATTTATGCTTTACTCTCTCGTTGTGGGGATAAATTTAGTGGGTACCTGTTGACAGCAACACGCAAGAGTTTTGAGCTTTCGAAATTATTGTGGAGTCTGAATGAAAATGTTAAGGTCAGGTAGTTAAAATGTATACGAAAATAGAAGAGACGTGGTTGAGCCCACTTTGACGTGTATAAAGATAATTAACAAAGGAAAATATTGATAAAAATCAAAATAATTAGTTTAGATAATTTTATTATAAGAAATATTTATTAATTTAACTATTTATTGTATAAGCATTTTTAAAATACAATAAAAATTCTAACATACAAAATACTATTCATTTTAGTGAATTATTTAATTTTTTATTATAAAAATAATAGAATGAACACTTTTTTAGCATCGGGTAATAATTATTATTATAAGGGATCATTGTAACTATAGGCATAAGCCAGAAATTATAAAAGAACTTTTGTTAGCACGTGTTTTTATAGGTGCTGATATATACACAAAATTCTCTCCTGTATTTATTAATTTAAACCTCGTCACAAGTGATTCACAGGGAGATTTTAAACTTGTTAACGATTCACTTGTTGAATGTAAAAAAATAAGATTGAATGATTGACAATTCATGAGAATCGACACGTCAAAAGATTCATTGAGATTCGAAATGTGTAGATCCACCAAATATTTTGTTCATAATGCAAATGTGGGTCGAAATTGGAATGGGGATGAGTGCAATTGTTTAGCTCATATCACCATTTCCAACATCTCTTGTTGTATTGTCGACGTTGGACCACCTGAAAGATAGATAGAAGACACAATTTCCAGTTGTGCATGGCGCCATAATGTCCACTCTTATGTCATCTCATCAATTTTCATGAACAATGAAACTTAGCTTACGCAGACGCTGTCGTCATTGTTCTCGGCAATTCATGACCTCACTACACCCTCGTCACACACCAATTCTCGTGACAAGACTTTTTTTTCAATTACTGTTCTACTTGCAAACGAAGAATATGTTCCTAATATTTTACTTTTGCAAATATGTATCACGGTTACGTCACGTGAGTTACTTTCTTAGTTAAACGTGTGAATTATGTCTTCTTCCAGCTTTACAGAACTGGGAAACTAAGAGACTATTTATTTATTTTCTTATACCTGTGTGAATGCTTGCCAATGTTTTTTAAAATATTATATCAATTGATCATCTTTAGAAATTATTCTGTTCTTTAAATAATAATGATCATCAAATGCATTTAAATGAGTGTTGGCATTTTTAAAATAATATTGAAGATTTTTTTTATATTTGTTTTTAAGATATGTATATATAAGAGGGCATTTACTAACAAAAA